GCCAATGGAAATAGGTGGCGCGCGCGAGGTTTCAAACTCCAGTGAAGGTCGCAAGAGGGAGGGAAAGGATTGGAAAACCACCAAGAAGTGTTTCCTCTGCCAACGGCCAGGACATTTTGCCAGGGTCTGCCCTCAAAGAAAGGCCTGGCAAGGGATGGTGGGAGCTGCTGGCGGTGAGGAGGAGGGGGAAAAGGGGCAGGAGCAGGGAAACGCCAACGCTTGGCTGCCGATCAGTGGGCACAGCAGCCAGGCCAGCAACCAATAGAAGTGCCCCAGCCAGACCCCCCCAGGGCGGCTATAGCCATAGAAGTGGTGCTAGAACTCCCGAATGGGCACCCAGTCAAGGTGAAGGGGCTGCTGGATTCAGGCAGCTCCTGCAATTTCTTCAGCAAGGACTTCGCCCTAGAGCACCAGCTCCACCTGCTGCCCCTGGATTTTCCCTTGCAAGTGACCACCATTGATGGCAGGGAGCTTCTGGGAGGGGAAGTGATGCACCAGACCCCACCAATGAGAATGAGGGTTTCCAGGCACACGGAGACCATTGCCTTTCACGTAACCACACTGGCAGGACCCCCAATAATATTAGGGATGAGCTGGCTGGCACTACATGATCCAGTAGTGGCATGGCATCAGCGGACGGTCACCTTTGGGTCAGCTTACTGCTTGGAACACTGTCTAGGGGGGGAAACCCCAAGGATGACCGTGGCCAGGGTGGCTGGGATAGCTGTGGAGCCGAAAGGGGGGGGGGGTGCCACCACAATATGCTGACCTGCAGGAGGTCTTCAGCGAGAAGGAGGCGGATAGACTACCCCCCCATAGACCCTTTGACTGCCAAATCAACTTGCTCCCAGGGGCTCAGCTGCCGGTGGGTAAACTGTATGCCATGTCGGACAGGGAGATGAAGGAGTTGCGGGAGTTTATTGACAAGAACCTGAAAAGAGGTTTCATAAGAGAATCAAAGGCGGTGGGAGGGCAGCCCGGTGTTCTTTGTGGACAAAAAAGATACTAATCAACCCAGGCTCGTTGTGGACTACCGGGCCGTCAACCTGGTGTCAGAACCCGTGACCTTCCCAATGCCCAGGATTGACGACATTTTAACACGGGTGAGGCAGGGGGAAATTTTTTACCAAGCTGGACCTCAGGGGAGCATACAATTTGATTAGGATGAGGGAGGGGGACGAATGGAAGACCACAATGTTCACCCCCCTGGGGGCCTTTGAGTACTTAGTTATGCCATTTGGATTACAGTCGGGCTCCGCCTGTTTTCAAGCTTTCATGCACCACGTGTTGGGGTCCCTGCTGTACAAGAACTGCGTAGCCTTCTTGGACGACGTCTTAATCTATTCGGACAATGAGAAGCAACATGTCAGAGACGTCAGGGAAGTGCTAAAGAGACTGCAGAAGCACCAGTTGTGGGTCAAGCTGGAAAAATGTCAGTTTCACGCCAGAGAAGTCGAGTTTCTGGGGTACAAGTTGTCAGACAAAGGCCTAGCCATGGACCCAAGCAAGGTGCAGGCGGTGCTGGAATGGAAGGCCCCCAAAACCCGGAAGAGCAGAGGTTCCTAGGGTTCAGCAACTTCTACAGGAAGTTCATCAAGAACTTCGCCCACCTGACAGCGCCCATCACAGATTGTCTCAGTAGCAAAAAGAAGTTCGTCTGGACAGAAAGTGCCCAGCAATCCTTTGAAAGACTGAAGAAGGCGTTTGCTTCGGAAGAGCAGCTCCTGCACGTGGATTTGCAGAAGCCAATGAGACTGGAGACCGATGCATCAGACCGAGCCATCAGAGCGGTACTGTTGCAGCCAGGGGCCCAGCAGCGCTGGAGGCTGTGCGCCTTTTTCTCGAGGAAGCTGAGCAAGTCGGAGCAAAACTACACGGTGTATGACCGCGAATTGCTAGCAATTTATGCAGCATTTCGACGATGGAGACATCTGCTAATAGGGGCGCAGCACAAGATCCAGGTTTGTACGGAGACCAGCGGGGAGAGCACGGGTCCTCCGCTACCCACACCCTCCCTGCGCAGAAGACTTCCGCGCAGGGAGAGTAGGAGGAGACTTGGCGTCAAACAGCTTTTATGCTGGAAAAGGTTTAAGAAACGCCCACTGACGGATTCTGCTAGCGACTGAAACAGCCACAAAGTGAAGGGCTGTCCAGACAGAAAAGGTTTAACCAGGTAACCTAGCCAGGAGTGGCGGCAACTTACGCACGAGCAACCCCTATTATTATTACAGGTATCTATTTTGACTCATGCTCTGCTTGTATGTTTGTAAAGGACAGTCCTGCTGCCACCTGTCTCCAGGGCTCCCACATCCAAAGGAAAACGACTGCTGTCCCTCCATGATGTTATCACTTCTCCTAAGAGCAAGCTCATGTGGTGAGTGCCACCAGGATTCGAGCCAAAGTGGGGCCAGTGAGAAAGAAGAGGGAAGTATCAGCATGTTGGAGACGTTTGTGTTAAGTTGCAAAAACGGTGCACCAGAAACAGGAAAACAAAATCCCTGCAACAACAGAAGTGGGCTTGGTACTCAGCTGTACCAGAATACATGTTTTAGGAGGAAGAATGCAGTGCAACATTTTGTTGCAGATCCCACTTGTCACCCATCGTAACAGGAGGTGTGATATATCTGGAGGAGAGTCTATACACTGCAAAGATTCCTGGGGTGTGAAGTGCATCTCTTGAGGCATTGACACTGTAGCATCCTGAGAGAGCTCCCTCAATGAGGGCCAGGCCAGTCAGTTTCCAAGACGATAGGACGGTTGCCACATGCTGCTCTGCCCCCAGGTGCAGAATTTTACCTTTTTTTCATAGGAAATATCACCATCCAATTGCTTATAGAGAAAATAACATGGATACTAATACATACATTTGGTGCAATTGCTTATTTTCTAAATTTTGAAATGTACAGTGGTACCTCGGATTACAGACACTTCAGGTTATAGACTCCGCTAACCCAGAAATAGTACCTCGGGTTAAGAACTTTGCTGCAGGATGAGAACAGAAATTGCGCGGCGGCGGCGCAGCAGCAGCTGTGGGAGGCCCCATTAGCTAAAGTGGTACCTCAGGTTAAGAACAGTTTCAGGTTAAGAAAAGACCTCCGGAACGAATTAAGTTCTTAACCTGAGTTCTTAACTCTATTGTTTTAAAACATGTTCCTAGCTTTTGGGACTAACATGCAAAAACAAAACAAAAGAAGAGGAGTGGGGAGTGATATCCAACATTAGTCCCACTCAGACCCATTGAAGTCACTGTACATAAGTTGCTTAAATCGACTGGTTTGTCTTCAAAGTAGGGTTGGATATCACCCATCATTTGCACTATGAAATACTAACGAAATACTTAAAAGCTTTGCATAAAATCAAGATAGGCAGCAGCCATGCACTGCTGGTTGTTCTTGGTGGCCCAGCCATGCCTGCATCCTCTTGTGCTGCAGAGCACTGATATAAAGTGAAAACCTCCACCCCCATGATCCCCCTCCGCCTGTGTCTCCTGGGCTACGGGTTTCAAGAAGCTCCCTTCTATCTACACAAGCTTGTGGGCAACACTTGGTTACCACCAAACACTCAGGCACCACCAAAACCCAAAACCCAACACACTGCATTTGATATAGGGTGTGTGTGTGTGTGTAAATAACATATCCTAGACCAGGAATGGGGAATCTCTGGCCCTCCAGATGCTGCTAAACTGCAACATCCATCAGCCCTAGAAAGCATAGCCAATGGCCATGGATGATGGGGACATTTGGCAGGCTAAAAGTTCCATACAGCTGCCCTAGACTTCCATTTGACTGTGGGAAAGGGTTTAGCCCCAAAGGGTTGTATACATTTCTCTGGGTTCAGAAAAGCCATTTCTGGCAAGAGTGGCTCCCGATTCACCTTTGGCCACTGTTTGTCATCTGCCACTTAACACAATAAATTTGTCTTGGGTTTTCTTACCAGACAACCAACAATCTATCACAGGCCCTTGTAATTAGCACAGCTGTGATCTACAGACTATGCTGCCACCATACAGGACTGCAGAATGTGGTAGTGGGTGCAGAATCAAGCAGATGGGGTGGTCCACCTCTTACCTCCACCCCCATAGTCACCCTCTGCCCAAATCTCCTGAAGTACAGCTTTCAAGAATCAGCCTCCTAGCTATTCGACCTTGTAGGTAACTTTTAACTACACAAAAAAACCTCAGCTTCTTGCTTTTTTACTCTCTGACTCTAATATTTCCCATCATTTCATTCAGGTGGGGAGCTAGTGGAGGCCCAGCAGCCAGAAGATGCTTTTTTTATAAACTGGCCTCTGGTGCCACAACCTCACTGAGCAACCTCTGTTTAAGTCGGCACTCTCTGTCCTGCCACCTCTGCTTCCAGCTGCAATACGACCTACCTTATGGTCTCTTTGAGGCCTGGTCTACATAGGCAGCTAATGACACCACACCACTTCTGACTGCAGGTGGTTGTTGCCATTGTTGAATGCTTCCACAACTCCCCAGCCCCCACCCCAAGGTAGCATAACAAACCTAAGCATCTTGAGAGTGTTGCAGCTCTGCTGATTTATTGTTGTGCTAGCTTTCTACCTGCTGTTGCTTTGCTTCTGTTTTTTAAACAACAATCCCAGAGAGGATTAGAAAATTATGTCCTTAATTTGCAGCCTGAAGTGGTTCTACCACAGGAATAGGCAAACTTGGCCCCCCAGATGTTTTGAGACTACAGTTCCCATCATCCCTGATCACTGGTCCTGTTAGCTGGGGATGGTGGGAGTTGTAGTCCCAAAACATCTGGAGGGCTGAGTTTGCCTATGCCTGTTCTACCGCTTCACAACGTCTGCGAAGCACTCTGAGCGCACCCAGGCACTATATGAACGCTGCTAAGCATCACTAGATGGGTCACATGCGCTGGATAGGGACAGGGAAGTGGCATCATTTCCTCTTGGTTCCTATTACAAAAGTTCTACAGGGATCATCCAGAAGGAAAGAGATTCTCCTCCTGCCCCACTTTTTCTTCTTTCTTTTTAAGGTCCAGTGTGTAGTGTATGGGGAGGATTATTGTGTGTTTGTTTCAAATCATTTTTTCTTTTAAAAGGTAAAATGACATTTCCTTTATTTTCATACAAACTCTCCCCCCCAAAAAAAAATTAATCAAAAAAAAAGACAAAAAAGACACAGATGAACAAACGGTACCTCAGCGCAAATTTTAAGAAAAGAGAGAATTGAAGAGACAGAGAGGGCCTGAGCAGTCCACCTAGTCCACAGTAGAAAAATAAATCTTAAGGTGGGGTGGGGAGGGGTGCAGCAGGAACAAGAGGAGGGGACAGTACCTGTGAAAGGTGTATATTCATAACATTTTAAAATTTTACCTGGGGTAGTGTAGGCTTTATAATGCGTGGCCAGTCCCCAAGCCGGGGTGGGTGGGGCGAGGGGGAAGAAGAAGGAGAGAGACGAAAGAATATAAATATATTTCCAACCAGGGAAGAGGGAGCTGGCCTCGCCCCCCCCATCGCCCCAAGAGAGGAGATGGGGAGGAGGAGGACGTTACATTCGGAGACTCCATACATTCAGCAAAGAAGGGCAGGGGTGCAAAAGACTGTGTCTGGAGTCAGAAGGGCAGACCACCCCGCTCCCACCCACCACTCCATGTAGTGTTTACAGTGAGCTATTACTCCTGCCCAACTGCAGATATTTGGGCACAGGGGCGGGAGGAGGAGGAAGAGGAAGGGAAGAGGAGGAAGAGCAGGCCCGTTTCCTTAGTACCCAAGGGGGGCTAGAAGTAGTGCGTACCAATCTGTCGCAAGCTGGGATCACGAAACCAGGAGGAGGGTCTCGTACCTATGTTTTCGGGGCAAGCGGAAGTGGGGTTTGCTCCATACCCAAGGGAATGGGACGGCGGGGTGGGGGAGAATGGGACTGTGAGGGCAAGGCCAGTCCTCACCCCCGCAAAGGTTACGGAGGGAAGCATAGAAGTCTTTTGGGTATTCAAGCCCATCTCGCACCCGTGGGCCAAGGCCAGGTCTGCCCCTGGCGATGGACACCAGAAGGGCTCGCGTCTTTCTCTGGCTCACATTCACGGGGCTCAGACAAACGAGTACTGGTTGTTCACAGCCCGGGCTCGTCCTTCCGATTCCTCCGGGAGGGGAAGGGATCCTCCTCCTCCTGTGGCCGCTGCCTCGTCCACCTCTGGCTCCACCATCCGGCCCTCCTCCTCCGCCTGCCCCTCACACTCTGGCAATCCACGGTCAGGGGGAGCGAGAGGCGGCCGAGCTGGGGGGAGCGGAGGCGGCGGCAGGTTACGACAGGTGTTCGGTTCTGTGGAGAGAAGAGAAAAGAGACAGACAGACAGACAAAGAGAGACAAGAGGGCCCGGGGTTAAGACCAAATGTGGGATGGCGGACACAGAGATTTATCTGAGCCCTCCCCCCCCCCCAATGTCCAGTCCAGAGCAAGGGGCTCCCACCCCAACGAGGTTTTTCTAAAAACGCAGCAACTCCAGTGTTGTCTACATCCAGTAGCTAGAGAACTTTGAGCACAATCTTCTGGGCGATGCTTGGGAAAGGGTGACAAGACACATCAGAACTTAGATGGCACCGCTGCATTCGATGCGGCTTAGAGCAACCCTTGCTAACCTGGTGCAGATCTCATTACCCCTGTCTACTCGACATGCTGGCTGGGCCTCCTGGGAGCTGGGAATCCAACCACATCTGGAGGATGCCACATTGCGGGGAAACTGCGACTTAGGAAGACTGTCATATGTTACATGCACAGTAGTAGTGGCCTGATGAAATCACACCGGGACAACTGCTGGGCAGCTGTGTGGGGATGAGGCAGGCTGGCATGACTTGGGGCTGGCTGTGCATACTCTTTGCGTTAAAAAACAGTAATATCCAAACTCTGCCCTGCACCAAGAAAGCCAATTTATAGTGCTGCCAAAAGTTGTCCAAAATTACACAGTGGCATTCATTTGTTTATTTTTTTGTAACTTATTCTGCTTCTACAAAATACTCAGTGCAAAATGTTTATTGTGGTTATGTCTATTCCTTTGTATTTGCAATAACGGTAGCTAAGGTTTTGACCGATTCAAGAAATCTCAGGAAATACATGTGAATGTTAACTGATTAGAATAGGCATCTATCTGCCCCCCTCAGCCAAGGGGTTGCATTTGGCCCCTGAAGCACCTGCTTGCAAGTCCTGGGCTGTGGTGCAAAACATTGGGAGACTACCAAGGTTGGCAAGAACTGTTCTACATCCTGGCCAATGACTCCTACCAGCTCCTCTGTGCAATTTTCACCAAGCACTGCCCACACACTCATTCTCATCTTCACACCCAGATTGCCATAAAACTTTTTTTAAAAAAAATTGAGAATCATGCCTTCCAAGATCCCTGTTTCTGCAACCAATGCCAAAGTCTGCTTGTGAGCAGAAATTCATTCTGGCATTACTCAGAGACAGTATTTGCAGAATCTTTGCAATGAGACCTGTGTGTGTGTGTGTGTGTGTGTAATTCTGAATATCCTATGTGTCTAAGCCTTTTTCTCCTTCTTTCCCTTAGACCAGGGATGGGGAACCTGTGGCCGCCCAGATGTACTTGGATTCCAACTCCCATCAACTTGACCAATTGCTCAGGAACGATGAGAGCTGCAGTCCCGCAACATTTGGAGCCAAGCAGGCTCCCCATCCCTGCCTCAGACCTACTTCAGGCTTTACCTGGTCGTGACACAGAACTAGAGGCCTGGCAGCCGGCTTGGCTAGAGCATTTGTTGAGCTGCCGGCGTTATATAATATTGCTTAGCTGAAACTGATTAGGCTTCATTAGGAATTTCAGAAAAAGAAAGAAAAGTGTGTGATGGCTTCCTCTTATTCCTCCACAAAAACTAACTGAATGGATTTGGCTTAATTGCCAGCATAGCGACCTTTTTTAAAAAATAAAATAAAATTCTCATGCTATGTAGGCAGACACCTTCTCAAGTCTGTAGGCTCTTTTTAATTGCGCCAGACAGAATTAAGGCTGCATTTCCTTGGCCCTAAATTTTCCTCATGGCACATGCCTTTACTCTAAAGTGAGTTTGGGGGCCATCGAATTCAGAATCCTAGCAGCCACATCTGGTTGCTGAGAAAGTTTGGGGGGATGAGCAGCAGAACAGAAAGCAATACTATGTCCTACTGGGGCCTTGTTATTAACTGTTTGCTGTTGATATGTTAAATAACAAATTGGGCTATTTGGCAAAGCACTATTGTATCCAACACAATCAAGATTGCACAGAGGATACCATAAGCTTAGTTGCAAACTAGGGCTGTAAGGGAGCACAGAGAAGCTCTATATGTTACAGGACAAGCTGCCAGAAAGACGAGGTTGGCAGCACATCCTGTAGCATTTGAAGCTCCACATGGTCACCACGGCTAAAGTCCATCTCCAGGGAAGGAATGTAAGAAGCTGATTTTTACAAGGCAAGCGATTGGTCCATCTCCCTCAGTGTTGCTACAAAAACTGGCAACAGGGCTTCAGGCAGAAATCTCCCCGCACCCCCAGCTCTACCTGGAGATGCCAGGAGGAGCCTCTTCCCTCTGAAATCTCCCCCCTACCTGGTGTCACAGACACAGTGGATGGTTATGGGCATCGCACATCTGCATGACCCGTGGATAGCGATGGGCTATGGCGTGGGGGCTGTGACACACACACACGCTCGCAACTCTCTGCCTTCCTCCCGTGGTAGCTATGGCACACTTACACGCAGTCACCCGCAGAGGCGGCAGCAAGGATGGAGATGAGGTTGGGGGGCGAGTCGGGGTCCCCACTGAACCCAGACACCGGCGCTCGGCTCCCAGCCCGGTCCCGGCCTGTGACAGAGATGCCCACATCAGAAATAGGGATTGGGGGTGGGGTAAGAGAGGGAGAGCGGTGGACATGAAGGGGGTGGGGTGTCATCGCCCCTGCGCGGTGTGGAGCAGAAGACTCGGGGCGGGGAATCTGGGGGAGGAGGAAATGTGTCTGGAGCCACAATGGGAGGAGATGGGGGGGAGATGGAGCATGGCATGGATTGGCAACGGTGTCAATGGTCTTCCTAGCCCAGGGCTCCCTGGGGCTCTGATTCGCTCACCGTGCAGCCTCTGCGAAGCAACCACGTAGCTGACGAGTGTCACGTCGCTGGAGCCGCCCGACTCGAGGGGGATGGGGTGGACCCGGAAGTGCTCCAGCATGTCAAAGATGGTCTGGAACCAGAGGTGCTGAACCCGGCATTGCCCGTCTTCGTTAAGGGAGAGGCGCAGGTGCTGGTGGCGAGAGAAGGAGGCCTGGAGAGAGGTCCCGTCAAGTGCCTGATCCTCTCCCACCCTGTCTCACAACTGGCACCATCTTTCTTTTTCTTACCGTAGATTCCGGCATATAAGACAACTTTTTAACCCCGGAAAAGAGGTTAAAAAGTCGGGGGTCGTCTTATACGCTGGGTATGGGCGGTACGGAGCAGATCCCCCCCCCCCCCGCTGACGCTGCGGCGGCTCTGAAACAGCAGCAGCGGGCAGCGGGCGGCAGGCTCTGCTCTGCGCCGGGCGACTTTCTCCCGGAGCAGAGCTGCCCAGCGTATTAGGCGACTGGGCTTATAAGATGAACCCTCAAATTGCAGCTGCCAATTTGGGGGGGGTCATCTAATACACCCAGTCGCCTAATACGCCGGAATCTATGGTAATCACATTCACACTCCACCTTTCCCTCCCAAGGAACTCAAGGCGTTGTATGTGGCTCTCATCTGCCGAATTACAGCCTAAAAACAAGGCTGAGGAGGTCTGGCCAAAGGTCACTCAATGAGCTGCACGGCTAAGTGGGGGCTAGTACCCTCGTCTGCAAGGTCCTAGTCCGAAACACTGACCCACTGCGCCACGCTGGCTTGCCCAGATACCCGCGCACGTGCGCTCACCTTTGCCTTCCCCTGAAAGTTAAAGGTCAGGACGTATTCCCCGCGCCGCGTCTCACTCTGCCGCACTAAGAAAACGCCGTGGCTGCTGGCTCCCCCTGCCAACACCAGCTGGGCTGCTTTGAGGCGGGACAGGGTGCCGTGGAACCAGGGGTATTCAGACAGAGGGTGCTCCGTGTCGCCAAGGCTTCCCCCGCCTGGGTCGGGCTCCCCTTGGAAAAGGAAGGAACCTGGAGCAGGGAGAGAGGCGAGAGCCGTCTGCCAAAGCCGGTTCAGAGAATTCTGAAGTCTCGCTCGCAGATTTCACTCTTGAGACCGTCAGACACACCCACCCCATCCCCGTTCTCTCAGAATGGGGAGAGAGAGAGAGAGAGAGAGAGAGAGAGGGAACGCCACTCCACTCCAAGGCATTACCTGTGGTGTCCGGGGTTTCAGGGAAGGTCGTGTGGAGGAGCCCCATGGGGAACGGCCCTTCGTCAATCGGCACTCGAGGTGGCAGCTCGGGAGGCAGCAGCTCCATTGAGTCAAAGTGGGAGGCAGCAATGGAGACGGAGCTGGGGGACATGGAGGCGGAGGGGCGCTCCATCAGTCCGCCATAGGCACCTGGGGAGGGGAGAGGATGGACAAACAGGCCAGGTCACAAGCAGCACACCAAGGCAGCTTCAAAAAACATTGTGCAATTCCCGAGGTTATCATGGACTGAATGTCTTAAATAGCCTTTTCTTATGTAAGCGGCAAATGGAAAATTGGAAGCCCTTTTTATGTTTATTTATTATTTCTTTCTCATCTTTCTCTCTCTCTTCTTTTTCTTCTCTCTCTTTATTTTCTTCTTCCTGCTTATTTCCTGTGTCTCAACACCAAAAAAATATTGTGCGATTCCTTGTCAAGGCTGCATTTTGTCCACTATATATGCAGCATAGAAAGCATAGTTCCTGCCTCTCCAAATTTTGATTTTTAAAAATCTGAAGTATTAAAACTGGCCTTTCCTTCCAACAGTAGAGTAACAGGTTTGTGGCTGATGCTGTATACATTGTTTTAACATATAATTAAGAAACCAATAGGTGACTAGATTGAGAGAGGAAATGGTTGGGCAGAGGGCAGGGAGAACTTGAGAATTTTCCTGCCTGATTTACAAGATTTATTACAAATCAACAAACAGAAACAAGAGTTAAGATCAATAATTGACAAAAGGGAAAAAGCTATTATCAGAAGTCACACTCTCCCAAACCTCTGTCTCTAGGAATAGAATCAAACAGTTACAGATCACAGACCATATTAAAAAAAGAACAAAATAAAATACATTTAAACTCCACAGAAAAGTGAAATACATTTAAAAATGCCATGTAACTGTATACAAGATTTCCTAAACCAACTAAAAACGAAAGACTAACAAAAATTAATAAAACAGTGATGCTATGTCATTGTATACTACACAGCGTGTCATTATTTAAGAGACAAAGCCAGTTCTGATTAGTATGTAGAAATCTTTGTTCTATAAAGTTTTTTTATTATTTATTTCATTTATTACTTTTTCACCCCATCCTTTCTCTCAAGGAGCTTGCAATAGCATACGGAGTTAGTGCGCATTCCTGTTTCGAACTCGGCCCCTCTGAAGAAAACACCTCAGGTTGGAAAGCGTAGAAAGCTGGCACTCCAGCTTTTTCCTCTAAGACTAGATCACACATGGGGAATTTTGTCTTGTGAACCGCCCTGAGACCTTGTGATGAAGGGCAGCACATAAATCCAATAAATCTAATAAAAAACAAAAACCTGCGGCCCTCTCAATGGTTAGGCTCCAACGCCCAATATGGCGAATAGTCAGGGATGATGGGAGTTGTGGTGAAATGAACACAAACAGGGCCACAGACTCCCCATTCCTGGATCAAACATTAATGCAAAAATAGAATTTTATCATCTTGCTGCAATAGATGGCTTTGCATTTTACCAGAAGGGTAAGGCAGAATGCCGCTTGACTACAGTGATACCTCATGTTACGTTTGCTTCAGGTTGTGCGTTTTCAGGTTGCGTCCCACGGCGACCCGGAAGTACGGGAAAGGGTTACTTCCAGGTTTCGCCGCTCGCGCATGCGCAGACACACAAAATGACGTCATGCACATGCGCAGAAGTGGCGAATCACTACCCGCGCAGGTTGCGTTCTGCTCATGTTGTGAACAGGCCTCCGGAAAGGATCCCGTTTGCAACCAGAGGTACCACTGTACTACTACATCTGCTTAGGTTTAGGAAGAACCATTTTCATTTTCCTGGCAGTGCTGGATGGAGGGGCCTTGCCAGCCCTACCTGGCAATGCCAGGGATTGAACCAGGGACCTTTTGCATGCAAAGCATGTGCTCGGCTAACTGATCTCCAGCCCTTCCCCAACGTGGCAGCATCGTTTTTCCAAGGGGTGAAGCTGGGGCTCTGCTGGGGGTGGGAGAGAATGCAACAGACCTTGGCTGAGCTGATCGCTGCTCTCACTCGGCACCATGGGAAGCTCGCGGCTGGGCATGCTCTCCGAGTGGTTCATACATGGCTGTTCCAGGCTGTCAGTGCTCTCTCTGTGGAGACAAGTGCCATTAGCCAAAACCAAACATCTGTGTCCGAGGCCAATATACTCCCCAGTATCAGATACAGGGGGGCAAGCAGGGAAGGATTATCACACTCATGCTGGGCTGCTACTGGAAACAGAAACACTGGACATGCTAGAGCTTTGGTCTGGCTGCTTGCTTCAGGGATGGGGAAACCTGTGCAATGCCCTCCAGATGTTGCTAGACTACAGCTAAGTGATAAACTCCACACAAATACGGAGTGGAGTCCCTAAGGCAGCTGGGTGGTGCCTTGTATGCCTCCTTCCAGCAGCTCCTGGAGCCAAGCTGGGGTCAAACATATTGCTCTGTTTTCCTTTGGGCCACATCAGTGAGGCTGAGATTGGGGGTCTTGTCTAGGACTGCCTTACACACTGCCTAGGCTTGTGCCCCCCCCCACTTTGGTGCCGCTAACACCAAACCGGAGGCACACTCCATTGTCTCTTGAGTGAGATGGATGCCAACAGCTCCCACCAGCCCTGACCACTGGGCCTTGCTGGCTGTGGCCAATATGGGAGTTGCAGTTCAACAACATCTGGTGGACCAAAAGTTCCCCAATCCCTGGTTTATGCTTTTAGCATGGGCAAAGTTTGCAAGGCATGCCTAGCCGACCTTTCCCATTCTCGTCTGCCTAAAGGCTCTCATGTAAAGTATGAAGCTGTCCTAGCTGTCAATCTATCTCAGACCACAGGTCCACATAGCCCAGGATTGCCTTCTTTGAGAAGCAGCAGTTCTTCCAGATTTTCAGGGAAAGGAAGCAAGCAAGGCTTTTATTAGCCTTGCTACCTGGGATCCCTTTAACTGCTAAGGATGCTACCTTTCACAGGCCCAGCAAGTGCTCTGCTGCCTAGCTCTGGTCCTCTCCCACGGCCTGGCGCAACTTACCCGAGGCCCATGCATTCCTGAATGTCAGCCAACCAGGAGCGCATCTGCAGCGAGTCAACCGTCTCAAGGATGTACTCCAAGGAGCTTGACAGCTGTGAAGTAGAGTGGGAAGGGAACAGCCATAGACACATTATGTTTTGGGGGGTGTGGAGGGGCTCCTTATTCCTAGAACATGCCCCCCACTCCCCTCCGGTGCCTCCAAAAAGCCAAGGGAAAAAATGAAACATGTCACCATGAGAAAATCAGTAAACTGCTTCCTAACCCTTTTGTGCAAGAATGACAAGAGCTGCTGAAGCCAAATGATGCTCAAGTTAAAAACCTTCTCCAAGAGCTGAGAAGATAGAAAGCATTCTTATACTGAATCAGACACTTGGTATATGTAACTCAGCATTGACTACACGGACAGTAGTAAGAGAATGAGGCCTCCCTCTACATGTTTTGGCCCTCAATAGAAACAAGTCAGTTCAGGCAGCAACGGCTGGCAAGGTGTTTAAGGAGACCTTTGTCCCACGTTCTTTATCAGCTACCTTAGCTGCCCCTCTACACCATGCTGACTGAACCCCCCTCCCATTTGCTGTGCTTTTACCATGCAAAAAAAAATAAATCACAAAGCACCCACATACCCTTCTCACTCTCAAAGCACACAGATGTCATGGTTGGCCTCCAGGCATATGAAAGCAAACCAAGCATATGACAAAGCATATGAAATCAAACCAAGAGAAAAAGAAGGTCGGGGAATTGTCATGAGTCTGCTCAGGAACAGCAGCTCCTGCCAAAGCTAGCGAGGTCCTGCTAGAGAGGGACCAGGCAGCAGCAGATCCCACCAGAAGTGAGAAGCAAGGAGAAAAGTAGGCAACGGCTGAATGCACACTCCAGCCAGTCTGCCTTTCAGAAGTGAGGGAACTATTCAAGCCCAGGGGCTGCACGCCCATATGGGCAGCTTTCTGGGGGCCACATGTCAGTGATTGGAGACATCAGACAGACAGAAACCGGGTGGGCAACGGATACAGCTCCTGGCATTAGGCAGGAGGCTACCTTCCAGCCTGCAGGGGAGAGTCCCAGGGACCAGACAGAGGGCTGCACCTGGACCTTGGGCCTGAGGTTCCCCACCCTTGCAGCTGTCTTAGCTGCTGGTGGAAGGGACTTCCTCTGGGAAAGTAGCCCAGGCAGAGAATGGGGACACATCCGCTCACTGAGAAGTGTTAATATTATTATAAGCAAATATGCAAATTAACTCATTATGGCTCCAATTATCACGGAATACATTTAAGGTTTAGGGTTGGTGTTTTTTGGTACCTACTTGAATAACTTTTTTAAAAAACCAGGCTCACAAAACGAAGCCACTAACTTTCTGCCCCTATGCAACCTTGATATTTTTCTTCTCCTCACCTTGAGCACAAAGGTGTTCTCTTTGTCTGGCATTTCCAAGGGGGTCGTTGTCCGCACATCCACTACGCAAGAGCAGGCGATGCTGACCCGCGGCTTGGATGCCTAGGGGTTAAGTTAGGGAGAGCCACAGTTACGCCGATGCCCCTCAGTGCTGGGAATCTTGGCGTGGGGTAATCCTTTGGCTCTCCCCGCCCGGGATTTCTTCCCCCCGCCCTGATGCAGCGACCCATGGCTCACCTTTGGTGGGATGTAGAACTCCAAGAGGTAACCCTCCCCCTCCCCCTTCCCCGCTTTGCGCAGGAGAAGGCGGCATTTCTGCCAGCGCGTCCGGCTGCCCCCGCCTGCCCCGTCGTCGGCCACAATGTAGTTCAGCAGGCCCTCGCGCCGCACGCTGGCCAGTTCTACGCGGAGGGTGGCTGGGGAGGCTTTGTTGAGCCGCAGGCGTTCGAAGCGGTGAGTCCAGCGCTCGGAGTCGCCACCCCCTGAAGAGTTGGAATTGCTGTTGGCGCCGGTGGTCGCCCCGTCCGCGCTGCTAGGGGGCGACTCGGTCGAGGTCTTCCACTGCAGGATGCCCCGGACGCTGCCCCGTACACTGCGGCTTACGTTACGCAGGGAGAAGCGCTTCTTCAGCTTTGGTTTGGTGGCCGTCACGGCTGTTGCGGTGGAAACGTCTTCGGAGCTACGAGACTGGCTGCTGGAGAGGCCAGAGGGCGGCCCCAGGGGAGGCTCCACAGGGGAGGCCACGGAGGAGTCGCTGCACGTCTCGGAGAGGTCACGTGCGGAGGAGCAGCCGGTGAAGGGGGCGATGTCGCACCGGGGCGGCGAGTCACTGGCATAGGCCCGGCTCACCTCCGCCTCAAAGTGTTCCAGGAAGTGCTCGGCAAAGCGGCGAGAGAAGGCAGCTTCAGCTCCTGGCGTGGCAAACTGGGGGTTCTCACCCAGGAAGGCCCGAAAGCGGCGGGCAAAGTCCACCGCGGCAGCGCGAGCATGCGCCTCGCAGAATTCCCGCCAACCCGGAGAGGGAAGAGAGGCGGGTTCCCCCACCATCCCTCCCCCGGTTGGCGACAGGGGCACTGCGCTCCCGTTCATGACTGCCCGGGTGGGGCCGGGTAACAACAAACCCAGCGCCAGGACTGGGCCGCTGTCGGAACTAGTGGCCTTGTGACCTGCAGAAGGAGAAACGGAGAGACCGTTATGAAAATACGAGGAACAAACAACCTCACGGGGTTACTACTGTTGTTCCGGATGCAGGGAAGAAAAAAGGGGGATTTTAGGGAAGAATACAGCCACTCACAAGCAGGAATGAGTAAGAGCTCAATAACACTGTTAAGGACCTGAGTAACTTACCCAAGCGGTAATATGCAACTTTATAGGTAACATCTCAAGTCATATAACAGAAGACTCTCACAAAGAAGGCAACCCTAACTCTAAATGCACAAGACTGCTTTGGAATTAAAGAAGAGAGAATCATGGCATTACAGAAGCAACTAAGATGCAGTCCAGCAAATATAATTAGAAAACAATGGAAACTATTGGAGGTGCCAAATCTGGAGCTGAGTGCTTGGTTCTTGTCTTTAGGTAAATTACAAACCAATGCTTTCCTGAAGATTCAGTGTTAAGCTCTGAATTAAGCATCTAACCCCTCTGAAGACAGAGAGCAGATCACCTTTTTTCAGGGACAGAATTAGATCTCAGGGTGAATCTCTAATTCATAGACAGAATTAGATCTCTATCCCTAAAGTAGCATTAAACAATTATTCAATACAGGAATGAATAATAAGGTTGTGACAGTTTGGTGAATCTCATGACTAGCAAAAATCAACAACATGATTTTGGCCAAATTCCGCTACAGCTCAGTTCTGACAGTGAAGAATGCATGGGTGGGCATAAAGTAGACTGTAGCCCACTTACGGGCTGCTGGCAAACTTCTGGAGGATAAGTTACATCTACTGATTACTGGAATCCTTAGAAAGAATGCTGGACGGACCTTGGTCTAAATTAGCAGGGCACTACTTATGACTGAAAAGTTCAAGAGTGCCTACTCAGGATCACTGCAAAAACATTGTGAATATTCACTCTAACGTTGGAATTTTACATGCATTTGTGGACCATGGGGATTCTTTTTTTTTTTTAAAGAATTGATGGATCATGCAAGACTGAAATTGGATCACCTCTGGAATAAGTGACTGAAGGATACCTTCTACTGAAAATCAGACCAGCTGTGCTTACACGGTAAATACCTCTTGCTGAACTACTACAGAATGCTTGTGGGGGAAACTGCTTGATTGAAAACACCTCAGCATGAAAAACCTTCAACCTTTCTACATGGAAGGTGCTTTCAACCCGAGAGTGCACTTTCAGAGACCTAAGGGTGTAACAAGAGGTCTCACCTGCATTCCAATAGGATAACATCACATACACGTATCTGCAAGTTTCAGTAAGCTCATGGTCAAAGTCACACACCTGCATCTATCTACTGTAAGATTTCATGAGTTGAGCCCTGTCCATAGCAGGACTAACTCTCAAAAGTTAAACCCGTCCCTGCTGAGAAGCAAATTGCTTTGCTACAAATAGCAACGTCCCACCTTACAGAGGACAGTGAAGTGTAATCTTCCCAGCCCTCAACTGGGAAGAAACCATTCCAAAGCTCCACTTCTTACCATGTTGGAAAAGTTCAAGTGACTTTAGTACCATTTCCAGTACCTGTTATTTTTTCCAATTGCTCTTCCCTGCAGCTGCATCTGATATTTAAACTGAGGGTAAATGCTATTCAGTTTGCCTATTCCAATATGCTGATTCCTCTGAATGTGAAATTCCATGAATGCAAGGCACTGAAAATGGAGAAAGGATAGCATCATGATCTAACTGGTGAAAAACAGGGTGCAAGCTTCAGGGAAGTCCTCTGTGGAGAGCCTCTTAACCTCAGAATTGGAAATGGCAGTTTCTCAGGAGAAGGATGTCACATGGGGACTCGGGAAAAGGAATGGAAAGAAACAGTCCAGCACAGCAAATACTTCTCTGACGGACAGAACTTTTAGTCTTGGCAGCCTGGGGAACCTTTAGAGGTGCAGGGGATTGGACGGGAGACCTTCGGAATGACAACTGCCTACTCTACCACTAACGGACCATTCCCTAACTAAGGGATTGGTGGCGGGAAGAAGAGTGGACGCTACTACTTGCCGAAGGCACGGAGCTGGCCACACAGAGCTGAGTGCAAAGAGCACATTTCCCTCCCATATACACGTGCACCGAATTAGGGAACGGAAGGTGGGGGGCACCTCCTCATGCCTCTCTAAGCCGACCAGCCTCCTACCTCTCAGAGCTCTTTCGTGCTTTTTAAGCATCCCGCAAAGCTGGCTGCTCTGCGGGAGGCAGCTTCACTCTTCCCCGAAGAGAAGAGGCACAACCTGGCAAGACTGCCGAGGGTTGTGGGGAGTCATGCAGGGCGATCCGATGCCCACTTCGCCCTCGGAGGCAGGCCCCGGCCAGTCCGGCGGGCCCCGGCTCCCCAACGAGCGGGCCAGGGCGCGCAGCCTAATGAAGGCACGGAGCCCCGTCAGGGGCTGGACCTGGCAGCCCCCTCCCTGGGAAGCGGGTGCGCGGGAGCGAGCGGTCCTTCCTCAGAGGGCGGAGGCGGGGCTGCGGATGGGGGGGAGGCTCTTCGTGGATGGGGGGCGCTGGGGGGGGGCTCCGCTTGGCTCCGCGCGCCTGTCACTTACCATCTCGGCCTCGGATCCCTTCCAGGAGGAAGGGTTTGTCTGTCCCCGTCTTTCTCCCAGTCCACCGCACGTCACTTCCGCCTCCGGGTTCCCTTTCGGTCAGGTGACTTTATTTTCTTCCTTTAATATCCGTCTTCGTCATCCGCTGAGAGGAAGAAGGGGGCGAGGGTTGTTGTTGTTCTAAGCTTCAAGTTACCATAGAGAGGAACGTATGCTTGGCGCTGGAGGGGCCGCGTAAGATGCGCGGAGCGTCAGTTGACGTAGCTGGCCTTCTCCTCGTTGGTGCAGGTGTTCAAGTTGTTACCACGGCAACCAGTGACGTAGAGCTACCAGGGGCTCCCGGACCGTTGTAGGGGGGAAAAGGGGGGCGCTTATTCGGCGTAATATGTCTCTGTCCCGTTGCTGGGGCAACGGCGCAGCAACATCATCCTCCGGAACTCAATGCGCATTTACGTGAAAGTAAGCCCCCCCGCGCTCGCTGGGGGCTCCTTCCCATGTACGTGTGCACAGAATTGCAGCGTTAGTGCACGGCCTTTGAGCAAGTGCAGAGTTCTTTCGCTTTTAAAAAATCCATAAGCAGCCGCACATTTGTAGCTTCGCCATAATCATCGGCCTTTTTATTCAGGGATTGTGATTTCCCACTTCTCTCTCGAATCCACTGAAGCGATTAATTTGTGCTGGACAAAGGTACGGTAGCTGCATTCAAATGGATTATATTTCAGTGTAAGTTTATCTGCCCAGGCGTTGAAAAAGTCAAGGAAACCAGCCTGAAATCCCTTTGCTACAAGTGTCCTTCATCAGGTCTTTGGAACCTTGCTGGCACTCTATGAGTTTGCTGGAAGCATGAATGAGGTTGAGTGCTGGCGCTTATGGCCATATCCATGCAGGTTCCAATCGCCAACAAAATCCTTATGATCCACTTCTAAATATCTGAATCCAGCTACCATAACCTCTAAAGCAAGACAAGAGGGCATCCCAAATAGTCCTGGAGCTAAACTGGGAGCTTCTCTGAGGAAGATACCCAGGTGTGGATGAATGCTAGGATAGAGTGCAGAAGCTCCTGAACTTAAGATATAGATACAGTTTGACTGAGAGGCGTGAGCCCTGATGCTGTACTTCCCCTTCCACCTGTGGGTGGGAGGAATGCCTCTAAAGGCAATTAGGGTAGTGTTAATTCTTAGCGACTTTTGGTATTCCCAGGGATTTCAGAGAAAATCTATTTTGTAATACAATCCCTATTGAACTATCAAAGGAGGGGAGATGCTAGACTTGCCTACAAACTTGTCCAAATCACATGTTGAGATTAGGGGCATGGCCTCAACCAAAGTCGCTGCACATCAGCTAGGATTGTATACGATGCTCACAAGCAGGCACAACCAGAAAATGCCAGTGTCAGTCAGCCACAAAGAACCTGGGATGTGGAAATGCACCGTATGAGATCACTGATGGTTCAAAAATAGAAGTTTAGGAGAGCAGGGGGGAACTACTGGAGCCCACATCCTATTAACCATACTGGACTGGAGCAGTTCTGCAAAGGGAAAACCCAGGAGTATTAACTCACACAACTACCGAGCCTGTTATATAGAACAAACAGCACATCTGTCTCATGGTTATAAAGACAAGCAGCAACAGCATAAAAAACAGCACAAAATGCACACACACACACATCTAGAATATAGCAGAAAATGGATACTGGTTTCTAAACAACATGAGGTCAAGCGACATCAGTTCAAGGGATTTGTGAAGACTAGAAATTGAAGCATGCCATGAATCATGAAAGCCTGTGTGAAACAGTGTGATCTGATATTGCCCACACCAACACTTTAGTCTTGCTATCGATTATATAACTAATTTATAGGAGAAAAATGATAATTTGTTGCTGCAAATGTGCAACTGATAAGCAAGGAATTCAATCCTACTTTGTGCTGTATCTTCCCACCTTCATAGTGGGCCAACCTTGGCAGGTGGGTGTGGCTACTCACCTGTCAATCACCTGACATCTGTATGATATCAGGTGATTGACTCCCACCCATTTGTCAAAGTTGGCCTGCTTTGAGGGGGCAGGGGAATAAAATATCTGACCCACCGGGCCAAAAAGCTTCCCTACTCTTGCTCTAATAGCTTACAATATTTTAAGAACCAGGTCTGGACCTTACGGTGGTGTTTGGTGAGCTCAGAGGCAAAGTAGGCAGAGCAACAAACAATACTGTTACCTTTGTTTGTTAGGCTACTTTGTGCACACTCTCGCACCACCCCCTCTTCCATACAGGCAAGAAAGAAGCATGGCCAGAGTTCAAGGACACATTCCATGCCAGCCAAACACACGCATGGATGGTGGTGTGAAGCAAGGCCAGTGAGGGGTGTGACTTGGTAAAGGATGTGGACTGCAGAGAGTCATGATGATCAAATCACTCCTGGGTCTGTGGCTTCCCACTCTGGCTTATAGTACAGCAGGCAGCCTCCTGTGGTACAGACTAAACTGATATTTTAAGCTCTTCTGAGGAGACCCTGCTGGTCTCTCAGCAGTGAATTGTCACTTGGTGACAACACAAAAGCAGGCCTTCTCGGTGGCGGCACCCACCTTCTGGAATACCCTCCCCTCTTGTGAACTGGGAGACAGAGACAGTAATGGCTTTTAAACATCTCTTAAAAACTGGTATGTTTACCCAAGCTTTCCTGGACTCTGGTTAATTTTTAATTTTTTGTACACAGCTTGATTTTATCTGCTATGTACAGTTGTGTTTGTATCTCATTTTTGAAAAAAATGTGGTGGTGGTTTTATTTAAACCACTTAATGAGATGTTATTATATTGAGCGGTATAAAAATGTTATTTATAAATAAATGCATATGCTGGAGTTGAGCACAGCTAGGTGACAGGAACTCAGAACAGGAGCAATCCTGCTTGTGGTGAAGAAACAGTGGGATAATTTTGTTACAGGTCCTCCGCATAAATGTGTGTTACTGCCTATAGCTACGCACATAGCGGGGCCATGGTGACATAATGTGCACATGGCAGAGGGCATGATGACGTAGCACGCACACGTTCTGTGGTGTGCATGCGCGGCCAAACCGCACTTTGTGGGTGCCCAGCCCCCTTACTTTAAATGGTGCCTATGATGTAAGTAGCACCTTACACACCCTTCTAGGACCTTCCTTCCACAACCTCTTCATGAGTTGGACTTCACTCATGCATTTATTCTGAACCAGGCTATAGCCTGGGGTGACTAGTTTATAGCCCACTGACTGTTACTGGATAACAACTAGAGACGTATCTGTCGGTTTCGACTTTTTTTTTCTTCATTTTTCTAGTCACTAAGTTCAGTTTGCTATAATTCTTCATGCTTGCATTTGGGGGGGGTGGTAGAAAGTCCTCATGAAATGTTGGTAGTATTTGTGTGCATTTCTTCTACTATACACTTTTGTACACAATTTTGGCAAATATGCAGGTTTCTGTAATCATCGTTTTCTAATATGGTGCATTTTTATTTTTATTTTACATATATGTGCATCGACATGCACACTTTCCCTTAATACATTTCATTTTAAAATTTGGAGAAGGGTGAATTTCAAAGATAGCCACATTTCGATTTGTTTTGGAAATTGGGCACGTTCATATTAAAATGCAAACCAAACCAAATTTCTCTCCCATCCCTAACTACAACTACTATTGTTCCCAAATCTTGCCCATTCATGCAGGGGCTGAGAACTGGCGTGTTGAGGGATACTTTGGGCACTGCTGCCAGTAGCCTTATACACGCTTTTTTGTGGTATGAAAAGGCAAAAGTACATAAAGGTTTCACAAACCATATAATTAGGAAAAAATTGTATAGAATGTAGGATAAATATAAAAACTTATTGGAGACTAAAGCATCACTTTGGCTTTCACCTTTGGAAGCCATAGCGGTGAAAAAGGAAAATATGATGGAAAGATGGGCAACTTATAGAAATATGCTAAGTGAGGAGGGTAGAGAATTTAAATTAAGTGTTTAAGGATTTATCAGGGATATTAACAATATGGTTACAATATCATTTGAATGTATTTAAAAAGGATATGAAGCGGGAGTTTGGGGAACAACTATCACAGTTAAAGAGAGACCTGTTAAACTGTAATGTTAAAGTGATGTCTAAAATGTATAAGATGTTATTGGAATGGGAGACAAAGGACAAACAAGTCAAATGAATGATACATTGGGCAATAGATATTGGTCATAACATAGAAATGGAAGCATGGGAACGCTTATGGAATATGGATATAAAATTTACAGCATGTTATGGTTTAAGAGAAAATTATATGAAAATGGTATATATATGGTACCTAACACCTAGTAGATTGGCAAAAATGTATAAATCAAAATTGAATAAGTGTTGGAAATGTAAAGAAAGGTACCTTTTTCCACATGTGGTAGTCTTGCAATAAGGTTACAGCTTTTGTCATCTACTGTCTCCTCAGCACCACCCCAAAAATACCCCATTTCTCTTGCAAATGAGCATAGAGCAATTTTGGGATTTCCCACTTCTAGTGTTTTGCTTGCATTTGCACAAGCCCTTGGGTTGTGTGCCCCACCCCAAGCCTGCTCATAAATCTCTCTTCTGTGTGGATAGTGCCATTTCAGCGACGCTAGGATTGAAACTCAGAGAATAAGCTATTAGTACTGTATATACAAATAGGACTGGCAACAAAACGTTGTGTGGAGTGCACCTATTAAAGGTTCCAAACTTGTACTTCTCCAGAAGACTCCATTCCTCCCAGTCAGCCATCATTCTATGCCACTGAGCATATTAAACCCTTGTTAGGGTATTTGGGAGGATTTTCTCTCTTACTTCCCCCACACACGACAAAAAAGATTTGTTGTATTTGTGGGAAACTTAAGAGTTCTACTAAGCCTGCTGATAATTTGCTCTTCAGTTTGGGTTGGTGCTATTTTGTCTACATAAAGGTAAAGGGACCCCTGACCATTAGTGGCCGACTCTAGGGTTGCGGCGCTCATCTCGCTGTACTGGCCGAGGGAGCCGGCGTACAGATTCCAGGTCATGTGGCCAGCATGACTAAGCCGCTCCTGGCGAACCAGAGCAGTGCACGGAAACGCTGTTTACCTTCCCGCTGGAGCGGTACCTATTTAACTACTTGCACTTTGACGTGCTTTCGAACTGCTAGGTTGGCAGGAATTTTGTCTACATAGGGATTCCCCATTAGGATAATGAGTTTGCTGCTAGAAAACAGGATGATGTTCCTAAGATGATAATAAGAGCAAAATGGAGGCAGGGACTAGCTACCTTTGCTTGCAGTTTTATATCAATTGTTTGTTGCTTGCTCACCCCATCCCTAAAAGCTGAGTATAGTTGAAAGAGAGATAACTCTTTTGTGTTTGTATACACCACTGTTTAGGCTTCAAGTATTTATTAATGGAATTGGAAACTTATACCCTGCTCTTCTAATCACATATACATTATTTGGGAGCAGTTTACAACATATTTTAGAAACCTTCTGTGTGCCTTTTGTGTTAGGAATTTTATGGTCTTAGATATATGGTAATGTTCATAAATGGTTGGATAGTGTCTTCAAAGCTACCAGCATGAGTTTGACCAAACTGCGGGAGGCAGTGGAAGACAGAAGTGCCTGGCGTGCTCTGGTCCATGGGGTCACGAAGAGTCGGACACGACTAAACGACTAAACAACTAAACAACAACAATGTTCATAAGTGTACTAACCAAGCACGTACATAGATCAGCACAGGAAGACCGACCTGGAACCATTTTGATTCCTAAACTGAGCAAATGTCTGACCATTGTCTCTTTCCTCACAAATCCTGTCTTAAGGGCACATTTAAGATATGAATAGGGTGTGAGCCTGTGACCTGGCCCAGGAACTAAGTATTTATCATTACAAAAGACTGGCCAGGCTACCCAGGCAATCCAATCAAGTAACCTGCCAGACAGGAGATAAACGACAGGAGAAAAACAACATTCAAATTTCTGTTTTAAGACCGCCTTTTCTGTGATGTAGGTATGATGTATCTGAGGGGTGGTCTTAGGTTACACTGCTTCTGTGATGTATGTATGATGTTTCTGGGGGTGGTCTTGATCTATAGGGTGGCAATTTCAAAAGTCTTTATAAGGCCTTGCACGCCATTTTTTCTGGGTTCCTTCTCTCCTGCAGGTAAGGGGAGCACCCTGTTGCAACGGATCAATAAAGATCAAGCTTACTAGCTGCTTTGCTTCTCAATATTCTCTGGTTGGCCTCTGTTATTCTCTCCTACCAATAGGGAACCTATGGGCCCTTGGATACCCCATAAGGGAAAAGGGCAATTTTTGTTTACAACACTTTCTCCCAGACATATTTCCCATGAGGGAATGTGTCCCCTACCAGGAAAAAAAAGGCTGTCCACTTCTGATTTTGAACCATATCCTATAGCCCCATGGAGTGCATATTTAATCATATGTCACTATATCTGTAAGCTGCATTGAGTCCCTGTCAGGAAAAAAGGCAGGGTAAAAATATTTATTATTGTTGTTGTTATTTATTTTCTCTATTGTTGTATTCTCCTGTTTCTGTGTTTATTGAAAAATCGCTTAAAATCATAACGAGAAAAGGAGAAAAGAATAAGCTTTCTGAAGAAGCATCTCTCAGCCACGTTTGACAGCTTGGGGTGACGCTGCCTAGGAGGTCACGGAGGCCAAGGCCATACTGGAACCCACGTGACATTGAGGGATCGGGGGTCATTTGGGGTCACCCGTCTTCTAACGAATCCGGGACTTTCTGTCTCAGCAGGAGGCCCCGCCCATTGCCCATGCGCTTCGTCGGGCGCGCGGCGGAAGAGCCTTTTGCTCTTGTACGTAAGCAGCGAACATGCGCAACGGCTTCTCTTCCTTCGGCACATGCGCATAACGAACTTTGGGAAGCAAGGCAGGCACAAGTCTTTGTTTCCTCTTACGCATGTGCAGTGAGCCCTAAACCATTATCGGACGCCTCCCTCGAAGGATCCGCCGGGAACCCAAGCACCCACTCTCTCTGTTTCCCGATTGACTGTGAAGCGGAGGGAGCGCGTCGCTGGTCACTCGAGAGCGGCAGCACGGAACGTGCGCGGCAGGAGGGAGCGCGCCTGGCGCATGCGCACAGCGAAACCCCGCCCTCCACCAGGGACTCATTGTGCAGCAACCGGATTGACTCCTTCTCGTCCGCGCGGGCCAGCGGGATCCGTACTTCCCTGCCCCCCCACCCAAACCTCACAAGCAAGTGCGCTCCCGATACGAAACAGAAAACTGCGGCCGGCGGAGTGGGGTTTGAGACCGCTCGTGTCGGGGCCCTCAACGCCAACATCACCACTTCCCCATCCCCCGCCTCCTCCTCCTCTCTCTCTCTCTGCGCGCGCTCACTTTTCTTCCAGGCTCCTTCCTTCCCCCCCAGCCCCGCTCTTCCCCCTCCGCCTAGGCTGGGAGATTCGCCTCGCGGCCTTTACGCTCCGAAGCGCTGCCTCTTGATTGGCTCGAGCGCTCGGGACTTTTAACTTCTTTCCTTCGCCGCCTCGTCCTCCTCCTCCTCGCCCCCCGCCCCTTCCCGTTGGATGCGCGAGACCGCGAAAGGGCTAGGCAGCCAATAAGAGCGCGCGCCTCCTGAGGGACTCGTTTCGGCCACAGCGAGGAAGGACCTCTCTCCGCCCCATTTTGTTCGCTGCGGCGCGCGCAGGGCAAACAGGCAGGCCGGCCACACGCACAAGGCGACGCGAAGCGCGCGCGCGGAGCGGGAGGCGGTTTTTATTCTGCCCCTCTCCCTCGCTGTCGTTTGTGTGTGTGTCTGTCTCCCCCCTCCCCCTTTCCGCGACCGCAGGCCTCCCTGCCTGCCCGTTTCCCCTTCCGGGCCAGCAACAGGAGCGCGCGGCGGAGGCGGCTTAGTTCTGAGGCGGCCGCAGGCCCTCCCTCCCTCGCCTCAGCCGGTGGACCGGTTTGTGTCCCTTTTCTTCACCCGCCCCAATCTTTTTCTCTTTCCTTTCCCCCTCGTCAGGCTGCGCCAAAGCGGCGCCCTGAGAAGCGCGTGCGCGCTTGCCGTGGAGGGAGGGGGCCCTTTGACTCTCGGCTTCCTCTCCGACGCCGCCGCCTCTCTCGCCCAACGGCCTCGCGCGAGCGCGTGCTCTGACAGGGGGGTTGAGCCTGCGGCGTCCGGCCCTTTTTCGCCGCCGCCAAGCGCCACCGCCATGTTGAAGCAGCCGCTCCCGCCGCCCTCTCCTCAACCTGGCTCTCCCGCCTCGGCTCCCCCGCCGCCCACCACGCCGACGCCGCCTCCCCCGGCCACCGCGGTAGCCGCTGCAGCCGCCGCCTCGCGCAAGGCCAACCCGACCCCCGCCAGCCCCAACGGCAGCCTCAGCCCCGGGGCTACGGGAGGAGCCAGAGCAGCGACGGTGGCGCCCCCCGGTAGCGGAGGGGGAGGCCCCCCGGGAGGAAGCGGCACAAGGTACGTGGACCGAGAAACGAAAACCGACTTTACATCCGGGGAAGTGGGGAGGGGGAGAGAGAAGGGGCGGAGGGGACAGAAATAAGGAACCGCGCGCGCTCCCGCTCCCAAGGGTTGAAAGGAGGACTTGGCCCGGCGCGGGGAGCGTGTGTGGCTCTGATAAGCGAAGCCTAAGTCCTGAACCACCGATTCGACGTTGCATTGCCCAGTGTGCGCCCTTTGCTAAAATGGTGCGGGGGCGCATCCCAGTTGGCCTGTGTGGTTTAAAAAAAGGGATCGTAATAGTTTCTTAGGGATGATGCTTTAGGTATTTTTCCTGGTGGGATGGAAGAGGGAAGATGAGGTGTGAGGGCCCTCATACTCTTGAGCTGGCCCACTTTTGTAGGCGTTGGGAGTTGATTTGGTGGGATTTAATTTATGAGTAGGTATGGGTGGGATTTTGTTGAAGTACCACATGCAAACCATGTGCACTCAGGAGTAAGTCCCTTGATCCCAATGTAACAGGCTCCTTATTAAGTGTGCTATGGTGGTTTGCACTTACTTTGCACCCTTATTTAGTTAGGTCATTTCTTTTTTATTAGCCGTAAACCACTTCTATGGATGAGTAATGGACGTTGGCAAAAAAAAAAAAAGGGTTCCAGTATAGTAGAATAGTGAACTAAAAAGGCTTTGTTGAGATAGTCATCAGTCTGGTTTTTTCCTTCTTTATGTTCAATCATGTTATTCAAGACAGTGTCCATATTTGCAGTAATAACAAACAAAGGAGTACCTCTGGTATGAGGAAGATGAGGGCTAGAAAACCACAAACCATTGGTCATAACATTTTGAAAAACTGAACAAGTTAGATGGATGTTTTCCTGCTTTTCATATTTTGGTTCTTAAGAGCAGGGCATCATACAGCACAGATTCTCTTTACCATATAGTTGTCACTGTTGCTATTATTTCAATTACCATGAAATATTTGGTCTTAAAAAGTTTGGATGTATGAGGTAGAGCTGCAGGGAACCTTTTCCGCACAAGGGTTGTGTCAGGATTCTTGACTAGATAGTCAGGGGAAGGATTTATGGGGCAGTATATACTTCCATCTCATTGATGTGTAGTCTTTTACTTGCCAGCTGAGAGTAATTTTTCTTATAATATACACGCCACCAGTTTTTCTGAAGAGATTTTGTTAGCTAATGAAAAGGTCCTTATTTCCTTCTGTTTATCAAAATATTGGTTTCTTACTAGTGTATCATAAAACAATTTTATAATGATCTGATGCATCAAAGGTGGCCTGTTGATCTGAACACTGTTTATATTTGGTGGGGGTTCACATCACTTTCCTGTGAGTTACCCTTGTGCCTGATTCATTTTCAGGGGCCAGAGCACAGGCAAAGGACCTCCGCAGTCTCCCGTAAGTACTAGGAGCTAAGCCTTCCAGGGCCATAAGACAATTGTTGTACTTTGGGATTCCTGATTTATGTGATTTGGGTAACTACTAGATGACATCTGAGACCTAAGTAGCTGTGCTGTATTAGTTGTTGGGATGTCTGAATGAATGTTTCTCCAGGCCGAAATTTCTGTGGCTAAAAAGGCATCCCAAAAACAAGATTTAAGAGTCTTCCTATATGGCCAAAAAGGAGGGGAAAAAACCCTCTTCCATTAGTTATAGCTTCTTCTGCATGATACCTTTTTCTAAGAATCTTAAACTTTCACAGATAAGAACAATTTCATGTAGTGAGAACTTGAGGTCAGTTGGCATATTTCAGGCTGGGTTTCCTGTAGTGTCTTAGAGCACTATTATTTTGCATCTAGGTGCAAAGGAGGCCAACTCATAACTGGTTACTAGTGGAAGATCTTCTCTTTTCTGAGTTTTCAAGTTCACTAGGGACACTACAGTTATGTCAGTGGGAGGCACAAAAACTGAAATGTGACACCAAATAAACCATGTGGTTTGTATCTGGGGCCCACAGCAGTATTTGAGCACTCCCTACCTGGCAGGAAATTTCTGATACAATTGGTCTTTTCTACTTCATGCTCTCTGACCAAAGTGGATATGGGGCACCATTATCTTACGATTCCCCAGTTCCCTGCTTAAGGTCCTAAAACTAGCTTGAGCTTATGAAGGAAGCAGGTGATTCAATAGTTATTTAACCCTAAGGTTAGTATTGTTAAATTAACCATTTGTCATTCCTGAAGCTGCATACCTAATACTTGGAAGTGACAGGGGGCAATATAGCATTATAAACTTTCGAATAAACCTTGTCTGTCTTTCCTCTCTATCTATCACCAGGTTTTTGAGGGTGTCTATAACAATTCCCGAATGCTGCACTTCCTCACAGCAGTTGTGGTGAGTCTCCAAGAGAGAAGCTAGGAGGGTGTAGGATTTGAAGTGTCAATATGCAGGTGGATGGTTCTGCAGTAAAGGGTGATTCTTGTGGCATTTCCCCCCAGTCCCATCACTTGGTTTGGTGAGCCTTGCAGGATAAGCACCTTACTTACTGTTTGTTGCACCTTACTGTTCACATTGTGTGCTACCTATTCATTCCTTTCCCAGTGGTTTTACTTAGGTTTGTTTCCAGATGGTTTTGTGAATATGAGACATGGTCACTGTAAGAACAGGACGCTAGAGAAGAGCATGAGTCTCTTAATTTCAGGGTCGTGGATTTGAGCCCCACATTGGGCAGAAGATTCCTGAATTGCAAGGGTTGGACTAGATGACTCTTGTGGGTCCCTTCCAACACTACAATTCTATGATCTTTTACCTGAAGCCACATGCAGGTTGTGATGATTGCTGTTAGCCCTGATATGATCGATATTGGTGATACAGTCCAAATTATTGGTTCTAGTACCATTCCCCCCCCCCCCCCAAAAAAAAAGAAACGAAAAAGGAATGCTAATAGATATATTTTCTTCCTCTTCCTTTTGGTGGCATAGTTCTTGGAAAAAGTTGTTGATTGGATTGAGTTAGAGGGGCTTCAGTTTATAACTTGAAATGTCATTCACTCTTTCTTAGTGTTATTTCTGCCTTCTTTTTCTCTTGACAGGGGTCCACATGTGATGTGAAGGTGAAAAATGGAAACACATTTGAGGGGATCTTTAAAACCTTGAGCTCCAAGGTGAGTGCTTGGTTTTGCTTTCCTAGAGTGTTTGAAAGTAGGTTTGAGTATGAAAAGGATTTTTCTCTGCCATCTTTGTATTAGAACAAGTAGGGCCTCACCACCAATGGTTTCAATGCATCTGTGGTATGCACATTTCAGCAAGTTAGCATTAAAGACGAGGTCCCTGCTTTAATTTTTCTTACGTGTAACATGGTTGTTACTTCACTAGCGATAGCATGACACTTTCTTCACTTTCAGCCACATTGTTCTGCATTTGTGATACTGTGTATCATTCTGGTTGTCTCACCTCTAAAAGGGTCTTGTAGAGTTGGGACAGGTTCAGAAAATGGTAAGGGGATGGAGCAGCTATGAGGCTAGGTTACAGAGTTAGGGAGTTTTAGTTTAGAGAAAAGGCGAGTAAGCAGTGATGTGATAGAAGTTTACAAAATTATGCATGGGACAGAGAAAGTGGATAGAGAAAAGTTTTTCTCTCATTCTCCTAACACTGGCACCCATCTAACTTGAGAGGCATTAAAGCATGATTAGACAGATTCATGGAGGATAAGGCTATGTACTACCTCCATTGTTGAGGCATCATGTCTCTCAATACCAGTTGCTGGGAATGGCAGGTGGACAGAGTGTTGTGCTGATGTCTAGGTTGTGGCCTTCTGAGAGGCATCTGGTTGGCCACAGGATGCTCGGTTAGATGGGCAAGTGGCCTAGATCCAGCAGACTTTTCTTACGTTCTTTTATTTTGGGAAAAAAAGAAAATGCAATCACTCCAAGCAAGTCAATGGATCATGAAGCTTATTTGCTTTGAGACTTCCTTTAGCAGGGTTTTGGTTTTTTTAAAAATCACACTAAGTAAGAGCTGATCTAGAAAGAGAAGGCTTTTTTTCTTTTTGCTGCTACCTTTTTTGAGTGTGCCATGTGTGGACACATTGGTGCCAGATGCTAGCTGCATTAAAATCATTGGTTTTTCTGTTGATTTTTGTGGACAGCTCTTCTGTTCCTGGGGACATTTCAAAATATAAACATGGTGTGAAACGAGATGTGCCTTTTCTCTACAGTACATTTGTTTTGGCAGCAAGTGAAGGTCTATCCCTTTCATAATCTTTTAGAGTTACAATGGATGAAGTCATTTTTAAGTCTTTTATAAGAATTGGTTTTAATTGATTATATTTTGTATTTTATGTACATCACTTGTGATTGTGCTGAAAAGTAGTATAAAAATTCATTGGTAAAAGAAATGGCATCACGTATGCAGACAATGAGAAGCACGCTCTACCCATTTTCTGCTTGTGCTGTTCCTTTCTCATTTTCCAGCTACCTCATTTCTTTTTCCCATCTGGCTTCCTGAGCAGCCCTCACTGGGCTGTTTGCAGTCCCCCCGTAGGAATTTTTCTGAAGTCTTTTAAAATTATTGAATCTTTAAGGTTCCCCTAAGTCTGCAGACACCTCCCGCTTGAGTGTTACTGTTTTGGCTACATAAGTATGGACGCACTCATCTAAAGATCAGAAATAGAATACAAGATAAAATCCTGTGTGTGCCACCTCTCACAAAAAGGCCTAGCACCTTGCTTGTTTGAGAATGCAAGGATGGAGCCTGATATTAGATAGTTCTCAGTGGGCCACTTGATGTCATGAAATACGGGTATTATTCCAGTTTCAGCTAGCTCTGTGTGGGTAGGGATGTGTGATAATATATGTTAACAGGGATTGTGTTTGCAGTTCGAGCTTGCTGTGGATGCTGTGCACAGGATGGTACCTGACCAGGCAGTAGGGCCCAGGAGAGAGGATATTGTGGACACCATGGTTTTCAAACCTACCGATGTTATGTTGGTTCACTTCCACAATGTTGACTTCAACTATGCCACCAAAGGTAATACAGCCTCAAGACAGCAGGGTTGAGGTCTGGTGTGTTACCTGGACTTGGCAGGGGGTGGGAGAGCTTGGATCTTTTCCATTATGACCTTTCCCTCTGCTCTCTGTCCTAGATAAGTTCACAGATTCTGCCATCGCCATGAATTCCAAGGTGAATGGGGAGCATAAAGAGAAGGTGCTACAGCGCTGGGAAGGAGGAGACAGCAACAGTGATGATTATGACTTGGATTCTGACATGGCAAGTGTTCTGAACTGGGTGAAGCAGCAAAAGACGAATGCTTGGGGCTGGTGCTGTGGGTCTGATGCCTTGCTAAGCTGTTCTTTTGACAAAGGTACCTCACTGTTTAAATGATTGCTTTGTCTTTCATTTTAGTCTAATGGCTGGGACCCAAATGAGATGTTCAAGTTCAATGAAGAAAATTATGGTATAAAAACCACCTATGATAGCAGCCTCTCCTCTTATACGTGAGTTAACACTTTTCAGTCATTTCTGTACTGAGGGGTGCAGGGGAGGAAGGATTTGAAGCAATATATCAGGGTTGTCAGTGTATCCTCCAGATGCTGGATTACAGCTCCCAGCATTCCTAACTATTAGTCATGTTGCCTGAGGCTGATAGGAGCCAGAGTCAAGCAACATCTACAGGGTGCACAAAGGCTGCCCCTGCAGGACATGATGTAGATGGTATGGCTATTTAGGATAAATCATTCTGGAGGCCCTAGACTAAAGAGTGCAGCTCCAGTGCAGGGGAGATCCCAGGTTAGTCAGTTGCCTATTTAGCCCCCGAGAGCGAGCAATTATTGTCAGCCCCTACAAGTCATTGACCAGCTGGTGAAAAGTAACAGGCAAAAGAGCAGTGGACAGAGTGCTGACCTTTTTGAACCCTGAAATGGTCTTGGCTACCAGACCTGTGTTTGTCTTTCTCATTCACACCCACACCCCTACACCTTACTCATCAATAGTTATTGGTGGCTTTCTAGAGAAACCAAGAAACCTGAGCATCAGTCAAAAGCAATGAAGGATTAATGAGGTTGGGTTTTTTGTTTTATTTTGCTAGGCAGGGTTAAACTCTCAGGAGATGATCTCAAGCTTAAATGTGGCAAATGTTAACCCACCCTGGAGTGATGGAGCAGGCTGGAATTTACTGTATTTATTGCTTAGAAGCTGTATAACGTTTGGTCTTGTGAGGGTAGAGTACCATGATGCAAATGATGCCAGGGCTTGTATGTAAGGTTTAATTACTTAGGGATATCTGCATCTGCATTTGCATGGGCATGTAGCTTGAATACCAAGCATACCAGATATCCAGGTTTCTCTTGCCCTAAAATCTACTGTACAGATGTACCAGGCTCTCCTAATGCTCACATCTCCCCTCCCCCCCAAAAAAACCCAGTTTGTGGGTGGCTTTTATTTTTCCACTGTTATAAAACTTGTCAATCCATAGTCTGCTAGTGAGTTCTAAAAATGTAATGTGTTTCTTGGAACTTTGCCACCCTGACCTCTAAAATTCTTAAATGTTCAAAGTTTGTAAAGTTAATCTTTCTTGTTTATGCTGCTACATTTTCATTTTTAGCCCTTGACATTCACTGTTCATACACTGTATTAAAGAAAGCTTTCTTTTTTCTTCTTCAGTTAGAATTAATTTCCATGTGCATGTTTGTCTGGGAAATCAATGTTGATGAAAGTTTGGTTACAGTAGCATCTGAAGCTTTCAATCCCTTTATAGGTCAGGCAAAGGACTTGAACTGCTAGAATATATTTCTCCAAAGTGGCGCTTGGGTGGTTCTGTTCCTTTGAGGGCAACAGGCTTGTGTCTATGTGTGATTGGTAGAGCGTGTTTGTTTTGTCTCCCTGCTTATTCTTCTTCACTGTACCATCTGTGCATGGTAGTGTCCCTCTTGAAAAGGATAACTCAGAGGAATTCCGGCAGCGAGAAGCAAGGGCTGCCCAGCTGGCTCGGGAGATTGAATCGAGCCCGCAGTACCGACTGCGCATTGCTATGGAAAATGACGATGGACGCACAGAAGAGGAGAAGCACAGCTCTGTGCAAAGACAAGTGTCGGGAAGGGACAGCCCCAGTCTGGCATCCAGGTGAGAAGTGTGAGAATTATAGGCTGGTTTTGACCCAGCAGCAAAATCCCTTAATTGACATAAGGCAAGTTGGGTTTCCACTGCATCTCTTGGGAGGAAAGAACAATGTTGACATCCACTTTTAAAGGTTGGTACCTGAGAACTTACTCATCTCATACACGTGGGGGCTGACGGCCTACTTGCCTTGAAGGCATCTTGTCCATTTTCCCTTCTTGCTTTCACTCCAAGCAAGGTATCAGGAATTATGCTACCACAATATTTTCTTTCATTGTAGAGAGGGCAAGTACATACCCCTTCCCCAGCGTGTCAGAGAAGGCTCAAGAGGAGGTGTACGCTGCAGCAGTTCTCGGGGTGGGAGGCCAGGTATGGGGTCTCTACCACCCCGTGGAAGTGCACACCACTCAGAAGGCAACACTGGCTCCATTCCAGAGCAGCGAGGCATCAATGGAGGTGAGGCTTACTTTCCCAAACTTAGAATGTGGAAATTTGAATAGATTGGTGCAGTTACTTCTAAAGGATTTAAATGTCTGTTGAATTAGTTGATTAAGCTCCCACAGGTGGTTGAATTAGTTGATTAAGCTCCCACAGGTGGCTGTGGAATTTCCTCCTATGTTGGTTTTCGGGGCGGGGGGGGGGGAATTATATTCAGTGTTCTTTTAATTTTTGGGCATGACTTTCCCTTTGAGACACCCATGATGGTGTTAGGTTGCGATAAATACTGCAATTTCTCCCACTTTCCAGCAGTAGAAAACTGAAGATAGCAAAGGACCACTTGGTGTGCCTGCATGGCCTCTTCACCTGCTTCTGTGGTTCCCTTCTTCTAGGTCCATCCAGAATGTCTCCAAAGTCTCAGCGACCCATCCGAGGAGCTAAGAGCATGTCTTCCCCTTCCAGTCGACCCATGGAAGTCTCAGCTGCAACTTCTTCAGGTAGAGCGGGCAGTGGAATTAAAGTGGAATTTCCCCATGACCCTCAGTAAACACCTGTGCTGGGTGTGATGTTGCTTGCATCTAATAACTTTGCTTTTCTTACACAGTGGGTCGCCTCTATGCTCCACGTTCTCCTAAGTCTGCCTCAACTGTGCCAGTCTCTTCCCAGGATCCCCCAGTGGGATCAACAGTCCCTGCTGCTCCTGCATCGCCCTCTGAATTGAGGCCTACTATGGAGTCTAGTGCTTCCCCAACCCCGCCATCACCCAAGGTTCCAGTATCTGCCCCTGTAGCTGCTGTTGAGGGTAAGGAATCACACTGGAGGTGAAGCTAGTCTGGTCCATTCCTAGCACGGAATGGACCTAGGCATCTTCTCTCCTAATGAATTAGATAGTTTATCAAATCTCTCGAGAATTTGATCAACTGAAGGAGCTTAAGACAAAAGATGAAGCCAGGCTCCTCACCTTAAGAAAATGAGCAGGAGTAGTTGCTGAAGATTCTTACATAGAAGACACTTCTCACTTTAAGGCTCACTTCTGGATTCTCTGTTTCATTCCTAGTTAAAGAGGTGCCTAACTCTGCCACCAAAGAACCCAGCAGGACCTTGGAGGTTATGGGCCCCTCAGATTTGGTCAAACAGGCAAGCAAAGGTTTGTGTCTTCTGAACTTTTTGAGTTCTCTGCTCACTTCTCTTTTGAAACCTTGGGTTCTGCAGGTGATTTATATTTTCTACTTTTAATATTAAAAAACTACAAATATTAGTAAGAAAATGTCTGGCATTCATGCAGCAGTTCCTGAACAGTGGCTAATTCCACAAATACTTTTCAAGGTTTTGGGATTGGAGTTCTAAATCCTTTGTTATGTAATTGTTTTGACACTTACCCTGCTTTAGGTCTCCAAAATGAGCAGAAGAGAAATCAGCTAGAGGAGCTACGGAAATTTGGGGCCCAGTTTAAGGTGAGAATGTTCTCCTTTTCTCCCGTCAGTGTACTTTGTGGGGCAGAGCATTAATGTGTTTCTGGCACCGTTGCTTACTCCCTGTCTACTTTCTCCAAGCTGCAGCCCAGCCCCTCCCCAGAGGCCACACTGGATTTCCGGACAAAGGAGCCTCTTGAAGGAAAGGTGAAGGACAAGCCCCCGGAGGCCTTGGTTGGAGCAGGGGTCACATGTGAGGTACCTGATGAATCCCCCAAGCCCAACGTAGAGCTGTCTGAAAGCAACAACAAGGAGGAAAAAGGCCCCTGTGAAGGCATGGAACGCCAGACCCAGACTGCTAGTCCTCTAGGCAAAGGTGACGCAGATGACAAGGAGGATGGTCCTGTCTCAGAGTGAGTTAGTGGTTGTAACCACAGCAGATGAGTTTTTGCTCTACATTTCTTGTGGACTTCTTTGTAATTTCTGTTGTACTTTTCTCCAGGCAGGTGAAGAAGTCTACCCTGAACCCAAATGCAAAGGAGTTCAATCCTTCAAAGACTCTCCTGTCTGTGGTGTGTAATCTGGGAAACTAGCTCTGTGGTTAGTGTGCTTGCATGGGAGGGAGGAGGGTGTGTATCTGTGTGCTGCAGTAGAAATGGTCATACTTTGTCAGCTTAGCTCAATATCCTATAGGCTCCAGCAGCTACCAGGAGATGATTGTCAGTAGATGGGTAAGGCTTTTTTACTCCTAGTTGTTTAACAATAGCTGCTGCAGCAGCAAAATGGTCCCTCCATTATAGCTCTTAAATGAAAGAGAACTTGGAGTAATTGGAGTTTCTTGTATGGAAGAACTGTGAGCTCCATTCACTTCTGGACCACAAAACCAATTTCTAGGTTCAGAATTCCGAGTGTATGGCTTCCGCACTAGGCTCTGGTTAGATGATCTTAGATGAGTTCTTTACCCCCTCAAAAATGACTTGTTTCTGAAGTCTTCACACCCTTGCTCTACATTCTGTTAGTTTCTCTGTGTTCATAGGTGCTTATTTAATCTCTGATTACTTCCTCCTATCTGTACAGAACAAGTCAACGAGCACACCCACATCGCCAGGACCACGCACCCACTCTACACCCTCCATCCCAGTGATTACAGGGCAAAGTGGCATGTACAGCCCACAATACATCTCTTACATCCCACAGATCCATATGGGCCCAGCTGTGCAGGTGAGAAGGGGGTGGAATGATGTGTGGATGGTCCTGCCTTTGGATAGAAGGGTGAGCTGCATAATCATTGGTTCCTTTTGAAATTATTGCGGAGGCTAGTGTTAGAATTAATTGGCATGTCCCGTGTCCTTTGCAGGCACCCCAGATGTACCCTTACCCTGTTTCTAACTCTGTGCCTGGACAGCAGAGCAAATATAGAGCTAAAGGTAAGAGGGTTAAAGGTTGATTAAGGAGCCATGGTGAACGTTGGCTGGAATGTATACCTGCTGTGCAGTTTGGTGGGGTGTGCAGATTTGAACTGGCTTCCCTACATGAATTTTCTTTCTGCACAGGCTCTCTGCCCCCACAGCGTTCAGACCAGCATCAGCCCACCTCAGCCCCTCCCATTATGCAGGCAGCAGCAGCCGCAGGGCCCCCTCTGATGGCTGCCACTCCGTATTCCTCATATATCTCCTACAACCCCCAGCAGTTCACTGGACAGCCAACTATGATGCAGCCCATGGCACACTACCCCTCGCAGGTGGGTATAATGTGTACTTCAGTAGAGAAGCTAACTGCGCTGACCTTTGTGCCCCACACTATCTAATTCATGTTCTTCTCTCCAGCCTGTATTTGCCCCCATGCTGCAGAGCAACCCACGTATGATGACTTCTGGCAACCATCCCCAGGCTATTGTTTCATCGTCTACTCCCCAGTATCCCCAGGCAGAGCAACCTACGCCCCAGGCTCTTTATGGTGAGTTTGTACAGAGCCTGAAGACATGTCTGTTCTGAGCTTCTCTTCCTCCCTCCCCCCTTGCATTGTTGACCACTGCTTGCTGCTTCTCTCCCCAGCCACAGTGCATCAGTCGTATCCCCACCATGCCACACAGCTGCATCCGCATCAGCCTCAACCAGCTACCACACCCACGGGCAACCAACAGCAAGCGCAACATGCCGCCCCCAGCCCTGTGCAGGTACTAGTGTGGGAGGCACTTGATGCTTGTTTGCTCTTGCGACTTGCACAGTTTGATTTTGTGTTAAGAGATTAGTGCTGGGGTGATCCTTTAAGTTCCAGTCTGGAAATTCTAGGCTAGCTCAGAAAGGGGTAGTCCTACATTAGGAGTGAAGTTGTTACCATTTCTTGTCTCAACTGAAGTCTTAGAGCTGCTGTGTGTGTGGAGTCCCAGGAATAGACTATCACATCTTTACTTGCTAATTTATACCTTTGAGGGGCCCAAGTCTTCTAGCACAGTGTGGTTTCTGTAGAAGCACCCGCATGTTTTAGGCATAGTATTCAGCAACTTGAGGATGAACAGCTACTAACAGATAAACAGCATGGCGGGGACCCATAACTGTCTTGAGACTTTGCCAAACGGCCTTGGCTATCTTTCTCTCTTACACCCCTCCATTTAATCAGAATTAGTAAGTTTTAGGGGAGGGGGAATTAGTTAAATTGACTTTTACCAGAGAGTCTGCTTTTAGTGTTTGGAATATTGACTTATCTGGCCTTGCCTTAAGCGGCAAATCGGTTAAGAAAAGAATTAGCAAATGTAGAATCTTTCATCACATGCTCAAGGTTTTATTGTGGGAAGAGAAAATAGAATAGCAAGGGCAAATATACTTCAGGAAAGCGGAGAGCCACCCAGCACCCACTGTTCCACACATATTCTTAGGCACTCCCTATCTCCATAGAATGCATAACATTTCTCTATGGCTGTAGCAAAGAGGGCAGAAGAAAATATCTTGAAGGTAGGTGTGATGCATTACCCCTGGTACTTGAACTGTGGCTTTTGTATTCTCTTGCCATAGCACCAGGCTGGACAGCCACCTCATTTGGCCAGTGCCCAGCAGCAGCAGAACCTGTACCACACAGCCACACTGACAGCTACGCCACCCTCTATAACGCCAGGGCCCAGTGCTCAGTCGCCACAGAGCAGTTTCCCCCAGCAAGCAGTCTACGCCATCCATGCCCACCAGCAGCTGCAGCACAGCTACGCCAACATGGCCCACGTCACCCAGGTGAGTGTGCTTGCCCCGGGAAGGGTGAGTCTAGCCTTGATTGTGTCAGGGACTCCCAAACCTCCATCAGCCTGAGGCTAGACCGCTCCATGAAATAAGCTTGCTCTCTGAACACCACTGTACAACTTACACAAGGGACATAAAAGTGCCACCTTATCTTTGAAACCTACTAACCACTACACATCTCTCCATGCTTCTAGCTTCCATCCAGAATGCAGCACAAGATCTAGTGTGGCTATGTCATATGAAACTACCACACTTGTTCTTACTCATCTGATGCAGAATCACAACTTAAGGATTTATATCAGACATAAAACGGCCACCAAATGGAGTTCCTGTGCCTCTTTTTTAGAAAAAGCGCTGATGAACACTCTATAATACCTAAGAGTGTATGGAGTGTTAGTGGGGAGAGGTGGTGCCTCTGGTGGGGGGCATGTTGTGCACCTTCTGGGGTAGTTTGTCCAACTTTGGTTGCCATCCTCCACTCAGTTCTCACCTGTGGCTCCTAGAAGCTGTCAGCATGCAACAGTGGCTATACCGTGGGAACGGCTTCTTTGGTTGAGGGTAGCCGATGCTCAAACTCTTGTTGAGTTGGGGACTTCCCCTTCATGAAAAGACAGGCTCTGGCATATTTAGTGGATGAGACCAATAGTGGGTCCAATGGTCAAGAAGGCGGTTTCTGCATGTGCTGTAGAGGGAAGTGAGGGACAGATATGGCCCACCAACCTGGGAAGGAGAAGGAAAATTCTGATCCTAAAGCACTGCTGCCTTGTGGGATATTATTGTAAGAAGAAAAAGCTCAGGAGTAAACTCTAGGCCTACACAAATCCGCAGTGGAGTCCCAAAGACAGTTGGATGGCTCCCAGAAACACACTCCATTGTCTCTTGAGACAGAGGGATGCCAATAATACTTCAGCTATATCAGTTAAAATGAGTTGCCAAATAGAGATGATCTTGCACTTTACAGATTTGGGCTTCTCTGCTAATTTTGTTGGTAAAGTGTGAAGTTATCCACTGCTTATTAAGGTACTGATTGAAATCACTTCTGCTTTCTCCACAGGCTCATGTCCAGACTGGAATTGCAGCTGCCCCACCACCTCATCCTGGAGCTCCACAGGTCATGCTGCTGCACCCCTCGCAGACCCACGGTGGGCCTCCACAGGGAGGTGTGCCCCAGAGTGGTGTGCCCACCCTCTCAGCCTCCACACCCTCCCACTACACTTATATAGGGCACCACCAAGGTAAGTCAAACTAGGAGGCTGAGGAAAGGAGGGAGGGAACTGAATGGAACAGGCTCTCATCTATACTGACTTCCAGGGTATGGAAGAGCTTAGGGACATATGGATGATTTCTAGGGTTTTATAGGTTGTGTCTTTTGCGATAGGGGTGGGGTTGAGGGTTGGTAGTTCTGGACTTTGTATCTTTGTGATCCTCACTACCTCTTTCTTTTCTTTCCAGTTCAATCTCATCCCTCCCAGCAGCTTCCATTCCACCCCCCTGGGAACTGATGTCCACGCTTCTCCCTGTGACCTGAGACCCTAGCCAGCCTTGGCTCTGTTGCTGGCCCCAAGCCTGGGCCAGCCCTCATGCCCATGGCAGAGGCCCCTGGAGGGGCGCAGTCTGGCCCGGTCCAGCCCCCCCTCGCCAAGCACCTTCCTTTCCGTTGGTTTAGTGAAGCCCACATGGGGCGCTGTCAGCCAGCGGGACGGAGAAAGGCCCCTTCCCCTTGCCTGGAGAAGGGCAGGGTTTCTTTTCTGTTATTTATGACTCCATTCGGGCTCTTAGAGCAAATGCCACTTTCCCACATTAACTTGACAAGGACATGACCAGATGGACAAACCTTGACTTTTTATTAAGTAAAAATATTTAAAAAGTAAAAAAAAACCAATAAAATTTTAAACTAACTAATGTTGGGCTTTGGGGTTGACTGTGTGGGGAGGGCCAATTTCTAACAAGTAACCCTTGTTCATGGTTCTACAGAATTGGGGTGGTTGCAGCAGCTTTGATCTCCCCAGAGTTTTAGCTTCTCTACCAAGGAGGAGCGATTGAGTCTCCATCCAGTTCAGAGGCTGCAGTGCTCTGCTCATTCCCTGCTGCTGCTGCTGAAATGACTAATCAGCAGTGACAAGTAATTGGGGTGGGCAGTGTAATGCAGAGCCTAAAGCAGTGGTTCTTAGTGGAGGGACCACTAATGTAAAAAACTATACATCATGGTCTAGCAGTGTTTTTTATCTGAATAATAAAAATTTTATTGCTTTTATTGAAATTAGCACATAAAGTCTGAAAGAACGGGAGGCTGGACAGTAGTGTTGTGGGCCTTTAGCAGAAAACGTTATACGAGATTGGGTTGCTACTCCCCAGCACAGGCTTGGTGGGTGACATTTTTTGAGAAGAGTTGCAGAAATGAAGTATGCGTGGCTGGTGTTGCTATTTTTTAAACAAGCTACGGAGACCATAAGCAGCTAAATGCCAGGCTTTATACTCAGTGCCCGGGACTGTTAAATTTCATGAGTTGGGCCATGGTCTTTCTTGAGCTGCTCCAGGACTTTGCCTTGGAGTGGACTCTTCTCTTATTATCTGGGAGTCAGCTTAAATGTCAAGAGTCTGATTTGAGCTGTGTCATGATCGATGAGAAATGAGAGCCTGGGCTGCTTGTTTAATGGGCGTCAAAGTCTGGTGGGAGCGAGGCATGCAGATGGGTTGTCTCCCCAGGTTCAGGCAGGCTGTGATACAGCTTACATACCAGCAGTATGTTCTGCCCTAGTTCCTCCTCTTTCCTCACCCAGGTGAGAGCAGCTGTACCTTGCCCATGGATTGTTGATACATGGAAGTTCTAGATGGTAGCCATAACTGGATGCTACAGCTGGAATGTGAGAGCCTGTAGATTTAGAGCAGTTAGGGGTGCCCATACAGATAATGGACACTAATTCTCATCTGCTCTGGCCAACACAAGGAATGGTAGGAATTGCAATCCAGCAACATTGGAATAGTCACGGGCTCACAACCCCCAGCCTGTGGTCTAGGCCAGAATGCTCTACACAGGGCGAAAATACCAACTTCAGCATTAAGATATACACTGATTTGGACAAATGGAATAAAAATCTAGCGATTTCTTCTCTTGACCATTTTATCTCTACCAACCATGTTTGTGAAACAAAAGGGTGGCATGGCTGGGGCTGATGGTAGTTGGGGGTCCCAACAACTTCTACAAGTTACCACCTTGCTTACCTCTGTATAAATCTAGTGGTGTCCAATTAATGGTTTATGCTGTAGGCAAAACACTACATATAATGTATCTTGAAATCTTTAGAGGCAAAACACTACATATAATGTATCTTGAAATCTTTAGAGGCTGCTGTAGAAGTGGGGTGGAAAAGAGTTCGATAGTGCAGCAGTTCACTATCCCGCCCTGCTGCTTTCAGTGAGCTCTATCTAGAAAGACAAATCGCAGTATGCATGTACTGTTCTTAAGGTTGTTACTCCAAATAGTTACTCTCCTATACATTTTTTTAAGAGCTGGATTTCTGTTTCCCTTTTGGGGCTGAAGATTTCTCTAGTAAGGATATGCATGTTTGTGAAGGAGAGAATGGCATGTTTTCCACCTCCTCTTACTATCACTGCAGGAAATCAAAGGGTATGCAATCGTAATAATTTTCGTATCACAAGGATGATTTAGTCCTCTTCAATATTCAAAAAGGGTTGGTAGGGGGAGAGTAAGTACATTTCATATGTGGGGGAATATATCTACTTTTTACTAATATTACTAAATTTGAAAATGTATTTGAGCTAGGTAGTGTTGTATAATCTGTAGAGATGCACTTAAGCCACCCATGCCTGGTAATGCTGTCCACACTTGCTGGAGTGCAAGATGTACAGAGCCGCTTCTGCTTTAGGATCCATGTGTTATTTAAAGGAGTTCACACAAATAAGGCCTCCTATGCCTGACTATTCAGGCTTTGAGGGCACAAGAAACAGGAAGCCTGTCTGTGGATTCAAGCTGTGCAGCCACCTGTGGGTTGCTCAATAGGCATTTCTGGGCTTGATACTGTATCCCGGCTCCAAATTCTTAACTATCTGAGATCAACTAACAAGTACTGGTGCCCCTGCAAGCAGACACCTGTACCCATTAACTACACATAAGATTTTTTTGTTGTTTAGTCATGTCCAACTCTTAGTGACCCCATGGACCAGAGCATGCCAGGCACTCCTGTCGAGCACACTGTCCAACCATCTCGTCCTCTGTCGTCCCCTTCTTCTTGTGCCCTCCATCATCTTCTCTTCTCATGAGGTGGCCAGAGTATTGGAGCCTCAGCTTCAGGATCTGTCCTTCCAGTGAGCTTGATTCCAGTGGGTTGATTTCCTTAAGAATGGATAGGTTTGATCTTCTTGCAGTCCATGGGACTCTCAAGAGTCTCCTCCAGTACCATAAGATTAGTTTTACCTAATATTAAATTTGTTTTCGTAGTACAACAGTTTGTCTCTCAAAGGATATCATGAAAAAATTACACCACTTAACAGAATAGCACTCAATATTAGCTTTCCATTCTTTTATTTAACCAACTTGCCCTCCCCACCCACCCTTGAAATGAACAGAATACATTAGGCTTTTCTCGCCTCAGCCAAGGTGATAAGGCTAACCACTTACTTTAGTAAGGGTATAATTTCAGCAGCAAGGGGCTTTATTCCAAGAAACCGCTCATAGCTTGTGAAGCTTTCAACATATATCCTTCCTCTTTCTGCAATGCGCTTAACTCCTGGTTTCATGTGTTCTACATGTTCAGTGGCCTGAAATGCCTCACAAGCATGCTTCTGAGGAATATACTTAAGTTTCCCACTTCGCCTTATCTTCTGCAGTTACTGACAGTGTTTTTGTGACAACTCCAGTGCCAATGGTTCTGTGTCCATCCCGTAGCGTGAATCTCTGCCCCTCTTCCAAAACCATGGGCTGCCGCAATGTCAAAATAATGGAGGTGTCTTCACCTGGCATCACCATTTCCTAAGGAAGAGGGAATAAGACCTGTAAGATATTGCAGTAGTTGTACCAGTTTTCAGTTATAAGCATCAGAAGCAAAGCAGATCAAGAGCTATTCTCTAATGTGGGTTCTATAAGTCACTTCAGCAATGCTTATAGGAAGCAAGAGGCTGCTGGAAAGGGGGGAGGGGGGCAGCAAGTGTCAGACAAACCTTTGATGCAGGCAATTCTACACGGCAGGCCATGTCCCAGGTCAGAGAAAACATAACAGGTGTGTAGTTAGAAACAAAGGGCTTGTGACGACCACCTTCTTCTTTGCTCAGGATGTAAACCTGGGAAGGAGAAGTGACTTGTTTGCCTTGTCTGGACGATCAATGTGAGCTCCAAATTAAACCATTATTTTACGGAATGTGAAAGTGTCCCATCATAATTACACAAATTTATAGACTGCTTCATAGCATGAAGCCACTGAAGCAGTGGTCATGATAAAAACAGAATCAAACACCATCTTTAAAAGCAATAACATCAACTTACTAAAAACAAAAACATCCATGCAAACAAAAGAAACCCACTTCCATTAGACAACACTGATCTTCCATAAATGACTGGATTACATCCTCAGGGAAAGCCTTCCTGAACAAAAAATGACTTTCATTAAGCGCCTAAACACCCTGCTAGGTGCCTGCCTGATTTTGGTGGTTAATTGATTCCCAATTCATGTAGCTGCAAAACTAAAAGCCCAGTTCCTAGTGCAGGTTAAGTGCACCTCTGAGCCACGCAGTACTCTCAGCAGGGCCCCGTATGAGGAGCGCGGTTACCAGGCAGGGATATAGTGGGTGAGGAGGTTCCTTAGGTTAGGTCTTATAAATTATTTGCAAATCTGTCCTGCCTGCTTACCTGAGCCTCGACCTTCTGGTGCGGCTTGATGGAGCCGGGCTTGCACATAACCATCCCCCGCCGTATATCCTCTCTCTTCAGCCCCCGCACCAAAGCGCCCAAATTATCACCAGCCTCTGCCCGTTCCAATTGTTTGTGGAACATCTCAATACCTGAAGTCAAAAGGAGTGCCATTACCATTTGCAAACTTTCTGGGGAGTTCCCCCACCCAACCATAACTGTCCTTTGCCATGACCGCCATTTTCACATAAGGTGTTTTATCCCTGTTCTACCAAACTTGGAAGGCAGGGGGAGACCAGGAAGTTGACGAGTCTTGCAGAAAATCTAAAGGACTTACCGGTTACCACTGAGCGCAAGTCCCGGTTGTGCCCTACAAATTCGCAATCATCTCCTTTCTTGATAATGCCACGCTCAAGTGTACCAGTTACCACAGTGCCTCGGCCTGGAATAAAGCAGTCAAATGAAGCTATACAGGACAGCCAGACAGCCCTACAGGATCCTCCCTTGCTGCACCTCCCTTAAAAGCAAATGGGGGCAACCTATGAAGCTTAGTACCTGGTATGGAGTGAACATGCTCTATGGGAAGCAGGAAGGGTTTATCAAGCTCCCGCTGTGGCACAGGAATGTGTGTATCCACTGCATCCAGCAGTTTCATGATGGAGTTCAAGCCCAGCTCTGGATTTCGGTGCTGCAAGGAACAGGAATGGAAGGTGGTGATATAAATGATTAAGCAATGGAAGAATTCCTGCTAAGGAATGACACTCAAGACAAAATGTGTGTGTGCACCACTGACCTCCAAGGCGCACAGAGCGGAGCCTGAGATAACAGGCGTTTCTTCCCCATTGTAGCCAAATTCTGTGAGCAGCTCGCGGATCTCCAGCTCTACCAGCTCCAACATCTCTGCATCATCGACTGCATCAGCTTTGTTGATGTACACTACAACATGCTTCACTCCTATCTGAGGTGGTAGGGAAGAAAACAAGGGTGACCCACATGTACATTGCTCCCTTCTCAAGACTTCCAGCCCTGCTTGACAGAAGCACCCATCATATTCTCAGAAGTATGTACTAGATCACCCAAACCATCTCTACCCTATTCCATTCCAAGACCACAGACTCACCTGTTTGGCAAGCAAAAGATGCTCCCTTGTCTGTGGCATCTGTCCATCTGTTGCAGCTACGACGAGGATGCAGCCATCTAGTGGCGCTGTTCCTGTGATCATGTTCTACAAAGAAGACATGGGAAACATGTCAGGCTGTGGTATCTCCAAAACGTGAACTACTTTGAAAAACCACGCTCCTATGTTTGATATGGCTTGGAAGTTTTCTAGATCTTGGAAATCCTCCAAGAATTCTTTTTTTTTTAATGGCATGTGCCATCAACAGGTATTCTGGATGAGGATCATGAGTGTGTTCAGGGCTTTCATGGATTCCCAGTTCCTCACACATACCTTAACATAATCGGCATGCCCAGGGCAGTCTGTGTGGGCATAATGGCGGTTAGCTGTTGAATATTCAACATGGGAGGCATTGATGGTGATCCCACGTGCCTTCTCTTCGGGTGCATTATCAATTTCTTCATATTTCTTGAACTTGGCGCTTCCAGTATCTGCCAAAACTGGAAATAACAGCAGAAGGGGTAAACAAGGTTCTTGAGTTTCTCCCCAAAAAAGATTGATCTAGTGTCTTACTCAGTAGCATTTTTTGAAGAAGGGGGAAAAGAAGCAATGTTTTTAACTGATCAAATCTGAAAGGCCTGCAAGGACTATCGGTGTCTTAGCTGGTATGGGAACAGGTCAGCAGGCAGAGCTAAAGGGCTCTTGAACTCCCTTCTCTAGTCTGAACAGCAACTGAGGTTTGGCCCCTTCCTTTGGACACCAAAGGTGCCCATTTTCTCACACCCTAACATGTGCAAGGGAGTGAGCATCTGAAATGAGCAACTAAGGCACAGGTATCGCTGTTCACATTGCCTTTGCCTGCATCTGAGTTCAAGAGAAAGCAGGTGAGGTGTATCCCAATGATGTGCAGTTTTGGGATGGAGTCTATTTTGGAGGCTGGGTGGTCAGCCCTTGCTGGCTTGATTTGGCTCCCTGGCTGCCTGCTGACTTTCCTTCAACTAGCTGTTTTGATCAGGTCTAGGCCTGTTCTCACCCTACCTATCTCATCTTCCATAATAATAACCATTCCCCCACCCCTAACACTCACTTTTGGTGATGGCTGCCGTTAATGTAGTTTTCCCATGGTCCACATGCCCAATTGTTCCAACATTGACGTGCGGTTTGTCTCGTACAAATACTTTCTTCGCTTCAACTGCAAAACTTCGAACAAGGAACGTATGCCCATGGAAGGCTGGGCAGGTCAAGGACGGCTGCAGAAGAAGAGTGTCAGAATTTTAGCCCTCTCTGCCTATAATATCACAGCAATCATCCTCCTCCTCCTCATCATCCATCTGACTGGGTTGCCCCAGCCACTCTGGGTGGCTTGCAAGAAATCAAAACAATTTGCCCACCACTGCCCAGAATTCTTACCGTAGCTATAAAACCTTGCAGATAACGAGGCAGGCAGCCACGGAGGCCTGCAAAACACAAGCAAAATGGGTGATCACTTTCGTAAGACAGCACTTTATAACAAATACATTATCTTTGCACATCCTGATGTCCCTGTCTCCCCCAATTTTCCTTCTTCTGCCTATGCCCATAAACTTCAAGAGACAACAGCTGCAAAAAAGTAATTTTATGTGAACTTAAGCACTTTTAAAATAAACATTATGAATAATAGCATCCGATATGCTGACTTGTACGGCAGGGGGCAGGATCTCTATATTCCGTGAAACAACCTTGCTCATACAACACAATGAATACAAGAACGTGTGTATATGTGAAATCCAGGTTTATTTATTGCCCTATTGTGCATCACTTTACACTTGCTTACACTCACCATATGTATTAATTTGCTGCATTGATATACCACCTTCTCTTCTAAGGAGCTAAAAGTGGTGTACCTAGTCCCAATTTTATCCTCACAATGATCCTGTAAGGTAGGTTAGGCTGAGAGACAGTGACAGGCCCAAAGTCACCCGGTGAGCTATGTGGCCCAGTGGGGATTCAAACCCTGGTCTCTCATCAGGCCACAGAACAAAACTCTAACCATTGCACCATACTATTTCTTTTATTGCCCTTTTCCGCTCAGATTGGAGAGGCTCACCATCTCTTTTGTTTCAACCACCTTGAACGGTTTGCTACCCGCACGCTTTGCTACCTCCCTGCTCATCCCTGACGCTAAACCATTGACTGGCACGTGCTGAGAATCAGAGCTCCCCTCGGGCGGGCGAAGGGGCGGAACCACCTCGCCGGGGCCGGGAGAAACCGCCTCTTTGCCGCAGGTGGGGGAGGAGCAGCAGAGACAGCATCCGCGGAAGAAGCCTGGAGGGATGCACCGAGGGGCCGGCCTCACACACTCAGGGGGAAGGAAGGGCCGGGCCCTCCTCCTGCCACACGCCGCCTCCCCCCGCTTCGACGTGATGGGCTGCTCCGCCGCTGCCTCAGACCCCAAGACCGGCACTAAGGCAAAGGCCGTAATGAACCGAGTAGCAGCCCGCCAAGCACAAAAGGTCACGGGTCTCTCCTGCACGAGTTCTTTAAGGAGAGGCTTCTTGCCTCTTCGCTCTCCCTCGCCAGCCGACACGCCGCCGCCCACCACCTCCCTGCCTTCTCCCCCCCCCGCCCCCCGCGGCCCTTTAACCAACCGGCAACACGGCCGCCGAGCCCTCCTCGCGCCACCACCAGCGCGCGGCTCGCCATCTTAGCTCCTCCCGGAAGTAATATCACACCCGCCCGCCCCTCTCCCATCTGCCTAGAGATAGGAAAGGGTAGAGAAGAAGCAGGGAGAGGGAGAACTTCCGCTAACTGTGGAGAAACGTCGGCCGCGGGCGACGAATGCTCTATAGAGTTAGTGCAGAGTTAACAATTGCATTCTCTCAGTATGGGAGGTTGACTTCCGGGATACTTTTGATTTATTTATTTTTAATTTTTTGGGGGGGGGTGTTGCCTTCCTTCGCCTGCAAAGCTGAAGAGGCAGCTGCCTAGAGGAAACAACGGAGAAAACCAGAACTTTGCAGAATTCTACTTCTCCTGAGCCCCCATCCACCGAAAGACACTAATAACAAAGATAACGATTCCTGTTCTTTTTAACTAAGGTCTTATGTCTTGTAAAATGTAAAAATAATATGTGAAAACTTAATGATACCCGCAGCCTGGAAGTCAGGCAAAAAGACGTTGGGAGATATAGGAACCTTCCATGTCCATAAACAAATAGTGTCTTGTGACCCCTTAAAAACGAACCAATTTATTGTGGCATAAACTTCTTGCCTTTCTTTTGCCTGGAAAAAAAAAACATAACAAAACCACAGTGTTGATCCTGCAGCCTGATCCATCCTCCCGTAGACTAAATCCCTCTTCCATCAGAAACCTGAGGCGTAAACATCAACTGCAGGACAAATGCAGATGTGAGTGGCCTAGTAGTGGGAATTGTGCCCAGCGAGGGCAGGAGGAAATGAAAGGCAAGAAATTCAAACCATTCAGATAGCACTAGAATGTCTGCAAATAAGCAAAGTGGCATTTACAACCACACTGCGTGTTTTATCACCTGTTGGCTTGATAACTCTCAGTATCCATGTGCATGGCTCTTTTCACGGAACAGAATGCAAGAGGATAAACAGGTTCTTCCCGGAGGAACTTGCAGCCTAAAACAAAACTTCGAAGAGCACAGGAGAAGGAAGAGCGCCCAGGAATAAACAGGGTGGAAACTGTGTCAGTTACGTGTACTTGGGTTAGTTACTAGCCAGGTTGCTACTACTTTGGGTGGTATTCAGCTAAGTTCTACTCAGAGCAAAGCCACTGAAAGCAAAGAACTTAACTTTGCCATGCACTATTCATTAATGTCAATGGGACTACTCTTGAGTACTACCTTCTTCTTTCTTTGGTGATCACTCATAGCCAAGTAAGATTGTCTTCCATTGACACGGTTTTAACAATGAGTCTGTAAGTGACTGTGGAGGCCAATTCTGGACCCACACGTCCTTTCACAGTGGGGACATTGGTTTCCGGGCGGGAGTTGATCACGGTGTGGATTTGCCAAGCATGCCTTCCTCTTAGCACGCTTCTCCCTTGCATCTCAAGTTCGAGTGTCTTCAAAGCCCATGACACCTTTGGTAAAGGTTGTTCTCCAACTGGAGTGCTCGCAGGCCAGTGTTTCCCAGTTGTCAGTGTTTATACTACATTTCTTAAGATTTGCCTTGAGACAGTCTTTAAACCTCTTTTGTTGACTACCTGCATTACGCTTTCCATTTTACCTTCAGTCTAATTGCTCCCCCAACTCAGCCATTTCGGCCAGTGCTCTTGAGTACTCCCTATAGGAACTCTGGGCTGAGTCTATGGGCTCTGGACTGGTTGTGGATTCTCAGTGGTCACAAGACTGGCACCACTCTATATATATCTCTATATCTTCACCTCTCCATAGTGACAAAGAGCTTATTTTTGTACCCCACCACCCCATTCTGAAAGGGCAAAACAGGTTCTTTGACTACAGGCCCAGGAGAGCAGAGTGTGTATTACCTTAATCCCACCCCAAGGTCAAAATCCCCAAAAGGTAGAGAGATTGTGGTCACAACACCCTCACAGTCCTTGGTGACACTTGTGATCTAAAACTAATCCCAATCACCCATGCATTAAATGGTTCTCTCTCTCTCTCTTTCTCTCTCCTGTCCCAGGAAGGATGGAGGGGAAGAGAAGTTTTTTTTAAAAAAAAAGGGTATTAAAAATGGCACCAGGAAGTCTCTCCTCGCCCATGGGAAACCAAAAGAAGTTTCATTCCAAGACTTGGTGATTGTGTGTGTGTGTGTGTGTGTGTGTTTTAAGGATTTCCACCTCTTACTTCCAATGCAAAGTATATAAGGGTTACTACCCTAGATATGGGGAAACAGGCACTAGATCAGTGGCAAGGTTGGGAATGTTCCAGTGTATTTTATTTATTTAGGGCATTTTTAGCCCACTCTTTATTAAAATAATTAAATAATAACTCTCACTAGATGGAGGCAAATGTTTGACTCAGTATACAGGTGGCTTCCTAGGTTCCTAAGAAATAGATCAAAATGAACTGGCACCCAGAAAGTGTTGTTGAATCACAGACTTGTAGCATTGGAAGGTACACTGAGGGTCATCTAGTCCAACCCCCTGCAATGCAGGAATCTTAACACAGACATCCAACCTCTTCTCTGCCAAGCAACTTTCTTTTTCACATAGAAAACACTACAATGAACTTATGGCAAAAAGAAAGAAACCTCCCCTACTATACATCATTTCATATCTGCAATACTTATGTTACACAACAGTTTAAAGATGAAAATGAATACAAATTATGTTACAATGGCCCACTTTTAGGCTGTGTCTCTATGCTCAAAGGTGGAAAGCAGAAAATCGATTCCTGTGATCCCTTTTGGAGGCTTCCTCTCAAGCAAAATGAAGATTAGTGCTACTGCTACCACCAACCATTACAGTCTGCTCAGCTACCCAAAGAAAGGAGACACACAGATGGAGGAAGGTACAAAAATTTCCTTTATTGTGTTCTGGAAGCTCCAGTGCCATTCAGTGGGAAGGGGAGTAAGAATGGGAGGTTCCAGCCATCCTCCCTCCAGAGTTCTTGCTCTCCTGCCCATATAGAGGATACCTGGAAGAGCTCCGGAGGACAGAGATGACCCCTTTGGTGCCTGGCAGGTTTCCCTGAGGTTCCCATTGTGCCAAGAAGGTGAGGAAGGGCAGAGGTGACCTCCCCAATCCTCCTTCTAAGGCTCTGACCTCCTATCTTGAAGGCCACTGGCTTCTCCCAGAGAGGGAGCATCAGATTGCACCTGCAGAATAAAAAGAAAAGAGAATAAGCCCACAGAGGTTTCCTCTCTTTCTCCCAGCCTCTGCCAGAGTCTGACATCACCAGAAACAGCCTCACACACATCTGGAAAGAAAAGCAGGTGCCAAAATGACTATCACAAACATTTGTATTGTATGCTTCTACCACAACCCAAATGTGTGTGCTTAATTGACACTTATTACAGTTGTACCTTGGAAGTCGAACGGAATCTGTTCCGGAAGTCCGTTCAACTTCCAAAGCGCGGCTTCTGATTGGCTGCAGCCAATCGGAAGCCACGGAAGCTGCGCCGAACATTCGGGTTCCAAAGAACATTGGCAAACCAGAACACTCACTTCCGGGTTTGCGGCGTTCAGGAGCCAAAACATGCGAGAACCAAGGCGTTTGGCATTTGGGATACAAGGTAAGACTGTACTGTAATTAGAAACATGCGCATCTCCCAGTTGAGTGAGGAACACAGGATTTCCACCTTCAGACTGAGGCAATGCAAGGAAGGACAAAGAGCCATAGAAGATCGGAGCTCAGGGCTCAGTCCTCCTTCCTTGGCCTCCCAAGATCTCACCAGACACTGCACAGGTCCTTGCTAGCATTTCTTTATTATGCTTAAGGCCTAAACAGGGTTTTTTCTTCCAAAACTTGAAAGGTGAAATTCTCAGAGTGCTGAATTCTGCCTGCTCAGTGCCAATGGTAGATTAAACTCAACCCTGACAACAGCCGATAATTGCAGTGTACGAAAAAGCCATTACTGAAAGATCAGGAGAGACAAGAGTGTCGTGTTAGCAGAGAAAGGAAATGACAAAGGGAACAGGTGTGGCTGCTCACCAAAAAGAGTTTGCCCACTGCATCTCTCCTGTGTAGACAAGTAGGCAAGGGACCTTATCGCCCACGGACACTTACAGGACGGCCTTTGGAGGTGCAGAAGCGATCTCATGGATCTCCAAGGAGGATGCTACTCACCTCTTCCTTAACTTAAGTAGGACCTTGCGGTTTCTATTCTACCATCATCCTCCCTCCCTCCCCCTCAAATCTATATCCTCCATATCCTCCATCCAGAGGGTGGGGGGGGATTCGAGGTAACGCGTCTGGTTTGTGGAAGTGAAATGTTTATTGGCAATTATCTCTGGGCGGCAAGAGAGAAAAGAAGCACAAAGACTCACACATCCCTGGGCTCTGCTAATCTCTTCCTGACCTTGCTGCATCCTCTCCATCTCAGTCCGGATACTGTTCAGGGAGGCTGGGGATTGAAAAGGAGAAGAAAGTCAGTTGGTGACCACCGTGTCGAAGCCTTCAGCTGTGGAAATGTGTGCACACAAACACACACTCACATATGATACACACCCACCCACCCTAAGAACTCACCCTGCAAAAGCTCTGCCAGCCAGAAGCCACAAGGGAAGAGAGGACAAAAAGAGAGAATCATTAATGGCATCCACAACACTACAAAGTGATTTCAGATTCCTAGAAAGCCAACAGATGCTAATCCCAGGAGACCCCCTCCCTCACCTAGTTCTTGGCCCACCTTCCTCCTCCTCCCCCCTCTCACCTCGTTCTTCTTGCTCTCTCTCCAGCGCCCCCTGCAGTCCTGACCGAGATGCCGTCTCCTGGTCCAGCCGCTCCCTCAGGGACACAATCTCGATTCGTAGGCGCTCAGCCTGGTGCTCAGCAGCCCGGAGCTGAGAGGCAGACTCTTGCCTCAGCTGGCGCACCAAGGCCTGCAGCTCCTAGGGAGGCAGGAGGAGGGAGAAACCCGCCATATATAATATATACAATGCTGCCATTTCCAGCCATCCCACACCAGTATCCCAAGTCCGCAGCCCAATACAAGGAAGAGGTGGGTCAGAATTACCGGGACAGTGCTAGGCAAGCTCATGCTCTCATCAGATTCCTCTGGGCGGGAATCCTGGGAACTGGCCCCACGCAGCCCTTCGTTCTCAGCACTGAGGCGCTGCACTTCGTAGCTCAGGCGCTTGTGGGAAGCAGCCAGGTCAGCCTAGCGGAAGGAAGGGGGCAGAAGGAAAAGGAACAACTTCAACTTGGACCTGGGTTTCCAGAGGAACGATTTAAAAGGTGCACACCTCCCCGCTGCACATGAGAGGAATGACTCAGAAAAGCCCTTGTAGCACCAGGCACAGTGTGGCTTTATTTCTTCTTGTTGTTGTTTATTTACTTATTTTTCTAAACCACTTAATACTGAAAAATCTCTTAGAAACATACAAGAAGACAGCAAAGGACCAATAAAGCAGTATCATATCATCAAATTTTAATTTATATATACATCACAGGCTCAATATGCGGCAGCTTTCTACGTTCTCAGCCAAAATGTAAATAAAAGAAAGTGAAGAAATCACAAGCCCTTCATCCTGTGCGTCAGTCCATCTGCATTTGGACGGCCTTCCTGCCAGCATTGCACACTGCTGGCATGCGGATACTGCAAAGCCAGCGGTCAGCGGCGTTCCAAACCCCACACATTGCCTATAAAAGCAGCGCAATGTGCAGTTTCTTCCCCCACACCCAAGGCCCACAGTCACCCATCGTGTGCTGCAGTGCTGGCACAGAGAAGCTGGCTGCATTTGGGCCAGTGGGCTGCATTAAGAGGGTTTTTTCACAACAGTGCTTGAGCTCTGAGACCCCACAGCTAATTCTCCCCCGGCCTCCTCGCTGGCCCAAGTAGGACTAATTCAGCCAGCTAGCCCTGGTGACTATCTAATACTTATTAGATGGAGTTTCCCCAAATTGATTTCTGAACTTTGAACTTTATTGTTATTCATGTTTTTATACTGTATTTTATGCTGCTTCTACAATTAAGTGTTTTAAATTTGTTGTTAGCTGCCCTGAGCCCGGTTTTCTAAACCGGGAAGGGTGGGGTATAAATAAAAAAATATCATTTTTATTATTATTATTATTCCCTCCCCCCCCAGTGGCCACAGAGGGGCCACAACATTAAGAACCAGCCCTTGGTCAACACCCAGGGCCTTCGTAAACCAGAATCCCATGCACACCCCAAGCTTGCCACTTGAAATCAGAGCCTGCCCCTGGCCAGCCTTGCCCCCCCCCCCCCAGACAGGGGCTCCCCACCAATGCTGTCCCCCAGAAGCCCCCCCCCCTTACCATTTGCTCCTGAGTTTGGCGCTGAGTTTCGCTCACTGTAGCTTGGAGGCCTTGGAGGAGGCGCTCTGAAGTCTGCACCTGAGTCAGGAGAACCTGGACCTGATCAGAAAGAGAGAGAGGAAGGGGGAATCAATTCGTGGAAGGGGAAGTTGCGGTTTTCTTCTAGAGCTGACGCAGTGTTGTGATTAAGGTGTTAGGCTAGGACTAGGGAGACCCAAGTTCAACTCCCCACTCAGCCATGAATCACGGGTCAGTCCCTATCTCTTCATCTAGCCTACCTCACAGGGTTGTAGGGAGGATTAAATGGGGTGGAAGGGGGGAAAGGAGATAATCTTGCACATCGCCCAGAGCTCCTGGTGGAAGCTAAGGGTTCACAATTGGTGGCTGGCGGACCCCAGTGGGTCCATGGCATCTGGTGGCACCAGTTTGGGGGGGGGGAATTGGTGGGGGGCACAGGCTTGGCCCTTGCCGGAAGGACAAAGGGAGGGAGGCCAGAACCAAGTGAGTGCAGTCCAGGGTGAGACCCCCTGGCCTGATGGATGCCCACCACCTTCCTCCTTCACCTGGTGCTTCTGAGGCCCAGGCAGCCAGGCTCTGGGTATGGGAGGTGGTGCTACATGGCCAGATGAGCTGGGGGCTCCCTGGGGGACAATGGCAGGCCCACCCCACCCACTGCCTCCTCCTCTCTCCACCCTGACTCCAGCAAGCAGTGGCCAAGTCCCCTCTGAGGTGGAGGGCTCACAGGACACTGGAGGGGAGAAGGGGAGAGGAAGGAAGGTACCCCAGCAAAGGTGGGTGGGCGATCAGGCACCTTACCTGTGCCCTTACCTGTGCAGAGAAGGAGGCTGAGGTGATTCCATATGGTCCAATTGGGGTGTGTGTGTCCAAAGGGTCTAGACGCCTTAGAGTTGGTGCCTATGGCAGCACCATTCACATAACAAAAACTACCACAGAGATATCGCCATTTTCAAAAGTAGGTCCATGGCTCGGCTTTTGAAAAACAGGGGGTCCCCAGCACTTAGCTAATTGGGAGCCTTAGAGGAAGAGCATGACTGAAATCTAACACCAAAGTAGCAGCAGAAAGAAGGGGGGGCTAACAGAGGTGGGTTTGGCTTCAGGCCCCGAGGGCAGGGCTCCCCCCCTCCCCACACACCTGCTTACTGCATTCCTCATTGCTGCGCCTCAGCGCCTCCTGCAGTCCGGCCTTTTCCCGTGCCCCCTCTTCCAGAGCTTCGCACTGTTGCCGCACCTGAATGGAAGAAGTCGGGGACAAAATGAGGGCAGGGAGAACTCCGGCACACCTCCTCCTCCCTTCTCCACCATCGCCACATCTCCCTCTAGGATCACAACACAACAGAGGAGCCCTCTATTTAGTAGAGGCTTGCCATGGGATTCAGAAGCCCGATGACAAAAAATTAACTTCCTTTCTGACTTCGGAAGGCCCACCAAGGCAGCTAAAAATCCACCTTAAAACAAAACTGAAACAAGGAAAGCAGAGCAAAGTCCTCAAAGCCATTAGCGAAGATGGAATCCAGACAAAGGCCTGACGCAGTGGGCCTTGCTCTTACTACAGTGGTACCTCGGGTTAAGTACTTAATTCATTCCGGAGGTCCGTTCTTAACCTGAAACTGTTCTTAACCTGAAGCACCACTTTAGCTAATGGGGCCTCCTGCTGCTTCCGTGCCGCCGGAGCACTATTTCTGTTCTCATCCTGAAGCAAAGTTCTTAACCTGAAGCACTATTTCTGGGTTAGCGGAGTCTGTAACCTGAAGCGTATGTAACCTGAAGCGCATGTAACCCAAGGTACCACTGTACTTGGCAGAAAGACAGCAGGAACAGAGCCAGGAGGGGGATTCCCTCAGGGGGGAATTCAACAGGTGTGGCACTGCGACTGAGAGGGCCTTGCTGCAAGTCCTCAACAGCCCTGCTGACCCCTCTGGGGCTGACCACCTCTCTGCCCTGCCTACGCACCTGTGTGTGGAGCTGCGTCCACTCCGAGTCCGGCACCAGCTGGTACCCGGCCGGCGGTAAGTAGATGGTCTCGGGCACCAGGGTCCCCGTGGAGGAAGCGATGGAGGCCGTCTCTGGGCTAGGGGGACGCCTGCGCCGGACGGCAGGCCCCGGACTCGGTGCCAATGACGAGAAAGAGGCGATGGAAACGCTGTCCAGGCTGCGGGCAAATTTCTCCGCCACTCCTCCTCCTTCTGCCAAAGTGCCAGGGTCGTCTCCAGGGGCATCGGAGGGCACAGCCTCAGAGTCAGCAAGGAGGGATTCAGAGGAGCTACATAAAGAACGCTGAAGGAAAAGGAAAAGGAATGAGCAAGAAGACCTTCCCAGAGACAGGCTGCCCAGTGTGAGTTCTGAAAAGATCAAATTCTAACAGCCAGGAAACCGGGAAGCTTAAGGAGGGAACCACTGTTGCCTTAATTGAAACAGAGGATTTCTAGTTGGCATTTCTAGTTTCCATTCATGACTCACACCTTGACTTTCCCAGACTTGTAGCCAGCCAGGAAGAGCGAGTTTGTCCTGCCATCGCTCAGCTTGTGTGCTAATTTGCACTGGCTGAGGGAAACACCTGCAGATGCAGATTGCTAGTGATGTAGACTGCCAGTGCCACGTTCAACTTATTCTGGAGCAAGGAATCACCCTCAGGCGAGCACTGCCCTTTCCCCTCTTTACTCAGCTGTTACCCAAACAGCATCCTCACCCTATTCTGAGCTGCTTTGAAGCCCCCTCCCGTTCTGGCTCCTTCCTGTTCCTCTGTGGCCCCCTTGCCACTCCCCTCATCCAACTCACCTGCTCACCCTGCAGCTCTTGAACCAGGCCCTCAGCATGCGCCAGCTTCGCTTTCAGTTCGGCAATTTCCTGCTCCATGGGGAGAACGATCGCCCGGAGCCGCAGAGTGTCCTCTTGCGCCTGTGCAGGGAGAAAGAAAGGAAACATTTGGAGCCTTCTTCCTCTACCCTCAGGTTAAGCCCTGTCTGGCCACCACGCACCTTTTCCATCTGCTTCTCCAGCGAGTCCAGGGGGTTGGGCCTTGGCAGCAAGCGGCTCCAGGTATTCTCCCGGCCGTCGCGCTCCAAAGCCGAGAGACGAGCCTCGTAGCTGGAGATGGTGTCTGTAGAAAGCGAGCAGACATCTCAGCAGGCAAGCCAAGAATCCCAGACGCTGCCTCCCTCTCGTATAGTATACTAGAAGTGTTTTGTTTTACTTATCTACTTGTTTTTAATCCTCTATTTTATTCTGTTGAACCGCCCTGAGATTTGAGAATGAAGGGAGGTATATATAAAACTAATAAATAATAAAAACAAATAATAATAGAAAGTACATCTCCACATGGTGCAGAGTTAACCTATGGGCTGCACCCGATGCTCATACTCAAAGCAGACCCATCAAAGTTAATGGGCCCAACTAACTTAGATTCATTAGTTTCCATAGGTCTACTCTGAGTAGGGCTAACACTGGCCCTATGGAATTGATTTCCACAAAAGGCAGTGAGGATTCAGCAAATTCGTGGCAATTCATGGCCACTCGCCTCCACTGCCCAAGGCCTTTGAATGCCAGTTGCTGGAAAGCCTAAGTGAGGAGAATGGCTGCAGTACCAGTGTCCTGCTTCTGGTTTTCCCACAGGCAACTGGTCAGCCACCATGAGAACTGGATGCAGGGATACATGGACCGCTGACTTGATCCAGTAGGACATTTCTTATGTTTGGTTCCTGGGAGGGAGGTTTGAAAACCTGCTGCCTTTTTATTATATACACATAATATTTCTCATCATTCTACCCTGTCCTGAAATCTGCTGAGATTGAGGGCAGGTTAGAAAAAATAAATATGAACAAATGAAGGTCCCTGCTGTTCCTTTGCTGCTGCGCCCAGGCCATGAGGCCCTTCACCTTTCAAGATGGCCTGCAGGGAAGCCACTTCCTCCTGGCACCGGCGCCGGACAGCGTCCACGGCCTCATGTTTCGTGCCTTCGCTCACGGCAGCCACAGCTCGGACGGTCTCCACTTCGGCCAACGCAGCCGACAGCTGGGCTTGCAGTATCTGGATGGTCTTTTGGGGGTCTGGATCTCGGGGGAGGTTCAGGCCTGGAGGGGCACCCACATCCTTCACCTGCTGAGGTTCTTGGGAAGAGCGGAAAAATATATATATGGATACAGAACTGAAGTTAACTTGAACCCAGGACTTGTAAAGTCCCCACTGCCCTGTGAGCTCTGACCTGACACTGCTAACCTTCTAACCCTTGACTCTTAACCCAAGCACCCTAACTCTAACTGTGACCTATGACTCCCTCTCCCCATGTTACGCAACCCAGAGCTCCATTCTAGGGTGAAGCCATGGGGGCGTGGCTTCCCATCTTCCCGCCCTCTCTCCCTGCCTGCCATTCAGAGGGGAGGCGCATTTGTGTGTACCTTCCATCCTGGCTGTTGCTGTTGCTGCTTTGGGTTCCCTGAAGGCTGAGCGGAGCCCAGAAACAGCCGAATAAAAACACGGGAGTGCTCAAAATCTATTGTATGCTGCTGGACATGGGCGAAAATATCCCAGCGGAGCCAACGGAGATGGCTACTTATTCATCTTCACTCTCTGCCGGACATTTCCTGAGGGATTCTGAAGAGACTTGAAGTGAAGAGGACACAGCGGCTGCCGAAATGGTGCTTTCACTGCTCCTGGCAAGGCCTTAGGCGTGTCTGCGAAACAAAAGGTGGGTGGTCGCGAGCCAGCCTCCAAGCTCCTTGGTTTGATTCAGGAAAGACCTACAGTGGTACCTCAGGTTACATATGCTTCAGGTTACATATGCTTCAGGTTACAGACTCCGCTAACCCAGAAATAGTGCTTCAGGTTAAGAACTTTGCTTCAGGATGAGAACAGAAATCGTGCTCCGGCGGCGCGGCAGCAGTGGGAGGCCCCATTAGCTAAAATGGTGCTTCAGGTTAGGAACAGTTTCAGGTTAAGAACGGACCTCCGGAACGAATTAAGTACTTAACCTGAGGTACCACTGTAGTATTTGCGGATTGAGCGCTCTGGTTTCAACACGCACACTTTGCCCATACTCAGAAGTTGTCTTGTTTTTATTATTTACTGCCAGGTAGCCTCTGACTGGAATCTTGCTACAAATCCTAGCTTCAAATGAAGCCTAGGAACTGCATTGCACAGAACTGGATACAGTAGTGGACAAGCTTGGACTGTGCCTTCCTGCCCCCTGCCCCCAAAATACAGTGCTGCTAGTTACTGCTGCAGGAGGACTAGAGAGGCTCTTCTCCATTCAGTTTGGCCCCTCCCTAGCAGAACACCCCCATCCCCTCCTTTTGTCATTTGTTTATTGCTGATAGTCAGGGTGGGTGGCTTGGAGTTTAGAGGTATGGAAATTCTTCACTTACCGTGAATTCCTGTTCTTCTTGAGTGGTGGAGGCCAGTGGGCTGGGGATTTGCCCAGCTGCAGGCGCCAGATAGGCAGGGATCAGAGGCTCTTCCATGGAAGGCAGAGCCTCCCCCCGTGGATCCCTAGTCGTCAGCTCGCCAAAGTGGGAAGACCCACGTTCTGGGAATCTGCAATGTCTGTTCTGTTGTTGGCTGTTTGCCTACCGTGGACACAACGAGGGGGGAAAGAGAGGTAATTGCCTCCTCCAGTAGAGAAAAACTCAAACTCATGGTAAATCAAGAATCTGAATTTCTCTGATCAAGGAGGAGGAGGCCTGACGACAACACTATTTATATGCCAACTACAACAACACTATTTATATGCCACCCATCTGACTGTGTTGCCCTGCCCACTCTTCCAGCGGCTTCCAGCAAAATATTTAAAACACAGTAAAATATCAAACATTCAAACATCCCTGTATGGGGCTGCCTTCGGATGTCTTCTAAAAGTCGTACTGTGGTTCTCAAAGAGAATCCGTTCTGAAAGTCCGTTTGACTTCCGAAAACGTTCAAAGCCCAAGGCACGGCTTCTGACTGGCTGCAGGAACTTCGGCTTCTAAATAACGTTTGCAAACCAGAACACTTACTTCCAGGTTTGCAGTGTTTGGGAGCCAAAACGTACGTGTACCAAGGCGTTCGAGAACCAAGGTACGACTGTAGTTGTTTATTTCCTTGACATCTGATGGGAGGGCTTTCCACAGGGTGGGTGCCACTACCCCTGCCTGGTTCCCTGAAACTTCACTTCTCGCAATGGAAGAACCACCAGGAGACTCTGGGAGCTGAACCTCAGCGTCCGGGCTGAACGATGGGGGTGGAGACGCTCCTTCAGGTATACTGGGCTGAGGCCGTTTAGGGCTTTAAAGATCAGCACCAACACTTTGAATTGTGCTCGGAAATGTACTGGGAGCCAATGTTGGCTTGGGATGCTGAAAATCAGCGCATCTCTGGGTGGGTCCCTGTTCTCCAACAACCTGCACTGTGTCTCCCTAGGAGTGCTGAACTCTCTTGCAGGACACATTACCCAAAGGTGCCTTCTGATGCAAAGGTGTTGATCTGGTAGTGCTGGACCGAGGAGAAAGCTACCCTACAGATCTCCTCTAGAGGCGCCATCTCCCAGGAAGCTCTGGAGGCTGTGGCCCCCTGCCTCACTGAGTGTGTAACTGAGGCCTCTGGGAAACGGAGATTGGCTGATGTGTAAGCTAGGGAAATGCATCTTCTTAGCCAGAGAGCCCTTGGAGAACTTCTTGACCAGTCAGGAGGGTTTGAAGGACCAGAAGAGTGTAGTGCATCGTCTGTGGACTCTGGTCCTGACTGTCCTGAGAGCATCTTATATGTGCTACCAAAAGGCAGAGCCTGGAACTGGACCTAGTCATTGCCATAGGAACCTGCGATGGTCCTGCCTGATGGAAGTGTAGAGGTATGGTTCTGTCAGGTTGATAGAGTGAGGAAGTCACCCTTCCTGAGGCTCACCAGGATGCTGCACAAAATCTCCACGTGGAACTTGGGAGATTCACTCTCAGGATGGACCATGTGTCTCCAGTCTGCTTTGGGACCCTGAAGAAGGCTGGGAAGACCCCGCCCTCTCAGGGACTGGGATGTGTTTGATGGCCTAGATTGTGAGGAGATGCTGGAGGGCGAGCCAAGATCCTTGTGTGCCTGGAGGGCTCCTTGGGAGACTGGAACTGGGAAGAAGACGCCCATGGGTGCCTTGTGGAACTCGTTTATCTGCTTTGAACTGTGTCCAGAATCCAGTGGCCTGAGATAAGAGGATGCTCAGGCCCTTGAGAAGCTCACCAGCCGCCCCCACCCACCCAAGAATGTCGGTAGCCTGAGGGTCCTGTTGGGTGCAGACTTCATGGAAGCCCCAAAACTGCTGTTGCCGGGCAGAAGAGTTTTTGCTCTAGGAGGCCCTGCTATTCTGTCATGCTGGTCCGTCAGCCAGTCCTTGCCCTCCAAAGAAAGATTAACCTCTGAGGTAAAGCCTGCTTCCCACAGGTGAGTCCCGCTTGGGGGGTGGCCAAGCCCCTGCTGAAATCACCTTGTGGGCAATACATCCACTCTCAGCAGCAGAGACCTGGGCTTCACCGCTGTCTCCCCTTCTTTTCTGAGGAGATCCTTGAGGTAGTGTGGGACTTGAGGGGGCCCCCCCACTAAATCCTCCCCCTTAGCCGTGTCTGGGACCCCCTGTGCCTCAGAGCACCTTCTAATCTGCAGCTTTCCTACGACCTTTCCTAGCAGCTTTTTTGGGGGGGTGCCCTGGGGTGGCTCTCTCTCTCTCTCTCTCCCCCACCCCCGGCTCCCTGACCCAAGAGATCCTAGCAGGTGCGTCGTATTAGGGAAGCCCATCGGGTGTGTGCCTCTCTCTCCTGGCTCTGCTGCTGCGGGTGGTGGAGGGTGAGCGAGCCCTTCTCCCCCCCCCCCCTCGGGGTGCTGGGACCTCGGGCATGCAGCGTCGGGGGTGTCGAGATCTGCTGAAGCGTCTGCTGCGCCCCTTTGGCAAGGCGGCCTGGGCACCAAGTGTCCAGCAGGGAGCTCCCGCCGTCGGACTCCTGCTTGGGTGGCTGAGGGTGCCGGAGGGAGGGTGGGACGGAGAGTTGGGGGGGATCCTGACCCCTGCGCCCCCTCTTTTTTCTACTTACCTTTTGGGGTTCCCTGCAGAGCGGAGGCTTTTTTGGGGGAAGCTGGTCGCGGATCCGGCTTGGCTCCGGAGGATCCCCCTGCCTGAGCGCAGCCGGAGCGTCTGGGTCTCTTGGCGCTTCCTTCTTTCGGAGAAGTCTCCTTCCTCCCAGCGCAGGCAGCAGCCGAGAGAGACGCTGCCTGCCGAGCGGGGCAGGAAGCAGGAAGGCGGCCGGGCTCCGCCTCCCCCGGAAGAGTCTCGCATCCCTCCCTGCCTATCCGGCCCAGGAGCCGGGCAGAGTCCCAAGCTGGCGCGCTCTCTGGCTGGCCGGCCGGCCGCTCCGCCTCCTTCCCCGCCTGGATCAGACGCTGGGAAGAGGCTCGCTGCGGGAACAACAGGAAAGGGAGAAGCCGGCGCTGGGGGAAAGAGGGTGTAGCTTCCCGCCAAGTCCGCCTGCCCTCTCGGCTTTTGCTTGCTGCCCCCTCTACGCCCCCCCCTCGCAGTCATCCTTAGGAGGGCGTTTAAAGAAAAGCAAGTTTTAAGGGGCGGGGAAGGAGCAGGAGCGCGCCAGCTTGGGACTCTGCCCGGCTTCTGGGCCGGATAGGCAGGGAGGCTGCCTCTTTATTTTAATTTTTTAAACTTTTATTGATAAATGCAATACTTACAAACACAAACCAGAACACTAAACAAACATATTATACATAGATACATACACCTCTAAACTTAGATTACAAAAAAGAAAACATACTATACAAACTAAACATACATACATAAACATACAAACTAAACATACAGACATAAATTTTGACTTCCAACTCTTTAAGATTCTATGATACTACGTCTGGCAAAACCAAGCTTTAGGCACTGTAACTTTCGTGCAGGCAGCAGGGAGCATGGGTTTGCGTTGTTTGTTGCATTTATCTCACCTCTCCTCCAAGAAGCTTAAGGTGCGGGTGTAGTACACACCACCTCCCCATTTCATCCTCACGACGACCCAGTGAGCTTCATGGCTGGTGGGGATTCGAACCCTGGTCTCCCAAGGTTCTAGTCCAACCACTGCACCATGCTGGCTTAGGGGTTGTATTTGCGTTCTAAGCTCAGCAGCTTATTCAGAATGCAGCATCAGCGGCATAGGGATCTGTCTTACCCCAACCAGACCTCTGGGTCCATCTAGCATGCTGCTGTGTAAGCCGATTGGCAGCTGCTCTTCAGGGTTTAAGAGATGCATCTTTTGCATGTGAAGCATGTGCTGTGGGCTACACCCTTTCCCTATCTGGATCAAATGGGAATCTAATTGTATAAAGAAAAAACTGGTGGGAAACCATTCAGCCTCGTTAGGTGAAATGTGGGATTTCAACCCTGCTTGCAGATATGGATAGAAAGTGAGGTTGCCTGTCACTGCAAATGCATTACTAGCTTAAAACAAAGCAGGATTGCTCTTTTTCTCCATTTGACTCAAAGCTCGTTTGCTGGGGAATGCGTCAAAGCAGTATTTCACAAGAAACTACAGGATAGATGTGGACTGTGGATAACATGGTGTGTAGGCTACTTCCCAAACCAGCAGTGCGAGTGTAGAGGGGTGTGTGCGCACAGCCTGTGCTTCCTCAATGGGAAAGTGTCACTCTGCCCATGCTCAAAAGCCGTATCGTCGTTATTTGGGATTGAATGTACTTGGATTGGAATCTTGCCACTTAAAAGAAAAGCTTGGTTGGATCAGACCACAGACCCCTCTGAGCATCCTGTTCAAGCAGGACATGAAGGCAAAGGCACCCTCCTTCTCATGTTCCCCAGTAATCAAGGGCATATTCCTTCTGATACCATTCATCCCATACAAGTTATATAACGCTTGATTGTAGAAAAAATATAATCTCAAAGCAGTTGTGGGGAAACCTCAATGCAAACATTGGAGGTAGTATGTAGCCCTCATGAATAGCGACAAGTGACTAATAAATTTAACCACAAACAATTTAATGTCTACTTTTGCCCTGAGTGCCAATAGACATATGGGGAGAAAGATATACCCCAGTTATGTAACCTTTCCTCCTATATACACCGACCCAGAAGCAGAGGCATATCTAGGGTTCTGTACACCCTTGGCAAGGAGCGGCATTGGCACTTGCTCCTAGGGGGAAAAATCACTTTAGTGCGATAGCCACATCAGGAATCACTTACACTTTACGCAACCCAAGTACTCAAAGCGTCCAGAGGGAGGGAGAAGTGAGGAGGTAGGGCGAAAAGATTCACACACCTTTGTGCCGCGATGTGAGAAAGATATTCTCCCATGTTTGATCTTGCAGTGTCACAACACTAGAAACAGGTATTTTTGTGCACCCCCAGTGGGGGCCAGTTTCAGCAACCCCCTAGGTACACCTCTGCCTGGGTGTAAGCCCCACTGAACATGGTGGGACTTACTCGTGAGAAAGCATTGCCAGCCTCTTTGTTTTGCTGAGCTTCTTTTGTATTTTTCACTTTGAGCTTTTAGGTTGGGTGAGGGATATAAATCAAAACAACTCTCAGTCTTATTTGAGAAGGCAGCCTTTTAAATAGCTACACACACGTATGCTACACACACATGTGCTCTGCAACGGAGTTTCCCCTTCAAATCTCCAAAATATCAGATGCCCTCTCCATAGGAACTCAGAGCAGGGCAGTCTGTGCAGCCCCATTCCTGCTGAGATACGACAGGCACCCACTGGTATCTTTCCAGAAACAATTGAAGACAATTTTTGTTTCAACAAGCTTTTCCATCTGGATGAAGAGATCTCTTCCTTGGGTATTCACTGTGTATCGCTCTTACACCTATCGCCAGCTATTGCACTTTTTTTTTAAAAAAAGCTGTTTTTAGCTGCTTTTATTGCAGGCCTGCAAATCGCCTTGACACACAAGGAAAAGGCAGCTCGTAAGTTAACAAGTTAATAAATTACTCTAATAAAAATGACAAGAGCTCTAGCAGCCTATTGGGCACTGATGTGGAGTCAATTTAAGTAAGAAACAGAAGGGACCCAACTGGTGAGCAGGCGGCTTTATTGACTTCTGCACCCTATAAGAAAGCAGATTAAAAAGCTATGCGCCTGAGGAAGGACCTCCATGTGCCAGGATCTGACGTTCTCCCCCTTCGATCTTCTTTGTCCTTCTCTCCCCTTCCTTCCTGAACCACACTGCCTCCATCCACTGCCCATCTCAGGTGTTGAGAGCCCTAGCCACATTTCCCCTGCTTGGCAGCCAGCGCATTCAGTTTGGTGTTCACCTGATCGAGGCCACTCAGCACTCGCTCCAGTTTCTGCAGCACCTGGGGATCTGAGCAGGTGTTCAAGGGCTGGGGCACCACCGTAGGCCGTGGAGCAGCTGCACCTAGAGAGAAACACAGCACCATTTCCCATTACGTGGTTGTTGCCACATCCTCGGTCGACTGCCATCTTCTAGTGCTTAATATGTAAAATCAGAAGTGTTGGGGTTGAAGCCTTTTCTGCCCCACCTCCACTGAACCCAGAAGCCCTGCCTCACAATCCCAGATATGACTACTAAGGGCCGATTCACCCACTGACTTCAGAAGTCAGGGCCGCTGTGTCTTTTAGCAGCGGAGCAATAGCAAAAAGTAACCGGCTTTCAAAATCCCAATCCATGCTTGGGGCAGGCGATGCAATATGGCTGAATTTCTGCCATTCTTACATAGGAATGCCCTCCCATCAGATGTCAAGGAGATAAATAACCATACAATTTTTAGAAGACATCTGAAGGCAGCGCAGTATCGGAAAGTTTTTAAAGTTTGATGTTTCAGTATGCTTTTATATGTGTTGGAACCTGCCCAGCGTGGCTGGGGCAACACAACCAGATGGGCAGGGTATAATTCTAATTCTATAATTATAATTAGCAGCTATGAAAGGCTGCTTAAAAACAAAAAAATGACCACTTATAAGTTTGTGCTGTTTGATAAAGCCCCTTCTCTCCTTTGTATGTGGTTTCATTGCATGGTTAGCATGGTGAGCAATTTTGTGAGGATCAGATTATAACACACTTCTTACAGATTAGGCCAAAGGTCCATTTAGTCCAGCACCTTCTTCCTCTCAGTGGCCAAGCACATGCCTCCAGCAAACTTCCAAGCAGGATGTGAAAGCAATCTCTCTTCTAACAACCCCACACCTCCTCCTGGTGGTGTTTTGCCCATACAACATGGAGATGCATGGTGAGTGGTACCCATTGGAACTGGCAGGACGGAAGGCAGAGAGGCCAACAGTAAGTGGAGCCAGAGCCACTAAGAGGCAGAGCCAACTAATTCTAGTTCTGCCCCTGCCTCCTCTTCCTCCTGCCTCCTTACAAGGTGCAACACTGAGACTAAGGAAGAGGCAGTGGACTGGGTGGAAGTAAGCAGGCAGGCAACTGGAGGCTGGCTGACGGCAGGCAGAGGTTTGTGGGGCAGTGGCCCATTTGCCCTAATGGACCAGGATCAGCCTCCGCTGATGGAGACTCTGCTTTGCTACCATAATAATTTATTATAATAATAATTCTATTGTTTATATGCCACCCATCTGACTGGGTTGCTCCAGCCACTCTGGGCGGCTACTGGCAAAATATAAAAACACCATAAAACATGAAAAAATTAACATTTCCCACAGCGATTGGCACCGATTCATCCTCAATCCTCTTTGCATTTTCTCAGTTCCATTTTGAAGGTGCTTAAGTGTGGCCCTCACCCCCATCTTGTGGCAGCGAGTTCCACAGATTTGTTATGGAATGTAGAAACACAAAATTATTTACATGGCGTTGTGTACTTTTAAAAAATAAATATCAATATGCACAGTAATGCAGAATATACAAGGTCTTTTCCAGACCCCCCTCCCAAATTCACAGGTTGCTGCTTCCCCCCCTTCCCCTTCCCCCTCACCCCTCAGTCCCCTAATCCTAGTACCGTGGCTGGTGCAAATCTTTTCTTTCAGCTCCGCCTGGGAGTCCCGGAGGCCTGAGAAGTGTCTCACGACAATGACATGCTCCGTGGGCGGGTGGGAGGCCATGGCATGGAGCTCGCGCTGGGCAGTTGTACTTGTGAATCCCAGGCCAACCTTCCAGGGGAAACAAAAGTCACCAAGAGGCAGTTTGTGTTGCACTTTGGATGTGGTGAGAGGCAGACAAGAGAGGAACAGCGGGGTTCACCAAAGCTCAGGTCTTTCCCCCAGTGACACGGCAAGGAGTGGACAGCACGGCCCAGAACGCATCGCCTCCAACCTTCCACAGATGGAAATAGGTGGGTGGTTGTAATGCCCCAATGTGCATCACTTCCTGCGTCTCTCTCCCTCCTTGGGCCCCTGCAGAAGGCTCTGCCAAGCCTGCTGGGTGCTGTAGTCGTTTAATCTGCCACATTCATTTACTCTGCTGACTTAAAAGCTAAGACGGTGTTTGTGGTTTTGTTTAAAGACGCACTAGAAAACCATAATTGTCTATCCGCATGCTGTCATGTTCAAAATATGACCCTGCACTTCCCAAAGGGTGGGGTGCTCACTGCATGGTGCCCTTTAGGGTTCAGGGATGGCTGCTTACAAGCAAGGCCCCAGAGAAAGTGTGTTTCCTGTGGCCTTCTGCCCGGGGAGCTCGTGGGCTCTTTTATACCAAAGAGAGGTCTCAGAAAATGGGGACAGCCTCAAGTAAACAGGGAGAGGAGAGCTGAGGGGAAACGCCACACAGAGGACTCAGGTAATAGGTGTGCTGCCGACCACAAAGCCACCTGGAAACCAATTGTGGTGGCCATTGGGACCTGCCCAGTTTGCAAAAACTGCTAGTTGCGTATCAGTCTCTCCCAGACAGAGGCTCTGTGGGTTTGGGGTGAGTTAATGATTAGTCTACACCTGCAACCTGGGCACACCTTGAGAGGTCTGTGCTGGAGGAAGGTGAAGCCCCAACTCCCTCCAAGGACCACGTATGAGCCTTTTCTCATATACAACACAGGGGTGGATAGGTTAGCTTGATCACTCTGAATTCTGGCAAAAATGCTTTATGGTTTTGGGGTATGTTTTAATCCATTCCTGCTGGCACCCATCTGCCTTGAGAAACAATGGAGCACACCTCTGGAGGTGAAGTCAAACTGCAGCAATAGCAGCACCGAAGTGACCTCCCTGGGGCGCAAGCCTGGGCAGTGTGTCTGGAGGTCCTGGGCTGCCCAGACAACAAGGCCTCCCTCTCGGCCTCACTGACGTGGCCAAAGGAAAGCAGAGCAATACCTTTGGCACTAGCTTGGCTGCAGGAGTTGCTGGAGGGAGGCGTACAAGGCCTCTAACCATCTTGGAGATTCCACTCTGAATTTGTGTAGGGTTAACTCGTTAGCTTTTTCTTCTCTGGCCAGTCAAAGCCATTTCCTGGGGTGTGGCTGCTGCCTCATGCTGACAGCTTCTAGGAGCCACAGGTGAGAGCTGAGTGCAGAGTGGGGACCAAAGGTGGACAAACTACCCCAGAAGGCGCACGGCATTAGGTCCACAGTTATTCCCATTTTAGAGATGAGGTAAAGCAAGAGGTGGGGAACATGCAGCTTTTAGTATTAATGGTTGCTGATCTGTTCTAGTTGCCCATTTAGTCTGCTGCTGGTTTTAGTTTTGTACACCAGCCTGAGGTTTTGATGCTTTTGTACTGTCACTGTAAGCTGCCCCCCCGAGTTCCAGTTTAGCTGAAGGGTTGGCCCTTGAAACATGCAACTTAAATAAGTAACATAGGCAGGTAACTTTGCTCTCACCCCAACCGCAATGCGTGTGATTCCAGCTCTGTTGGCCTCTTCAACGACGTCTGCATACTCCAGAGGGTCCCCTGTTTTTTCCCCGTCTGTCACTATCACAAGGAACTTCTTGGCTGTGGGGCGAGCTCCTTTTTGTGTGGTGAATAGTTCTTTCCTAAAAGCGGAAGGGGAGAGAAAGGCTGGCGGTGAGTGTGGCAAATAACAGCTACGAAGGCCCAAGTTCCCACTTTCCCAGGCTCAACAGGCATTCTGCGTTTCACTATTGCTGCATCTCCATGGTAGAAAAAGCACTGTTTGAATTTCTGCACCAGCAGGGGAAAAAAAGAGGAGGCAGGGAAGGAGGGGGAGAGAACGGGAGCAAAGATACCCACACCACTTTTCTGATCCCGGAGGCCGTATGGGAGCCGCCTCCCAGCTGTTTGATTCCACCGATCAAGAGGTCGGCATCCCGGTCTCTGCTGAAGCGTCTGAAGTCAAAATGCTCTTCAAAGCGGTTAGAGAACTGCAGGAGGGCAAACTGAGAACAGAGAGAGATTAATGAGGACACGGCTACTAGCCACAATGGCTATGCTGTACTGTCCACTGTCGGAGGCAGTATGCCTCTGAATGCGAGAAACTCGACGGGCCATTAGCCTGACCAGGCAGGGCTCTTCTTAACCTCTGATATTTATATTTAAGCAGGTGTGTCAGACAGGAGGAGCAGCTTGATTCTTAAATCAGCTAACAGCTGCCAGGATCAATTTGTTTGGGGGCCAGTGGCTACCCAGCTGCCTTCTTCCCATTTTGGATTACATTCATCGTTTTCCCCAGTTCAGGTCTGGTTACTGTTCTTGTTAAATAGAGACAGGCGCTTTGCTGCCTCAGGCCAAAAACCCAAATAGGAACCCCTTATGGTGATATGTGTATAATAATTAACTAAATATTTGACAATTTGCTGCCCTTGAACAGTAACCCCAAAGTATCCAGTAATGCAGCCACCACATCCTTTATTATTAACTCCTACACCCTCCAAGTGGAGTGGAGTGTGCAAGGTCAGAGCAATGGCTTCCCAAGGGACTTGGAGGATTGAGCCCTTGTGCTTTTCAGCCAAACCCCAATCAATTGATCAGGAACAAGGGGTTATGCTGAGGTTCCGTGCAGCCTGCTCTCCCACCCCCAAATCCTACTCTTTTACCCCAGCTGTATGTGCCCGGCAGCAAGGCACATGAAAATTGCAAGAATCCTAGCGTTTGTCTTGAATCTTCCAACATTTAAACCAACTCTGGGAGCTGACACCATGCCCTCTTGCCCATCTCCCCTACTGACCTGCGCATTATGGGGAATGCTTTTCATTACAAGTGCAATGAACACCTTCAGTTGCATGAATTCTGATGCCCGCATGCTGGATGAACCATCCATCAGGAAGACAATGTCCCGGGCCTCATTCTGACATTCTGGGTAGGGCGAAAGCAAGCCAGAAAGGCTCATCCCAAGTCAAAACCATTCCTTTTCATTCTGAAGACTCCTCAACTCAGTGGCAGTTTAATTTTCTGCATAAAGTTGCCACCTTTCTTTCCCACCCCCACCTCTTACAGGTCCCATGCATTTAATCACGGCTACATGATAATTATACTCCATGGTAGAAGAACCTTGACCTCTTCAATTTCTGCTAGTTCCATAGGATATAGTATTTATTTATTTTATCTGTATTGCAAAGTTATAAAAAAGTGGGGAGGAAGGATAGAAATGGGGGGGGGGAGGAAAGGGGAAAATAAAACACCACTGTCAGCTCACATTAACTATACAATAAGCACCACTACATTCATCTTAATTTACACATACAAATTGATAGATGCTATCCAAATGTCCCCAGTACGTATCCAATTGAAACTGATGTTTATCAAAAGTAATTTAAAGTGGCCAGGGTGTTAATATCTTGAGTCTATTGAGTAAAAGATGGGGAACTACAGTTTCCAGGTTTATTTGTTGGGGAAGCCCACGGCTGTTAAAGCAGCAAAATCTTCTCTTTCGAGGAAACAACAACAACTGACATTCTTCTGTACAGTCCCTACTCACGTCCTAATTGCTGGTTGCTCTGGGGGGTTTCTGGGTCAGCCAAGGCATCTGTGAGATCAAAACTATCACCAGCAGACCCTGTGAGAAAGGGGGAAAGGAGGTGAGCCAATACCAAGACAATCCAGAGAAAACGGGGACCATGTGTGTGAGATAGAGACATGGTTCGGTAGAGAGGTGTGTATGTTGCTGCTGCTGCACATCTGTGAAAATGAAATAATCCCCTTTGATCAAGTTACTGCTGTATTCCCTGTCTGCAAAAGACATGTTTTTTTACCTATTTGACCCTTTGACTATACAATTCACTAGGTGCTGCCAGCCCTGCTCGCTTTGCTTGCCAGCCCTGCTTATCTCTCTGCCAGCTGCCCTTGCCCCACACCTCACTGAACCTCCTCCTTTTACAAAACAATCTCAACTTGTCAAAATACATTTCCGGAGCTGCAACATCTGAAATGGTAGGCTGCATTGGGCCTCTAGTGTTTGTGCATGTGAAAGTGTGCTAGAGACTAGATGCATCCACTCGTCACTTGGAAATGACTAGAGATCTTGGAAAGAGAGCTGAAGTCTTAAGTCTAGTTAGACTAGTCTGTTAGACTACTGCAATGTGCTATGTGTAAGGCTACCTTGAAGACCGTTCAGAAACTATAGCTAGTGCAGGAGACATGACAGCTAGTTTCTTGACCATTCATCCCGGACACTGAGATCCAGCTCTGAGGGCCTTCTAGCAGTTCCCTCATTGCGAGAAGTGAGGTTACAGGGCCTTCTCAGTAGTGACACCCACCCTGTGGAACTCCCTCCCATCAGATGTCAAGCAAATAAGCAACTATGTGACCTTTAGAAGACATCTGAAGGAGCCCTGTACAGGGATGTTTTTAATGTTTGATGTTTTACTGTGGTTTCAAATTTGTCGGAAGTTGCCCAGTGTAGCTGGGGCAATGCAGTCAGATGGGCAGGGTACATATAAAACCAAACAACAATAACAACTTTTAGGGTGTCCTGGTTTTTACTTTTTGAAATATGGCAATCCTAAAGGACAGGGATTTATCAGAAACAGCCAACCAAAAAAGAGATTATTGTCAGTAAGGAGTGACCAAGGCCTGAACAAGACTTTTTCTGCCTGGGGCAAAGGACAAGATTTTCCACAACAAAAATACAACCAAAATGGCGGTTGAGCGTTACTTCTGTGCTGGCCACAGGACACTGTCCTCCACCATACCTCATTAACTGAGGACAACCTAGAGCAGGTCGTAGGATGTGGCACATACAGCTCTGCCCTTCCACACCTTGCTGCCATTCCCGGCCCCCAACATTCTGTTGCCTGAGGCGGTCGTCTGGCTCTACCTAATGGTAGAGACAGCCCTAAGTCCCGGATAGCTGGAACTGACCTGCTGCTCCCAGGAAAAGGAGGGTGATGATGATGGAGATCCCCAAGGCTCCCATGTCTTGTCTCTGATCTCTGCCCGTCAGTTTTCAGCCTTTTCACTATCGGAGAGCCGCAACTGGTGCAACGGGGCAAAGGCTTCTCCTGAACGTAGAACAGAAGTCGGAAGGGCACTGACCAGGAAAGGCCATCTATTGGGGTGGGAGAGGAAAAAGCAGCAACCACACTTTGCAGGCAGCTCCAGCCTCTTTTTGATGTGCAAATATTTGCAGCCCTTTTCAACTCCTGAGTGGTAGCCAGGTTAGTCGGTTGTAGTGGAAATAACAAGTGTCCCTGTACGTTTGATGACTCAAAGGGGAAAGTTATGCTGAAAGACTTGGTAATCTTACAGCCAACCACTGTGAAAGCAGCAAAAGGGTGAATTCATTGGAAGATTGGTATCCAGAAACGTGGTCAGTTGCTTCAATGGGAAAAAAATAACACACAAGATGAAAGCATTAAGGAAAACAAAGGGGCCTGACAAATTTAGAGAAATGTGGAATTGCTGTATTTAATAAATAAAAAGAGAAAACAATGTTATCCCAGCTCAAACTCATGGTAGCTGAACTTGGATAATGGTATTCCTTCCATGGGGCTGCATTTCTCCTTTGTTCAGTTGCTCTGTTTCCAATGGTGGTTTTGTATTAGGTTTTTGGCCTTGCACCAACTCTGTTGTTAATTGACCTATATTTTGCTATTGCTCCATTATGTATGTTTGTTTATAAAATTAAATGAACACAGATTGAAATATTTTCTGGCATCATCATCATACACTCCAACTGATTTGCCAGGAAGTTTCTTTCTTTCTTTCTTTCTTTCTTTCTTTCTTTCTTTCTTTCTTTCGACCTTTCCCTGGTAAATAACTGACCCTATTGCTGTGGGCTTTGTTAGGGTTTGCAGCATTGAGATTTTTCAGGGTTTAGCTTTCTCCTCCTGGCCTACCGAGTTTTTAAAGTGCTGGTGGTGCAGAAGGGCTTGGAGCCTAATTACAGTGGTACCTTGGTTTATGAACTTAATCCGTTCCGGAAGTCCGTTCTTAAACCAAAGCATTCTTAAACCAAGGCATGCTTTCCCATAGCAGCGGGGGACTCTATTTACAAATGGAACACACTCAACAGGAAGCAAACATGTTCTTATTCCAAGGCAAAGTTCACAAACCAAAACACCTACTTCCAGGTTTGCAGCACTTTTAATCCAAGTTGTTCATAAACTAAGCTGTTCTTAAACCAAGGTACCACTGTACTGGAAGCTCTGGAATGCCTCCTCCCCACACCCGTATACAGTATGGCTAGTAGCAGCCTCTCATATACATATGTGTGGAACAGCTACTGAACATTCTTGTGGACTAGTAGCTTTGGTACTCATTTCCAACATTTGCTTTCAGCACTTGGCATTGAAGCAGCAGCTATGGACACAGAACAACTTATGACTCAGTTTTCCCCAACCAGGATTCCAAACTAGCAATTAAAAAGTCGGAACGCACTTTCCCCCTCCTGCTCTGTTTCATACTCAGCCCCTTCTCTCTCAATATGTAGCAGCAGCCACCATGCAGGAAGGCTGCCCCATCATTCCCATGGCGAGAGCTTTCACCATCTGGACTGCAGCTTTTAGAAGCTGTGGGGGAAACAATATTTTGATGCGGCCCAGAGCTCCTTCCTTGATGTTCCTTTATAAGATGAAATAAGGAAGCAGAAAGATCCAGTATTTCAAAGGCTCTTCTGTTAACAACCACAGTGAATGGCTAGCATCAAATGTACCTTACAAAAACAAACCAACCTTCACCCACCTAATTCCACATTCTGCATTTACAAAAGGCAAATCCTGGGTCCGGTACAAATTATACAACTAATTCATGCCTGGTCCTGCCATTATTGAACTGAAGAACAAGGGGAAATGGCACCTCCTTTGCCACCAAAGGCTTCAAAACATTCTCTCTATTCTGATGTTCAGTGCTGATGCCCAAACAGCACTGTCCACAGCCAAGAATGATAGAGGGAGCTATAAGCAGGTTTGGAGGAACACCAAAGTTTGCAGAAGTACAAAAAGGGTTTAGAAAAAGACACTGCATTCAATGACCGCACAGGGTCAAACTCTAGAGTTCACAAGTCAAACCTGCAACAAAATCTTGTAGCACGGGTGCTCCTGTTCACTGCTCTGGTCAGTGTGCAACACCCTCCACAACGACACTCCATTCCATTCCCCTCCAGTCAGCCCACATTCTGGGCTGTGGCCAAGTAACTTCTAATCAGAGTATACCCATTGAAATTGATGGACATGACAAATTTAGATCTATAAATGTCCACGATTGTACTCTAATTTGGTTGGATGCAGCCCAGAATGCTTACACACTGTGGCGATGTTGTGATGACTGACTGGAACAGGAGCACTCCCCACTAGAACGTTTTGTCACTGGAGGCTTTACTTGTGAACTGCGAGCCGAAGTCAGACAGATTTCTGTCACATATACCTCCACCTCTGCTGAGGCCATCTCCTGTGAAATGTCAAATTTTGGTGACCAGGTGTAAATCAACAAGACGCTTTGGCTAGTTGTCTGGCGAGATGGCGTCAAGGTGCAAGCGTATCAAGAGCTTGAACTTGTTTGTAGATCTACCAAGAGGGAGGCTGGCATCAGCCATGCAAAACTGGACTCATTAATGTCTGGGGGTGACTATATGGTCCCACATCCTTCAGGTCCACATCCATGACCAGAAGGAGTAGTAGTATCAGGAAGATTGGATTAAATTTAATGATTACTTAGTTAAATATGTTAAGTTAAATTAATTGAAAACAGCTTGCAGATACTTAATTGGCTTAGGATTTTATTTAAGTGATGAATTAATATGTTTAATTTCATAATGTGAAGATCTAAGGATGTTAATGTTTAAGTTAAATTTTATAAGAACTGTGATTTGGAAAACCGTTAAAAGGATATGCAACAAAATTCAACCAAGGGGAAGCGAGGAAGTCACTTAACAATGTTAATAAGTGTATTTTTTAACAAGGCTATGATTTATGTTTGTTTGTCTTATGTATTTGTTTGTTTATAATGTTGTGAAAACCAATAAAAAAAGTTGAAGAAAAAAAAACTTATAATGCTTGCGGGACAGGCAGAAATCCATCAGGAGAAGCTCCTCTTCGGCACATCTCTGTGCGAGCAAAAGGGTTTACCTGCTGAATTTTTGCCAGACACCCAGCAGCTAAACACATAGGACCCCAGCCAGAAACAAACCTGGCAACTGGTTATCACAGGCTCAGATGTTTTCTCTGCAGGTGGAGAAGGCAAGACGTAATGTCTTGGTTGGGAGTTGTAATCATCATGGCAAGTGAATTTCCTCCCCCCATTTAACAAACAGGTAGTTTTAAGGGGACTGGCAGGTGTAAAATGGGGGGAGGGGGAACCGACACTCTTTTCACACACTAACACACACACACTAGCTCTGTGGTGCCGCCTGTTAGATCTGACCTGTCAGCAAAGGAAAACGAGAGATAATTACAGGGTCTGAGGATGGGCCTATATAACGGAAGAGTTTGCCCTCCCTCCCTCCAACAGGTCTTCTTCCAGGTGGCGGAGACCATGAGGCTCTCTGTAGCCCTGGCACCTTGGATTCTCCTCCTCATCCAGGATATTCTGCCCCTCACGCCAGCCCAAGAGAGGACGCTGCGCTTCGTCACGCTGGTACACAGGAGGGTGGGTGGCAGGAACTAGGGCGCCTGGGTTCTCCGGGAAGGAGCAGGGGTCTGCACAGCAAGAGAGAAAGGAGCCAGAGTACTTTGGGAGGAGTGTGAGGCATAGCTGTCAACTTACAGATTTGAAAATAAGGGACCAGCAGCCTCGAAAATAAGGGATCTGCAGCCAAAATAAGGGATTTTGCTTTGCTTGTACATAAATCCGGCACTGATGAAGCCATGCTGCTTTGGCTGCGACTGACTGTGTTTGCAGGGGGTTGGACTAGATGATCCTAAGGGTCTACAGCTCCCACCAAAGAAGAGTGACAGACAAAACTCATGAACGACGTCAAGATGGCAAAGCTTACAGGCAGAATTAGAAACCAGGAAGAGAACCTCTTTAATAAAGAATGGGGAAAGTTTATAATTTATTTGAAAAGCTATTGTAAAGAGTTACATACATTGGTAGGATTGACAGAAAACTTGTAGCAAAAATTTGAAATATGGATGGACAAATGATTTATAAAAATAGAGTTATGAAAGGGATGCAGAGGAGCAAATCACTACATTAAGATGCTGCACTGGTTGGAGGGTATGCTAAGCAGCACGTCGCGGCTGCCGTCGTCCTGGGGCGAGAAGTTCCATCGGCCCTTCCCCGCCAGAGGGGGGGGAGGGAGAGAGGCTCTTGCCCACGCCACCCGCGAGCCCGGCATGAGGTGGTCGCGGCCGCTGAAGCACCGCCCTTCTGCATCCCTCCCCATCCCCTCCTCTTCCTCCTCCCTCAGGCCGCCTCCTCAGCCGCCGCTGCCGCCACCCATCTCCTCACGACGCGCCCCTGAGGGGGAAAAGGGAGAGATGGAGACGTGGCAGCTCGTGCGTGCGCTCTCTCTCGCAGAGGAGGACCCCAAGCAGCTGCTTCCCTCCCAAGCCTAAGCATGAAACCCGGGAAATTTAAGGGACATCATCAGTAAGGGACAGCAGCGGGACACGGTGCTGGGATAAGGGAGTTTCCCGCCAAATAAGGGACGGTTGACAGCTATGGTGTGAGGTCTACGGAAGCAGAGCTTCTGGATACCTTGAGTCGGGAATGAAGGGGGTGAATTCTGCTCCAAGCAGTGAGTTGCTTCTCTTTCATTTCATATATTGCTATATCCTACCTTTCAGAATATAAATCCTACTGAGGTGGCTTAGAACTGACATTCAATTACTTACACTTACACACACACACACACACACACACACACACACACACACACAGTGGTATCTCGGGTTAAGAACTTAATTTGTTTCAGAGGTCCATTCATAACCTAAACCCGATCTTAACCTGAGGTACCACTTTAGCTAATGGGGCCTCCTGCTGCCGCCACCTGATTTCTGTTCTCATCCTGAGGTAAAGTTCTTAACCTGAGGTACTGTAACCCAAAGTGTTTGTAACCCGAGGTACCACTCTGTGTGTGTGTGTGTGTGTGTGTGTGTGTATGAATGACTTTGATATTTAATTAATTATAAAAGTATGTCAGTATCCTGTATCATAAAATATCAAGGTGGTGTACATTGTTAAAACAGGGGGGAAACCAGTGTTTTTAAACAATAAAAACACAGAAAAACATTAAGGAGACTGGCTATTGAAAAATGCCAAAACTTTGTGTTGTTTCCAGTGTTGGTCAAACGCCACTGAAATTAATGGACCCTAAGTTAGTCGTGCCCATTCATGTCAATGGATCCAGTCCAAGTCTGTCTAACCATGGTTACAACCCCATCATGGTGGGTGGGACAGTTCTGTACTGGAAGGGCACCAGAAATCTGTGTCTGCGCTGGGCACAGAGACACATCACACACCCAGAGACTTGTAGCACCTTAGAAACTAACACTTACTGTGGCATAAGTCTCCATGCACTTAAGACCACTTTGTCAAATACCTGATGCTGGCACACACACCCTTTTTTTTAACTGATCGGTCTAATAGCTTGTTCAGTCTCAAGAAGGGTAATAACATACTAATTACTTTACCCTGACTCACCCAATCCCTGGCCACTTTGAATGAAAATGTATTCCACAGAAGTGCCCGAAAGACTGCAGGCTTGGTATTAGGAATACACCCTTAAGGGATGGGAGGGGAGCGTTTTAAAGGGATAGTGTGAAAAACAAGTATTAGGCCTATTATGAAATATATATATGCTCACACACATAGGATGGTTCTCTTGTAATGCATCAGATCTGAAGAGGAGTAAATAGAAATTTGTATTTTTAATTTCTTTAAAGGGGTAGTTTTTATAGCACTAGATGTAGCACTAGATGTTGTTTTATATATGGAATGCATAATTTATAATAATACCCGCATAAGTACATATTTGTTTATTTTGCAATACACTTGGTGCATGTCACATAAACTCAAAAGTAAAAATTATAAGGTGGCTGTGGTTGCTTTTCTTTGCCCCTCACCTGTAAATGAATTGGTGCAGGCATCTTGTTTCTGGTTTACAGACTGACCCTCCAGCAGTGCCATCTATTACAGAAAGGGAAAACACGTGTCTGTTTCTATGCATGTGTGTGAGAGAACTAGATAGCAAAGGGTGTGTGTGTGTGTGTGTGTGTGTGTGAGAGAGAGAGAGAGAGAGAGAGAGAGTATAGGTGGAATAATATGGAAGGTAAATCACAGTAGGTCCCATTTTGCAGGCCAGGATCACAGAATCATAGAATCTTAAGAGTTGGAAGGGACCCAAGGGTCATCTAGTCCAACCCTCTGCAATGCAGGAATCTCAGCGAAAGCATCCATTGCAGATGCCCATCCAACCTCTGCTTAGAAAACCTCCATGGAAGGAGAGTCCAGCACTTCTCATGGAAGTCTGTTCCACTGCCGAACAGCTCTTACTGTCAGAAAGTTTTTCCGAATGTTTACTCGGAATCTCCTTTCCTGTAACTTGAAGCCATTGGTCCAGAGTCCTACCCTCAAGAGCAGGAGAGAGAAAAAGCATGCTCCCTCTTCCATGTGACAACCCTGAAAATATTTTAAAAGTCCAAAAAGATTCCTGGTCTTGTAGGTTAGAAATTTGAGGGCAAAACTATCACTCGGTTTGCTGTATGTCGCTGTTCTGACCCCCTTCTTCTTTCTTAGGTGTATCGCCATGGTGACCGATCCCCTCTGGGCACCTACCCCACGGATCCCCACAAAACGGCACCCTGGCCACAAGGCTTCCAGCAACTCACTGAGGTGGGGGCTTGGGGGGGTGTAGAGGGGTGGGATGAGCACTGGAGGCAAATGGGGCACTGCCGCTGTCTGGCTGCCTTTTTGCTTTACAACCACTCAGGGGCTAGCTCTCCCTGCCATTGGCTCAAGCTCCACTTGTTTTCCCAAGGTCACCTCCAGCCACAACCTGGGGAAGGGGGAGAAAGGCACTTGCCAGAATTTCCATGACTGGAGTTTTTGTGTGAGTGAAGGCGACTGATCTCAGCCTTCGCTTTGCACTGGAGCAATGGGACAGCCCTGTTTTGGAGGACGCTTCAGATCTTTCTCTATCCCTGCCCCCCCAACTTGATTTTTTCCTTTTGTCTGCTGCAGGTAGGTATTTTGCAACAGAAGGCACTGGGACGATTCCTCAGAGAGAGATATGCTGGCTTCCTGAGTGCATCCTACAAACCACAGGAGGTAAATATCCGTTTGCTTATTTAATAAAGGCAATATATATATTCCACACCAGCACCCAAGAATTCACAAGGCAGCAAATATGAATACAGTAATAAATATATATAAAGCATGCAACAATTTAAGTATTAGCTGACATGCAAAAATAAGCAGCAGCAGCACCCCCAAAATGTATCCAAACCCATAACACCAGCTCCACACACCTTTTAAAAAGCTAATGGGTGGTGGGTGAAGCCAGAGGGGGAAACTGGGTGGCTCTAGAGGCCCAAGTGGACAATGGAGGCTTTTGATTTTTACATCCCACCTTTCCTCCAAGGAACTCAATGAGGCATACACAGCTCTTCCCCTCTCCATGTTATTCTCACAACAACCCTGTAAGGTAGTTTAGACTGAGAGATGGTGACTGGCCCAGGGTCACCCAGTAAGTTTCATGGCTGAGTAGGAATTTGAACCCTGGTCTCCCATGTCCTACTCCAATACACAACACTGGCTTGTGTTCCAGCCACACAAAAGCCCAAAGCTTCTACGCTCCCACCAACACAACTCTATTGTCCCTTCAGGCAAGCAAGCAACATTAGCATCACAGGTCAAAGACACATTCCAACCAGGCCAGAGCACCTCGAGAGGGTGTAGTGGAGGTCAGTGAGATGTGTGGGCTTGGAGAGTCTCAAGGACAGGATAAATAGCCCCACCAGCACTCGGGGACAGCCAAGGTTTTCACCCGCCTTGAGGCCAACCAACCATTATGCCACTTTCTAGATCTATATCCGCAGCACAGATTACGACCGCACCTTAATGAGCGCCCAAGCCAACCTGATGGGGCTCTATCCAAGCTCAGATCCAGAGATCAGCTGGAGACCTGTTCCCATCCACACTGTGCCTACTAAGTATGATAAGGTAATCCTTCGCAACTTGCCCAGATTTTACTGGTTCTTATCAGCTGCTTCTCTGCTTTGTATTGAGTTTATGTGGCATTTTCTTATATTGCTTTTATTGAACACCATCCTACAAGTCTTCCATTGCAAGGAGGTCTATGCATGAAACAAATGTATTTTTTGACAGAGAAGCTAAGGGAAGTGTTTCCTGAAAAGGGGAATGCCACTTCACGAAATCCAACTTTATCAAGAATGAATTTCTTTCTGGCTCTTTTATTTTGATGTCTTGCCACATTTCTGTATGAGTTCCGTCTAGGCCCTCCATTTTCATTCTGGTCAAGCTTAAAAATTGGGACAGAGACTCAGTAAGTATATTTACCATTTAGACCGGTGTCATGAAGTCTAGCATTCAATCCACTACACCAGCCTGGTAATCTGGCAGATATTTTGACCTATAATTCCCATCAACCGCCTGCTGTCAGAGGCTGATGGGAATGGTCGGCCAAAATATCTGCCTGACTCCAGGTTGCTGAAGACAGCTCTACACGGCAGCCTTTTTTGAGCAAAGCAGGAGCTTACGGATGTGAAAGTGAGATTCAATCAGTGTTCCTGCTTCTGAAGTGTAGCCCCATAGTTTACATATGGGAAAGAAAAGAGGGGTCAGCTTTCCCCAAGAATCAGATTTGTCTGTCTTTTCCTACTCCACACCTCACAGCTGCTGAAGCCGCCAACCCGGAACTGCCTACGATACCAACAGCTGATGGGAGAGACAATTAATTTGCCAAGCTATCAGGCTAAAATGGAGACCTGGAAGGTATCAGGGAAAGGTGGGGTTGGCTAGGAGGGAGGGAGGGAGGGAGGGGGGAATGGATTCCAAAGCCAGGATTTCTTCTTCATCCAATTCATCAATCCAACTCTTTGCACCCATTGTAAGAGGAATGCACCACCTGCAGGGGGAGTCTTGTTCTCTGCCTTGATCACTCAGAGGATATATATGTACTACAAACTTAAAGCAGGTTTTATACCACTTTAATTGACCTGGCTTTTACCCAAAAAAATCTTGGGAAATGTAGCTCAGCAGGGATACTATAGGGATCCAAAGCGCGCACACACACAACTGAGAACCACGATTCCCATAGTGAATTACATTAAACCAGTTCTCATCTTGTCTTGTGTTGCCATCGTCAAGAAAACTGACTGCCTTATTTTGCTTACGGCAGCCCTTTGTTTACTTTTGGAAAACTCTGATGGCCAGTCTAGCACCCAATCTGAGTGTTTTTATTATTCATTTAAAATATTCATATACCACTTTGTGGGGCAAGAATCCAGGGTAGTTTCCAAAAAATTAAAGCTAAAGCTTTGAATGTAATAGAAAACATTAGTAACAACAACAGATACAAGGTAAAAAAGCAATACTTTAAAAAAGTGCCCAGTGATGTAAAGCAATAATGTTTATTCAAAAATAAATTACTCCTAGGTAAGCACTTGTAACAGCCTTTGCCAACCCTAGTGCCCTTCAGCTGGTTCGGACTACAACTCCCACCAGCCCCAGATAGCACCTTGTTGGGCCTGAGGGCACATTCAAGAAATCTAAGAAACTGTCATGGGAACCACCCATTTCACAGAAGAAAAAACTGATGTTCGGGACCAAAAAACTCTACACAGCCCAAAATAAACAAAAAAGAAGGCACACATAGTTTTAAAATATATACAAATTTGAGAAAGGCAGGGGCCCTTAGGCCTAACTTAGTCATGTTTATTAACTCTGATGGGTCTAGTCTTGAGTGAAATGAACACTGAATACCATCCATAATGGGTCTAATTGTGGTGCAACCCTACATGGAAGTGGGTTTTCGGAAGCCACACCACTTACAACATTCAGGCCTATGTCGGTTTACATGGACGTATACTGATGTTAGTAAGATTGTGTAGGATAGTGGAACTAGCTTCCTCCAGGCGAAGCCCATTGAAGTTCCAATCCGTTAGCTAATTCTTCTTCCCCCTTCCCTCCCTTCCCAGGGCTTTATGAGAGAGATGGCAAACCATACAGGGCTTAAACAGGAACAGCTAACCCTGAGGGGCCTTTGGAGGGTCCACGACTCCCTCTTCTGCCAGGTAGGCATACTGCACCGCATAACAGCCTCACCAGTTTGCCTCCAACCATACCTTTCTCTAGTGTTTTTTTCTTTCCTTGCAGAAAACACACAACCTGACCTTGCCCAGCTGGGCCACGCCACAGGTCCTGGCCACCCTTTCAGAGATGGAAGCATTCAATGTCGAAGCCCATGTGGGAATGCATGCAAGCCAGGAGAAGGCCCGATTCACTGGAGGTAAATTTTAATCAATTTTAGAGGATAAACATTCTAACGCTGCTTTGACAAAACACAGTACTGGGGGAAAAATTGAGGATCCGTTCACACGGCACCTGGAAATTCACTATTTTCCAGTTCAATGTGTTCCCCGTTGTCCTCCACAGATCCATACCGAACCAATTTGTGGGGGGGCCATGACATTTCTGTGCTTTTCTTTTTTTGTTACTATGGTTTTTCTTCCACTGAACCCTTCAGCTGTTATTGATGGCGCATGCCCCAGTGCTCAGCACATGTGTGTGCTTGCGTGACTCATTTTCATATGCAACACGGCACCCCCTTGACCCCCAATTATTTGCAGAGCTGCTAGTTTTGTGCCTGTTGGTCAGTTATTCTTTGACATACCATAGGACACCCCTCAGTCAAGTCTCTCTCCCACCTTGCAGGGATATTACTTGGCGCTATCCTGAGAAACTTCTCCAAAGCAGTGTGCCGGGATCTGCCCCTGAAGATGATCATGTATTCTGCTGTAAGTCTTTCCCCACCTTAAGACTTCAGAGGGACCATGTGGGAAGATGGGGTGTGTGGTTTAAGTGTGTATAGCAGTCTGTTTAGAAGGATCTCGGGGCTATTTAGTGGCTTCACTGCAAGCAGTTCTTTTTGAAAGTGCTAAAAATAAGTCTCACTAAAACTAGAACTATCAAACTAAGCCTGCAAACTATGGAACAAACTTATCACATGAAGGGGAAACAGGAGGTTCCTGAATAGCACCCTCTATGAAGATGAGGGGGAAGCAAAGTAATATCATCTAGTCTGCACATGGAAAAGTGGCATGTTTTAGGGAGTGGGGGGCATAGCAATATATTGTAAAATGCAAAACAAAAAAACATGTTGGCTACATTTTTCCTGTTCACCTACTTTTTAGCATGACAGCACCTTAATTGCTCTTCAAGGAGCCCTGGGCGTTTACAAAGGTCCCCCTCCACCCTATGCTGCCTGTCATGGGTTCGAGTTCTACCAGGAAAGCAATAAGTAAGTCTGGTTCCATCTGTGGGGCAGGAAGTTTCTCTTCTTTTGCTGGGTGTTGAATTTGCTCTCCATCACAGAGAAAGGTTTGGTGTGCATGTAAAAACTGTACAGGTGCTGATGAACTACTGATAATTTATCATCCTGGTGAAATAAAACGCTGGCAGTATTTTAAGAAGCAAAAAAATGTGCAGTCTTCAAGGCTTGTGAGGTTGAGCTTAAAAGGCTTATAACTTGCAGCAATATCCCAGGGAACAGAATGTGCTCAGGCTTTCAGCTTCCTCTAACTCTGTGCCCAATAGAACAAATTATGTACAATTGCTTTTGCATGAAGAACTGAAATGTTTACTTGTTGAAAAAGCAGCTTATACATGCCCCCCCCCGCTCCCTTTGTGGCTCCGCTATCCTCCCACAACTCAATGGTAGACACATCACTTCACGTGCAAAGGATCACACAGGTTCAATCCCCAGTATTCTCCAGGCAGGGCTGGGGAAAGGCTCCCTGTTTGAAACCATGGCATGTTTTCCCTTGTTTTTTAAAATTAAAAGCCACTTTTTGGAGTACGGTAAGTCTTCTCTGTCCAGTTTTTTTAATTTTATTTTTAGTTCTGACTTTGATATAAGGAAACATTATTATTACTACCCTTTCTTAAAAGTTGTCCTCTCCAAACCAAGGAGTACACTATTCGGAGGGACTCTCTCTCTTTGCCAGCTCCTAGTATCCCTTGCGGTATTAACAGCTGCCTCCCAGCGACTTGTCAGCACATTTGCAGTTGCTGACGCACTGACACTGCAGGAAGGAAAGCACCAAATTATCAGAGCCAACGTTTGGCAGTGCGGGGTTATGGGAAGAGTGCAACCTTTACTAGGCTCCTGTGTTTTCCATCTTTCCAGCTCCTTCAGTGTATCCATGTTTTATCGGAACGAAAGCAGCCACCAGCCCCACACATTAGCCCTGCCTGACTGCCCCACACCTTGCCCACTGCCTCTCTTCATTCATCTTACGAAGGCAGTCATCCCGCTGGACTGGGATGCCGAATGCCAAAACCCTCAGGCAGGCACAGGTAATGCAAGGTCTTTTCCCTCCCCCTGGGCAGAGGTTCGCACTGACTCTCCCACTCACACCTGCTCAATTCCTTTTGCAGGGCGCACCGTAACAGCGCTGGCTGTGGCAGTTGGCCTGCTGAGCACGGCATTAATAGGAGCAGGCATAATGTATTGGAGGAGGTGATGGGAAGATGGGCTCATGGCAACCACCAATCACCCTCATGGGAAGAGAGAACAGCCTCTACATGTTGTGAAGTGTGGTCCAGTGGCTGGAGCCAAGGGGGGGGCAAACTCAGACTCCATCCACAGAAGCTGATGGTCTAAGCAGCACAGGCAAGAGGCACATTTACTGTAGGTAATTATTAGGAGACTTAAAAATAAAGCAAGTAGTGCAATGATTTGAGTACAACACTGTGTGTACCTTTCTGTCAGACATGGCAAGGAAATTCTTATACCTCCACATTTAGAGGGCCCCATGCTTTTCATTTTAGTATGTAATCTGCTCTGACAGACATACACCACTAATTTTTAAAAACAGAGTTGGAAGGGACCCTGAGGATCATCTAGTCCAACCCCCTGCAATGCAGGAATATGCAGCTGTCCCATATGGGGATCGAACCTGCGACCTTGGTGTTATCAGCACCATGCTCTAACCACCTAAGCTGTGCTTAATGCCTTGGGTTCCCCACAAAAGACTTCTGTGGTAGATCAACATCTGGATGGCCAGATTTTCTGTACCTTCCCAAAAAGATGCCTGCATGTGAAAAACATTTAAGTACAACTATGCAAAGAATAAAAGATCAAACCTATCCATTCTGAAGGAAATCAGCCCTGAGTGCTCACTGGAAGGACAGATCCTGAAGCTGAGGCTCCAATACTTTGGCCACTTCATGAGAAGAGAAGACTCACTGGAAAAGACCCTGATGTTGGGAAAGACTGAGGGCACAAGGAGAAGGGGATGACAGAGAACGAGATGGTTGTACAGTATTCTTGAAGCTACCAACATGAGTTTGACCAAACTGCAGGAGGCAGTGGAAGACAGAAGTGCCTGGCGTGCTCTGGTCCAGGGGGTCACGAAGAGTCGGAACGACTAAACGACAACAATGCAAAACCACTTATCATTTCTACATTTTATTGAAAAAAGTAAATGCTGCACAGAATAACACTGCCCCTCCCTGGAGGCATACAACTCAAGTTTTGTTTTCCCCAAGTTGAAAGGAGTACATGGCAAGGTTGTGCAAAATGCAGCATACTTGGCAAATATCCCCAGAGATATTCATGCTGCTTCAGAATCCAAGGTGAAACAAACAGCCTTGCTTTGGAGGGTGTGTATGGCTTATGATCAACAATTTACTTAGAGCATTTGTACCCTGCTCTTCAACCAAGGAGGTTACCAGCATGGCTTATATGCAGTCAATAAAAGCAAGGCAGTTCCTGTCTGCAGGCTTACAATCTTAAAAACACAACACAGAAGGGGAAACGGACAAGGAGGGAAGAGGAAAGAAATCAAACTCGGGTACCAATCCTTAAACAATTTTTCTTTTAATGACCAACTGGCACAGTTCAGGGGTAGAAGGTGCCTGATACTACCAATCTTTCGGCAAAGCTGATGGAATAATCCCTGCTTCTGATGGAAGCTCAACTCAACTGCTCTTAATAGAAAGTTGCAGCAAAGAGCCAAGCTACTTGGTTCTGAAACCAAGAAATTTGCTTGAAAGAGTAGGAGGCTGGTGCTCAAGCAGAGTTGGGGGGGAAAGGTGGGTGTGCAAAGGCTGTTTAAATGTTGGAAGGCAATGGGGGGGAAATCAGTGGATCAAAAAAAAATATGTATCTGTGACTTGCTGATAGTCCAGGAGATTCTTTCAATATTGTGGGAGAAACCCATCCATTTCGGTTTTTGCTGCACGCATCGAGCTTGGCTGAGGCTGGGCGGGAAGAAATATGCTACATGAATTAGCAACGCAGTGCCTAGGGAAAGCCCAAACAGGATATGATGGTGCTTTTAAAAGGCTGCTGACTGAATCTTGAAGGGCCCTGTACCTCGGTCAGAGATAGTGTAATGTTCTTCTGGAATAATGGGACTATTCCTGTAAAAGTTTGTTCAGGAACTTTAGTTATTCCCCCAGCCCAGCCCCAGCAGACTTTAAGCCTTTTGGCCCCATGGAATACAAATCAAGTAAGAGCATTTACTTCCAAATTTAAAGGCTGTTAATTTTAAAAAAGACGCTCCCTGATACATGCCTAAGTGCTACGAAGCACACACAGTGAAGTACAACTTTTTTCCTGCCTCTTAAAATAAATGGGAGGATTGACCCCTGTCAACACAACCTTGGCATGACCCTTAAGGATCAACCACTGTGTTTTTCAATGCCCAGATAATCTTTCCTCTGCCTTTCCTGCCCAGTTCTACCTGTGAGCCGTTAGGGCATGGAACCAGTTGCATCTTCCCGTCTGCAAGAGCAGAGCTCAGGTGTTCCCATACCTGGAGGAAGAAAGCAAACAAACCATGTTGGCAAGACTTTTTTGCACACTATCCACAAGGTGTAGCCTAGTTTCAGTTTCACAGATCACTCACTACACATATTGGATTTCATGCCTGCAAGCACATTTTCCCTTCAGTTCTTTTAAAAAGAGAGAATATGTAAAGAAATTAGGTCCATCTCAATTTCAGGAGTAGCTAACATGGTACTCCACACTATTGCTGGGACTGCAGTTTCCACCCTCCCTGGCCATTTGCTATGCTGGTGAGGGCTAACAGGAGCCCAGCATGTGGAGGACACCATGCTGGTGACCCCCAACACAAACTTCAATATCTAAGAAGTTGTGGCAAGTCATGGGTATTGCTTCTCCACTCCAAATTCCCAACTCTCTAAGCAGCTTTACAACAGGGTGGGGGGCAATTCTGGACAGCATGATACACTGGCCCCATACCATTAAAAATGTTAATTACTCCAGCTTAATAGAAATGTAGTTCCGTACTTCCATAAGCTGTAACACACACGAACTTTAACACTAAACAATAGGAAAAGCTCAACTGCTGCATTGTGCCATTCCTAAGCCATTCATGCTTTACAAGCTGATGGAGCGAGAGCATTAATGCTAGGAGACCATAGCTGTCCCTCTTCAGACACACAAAATGCACAGCCAAGTAAGGACTCTCAGATCCAGAACCCCTCAGTCTTCTGGAGTGTCAAGTCCCCAGAAGGCACCCAAATCATCACAGCGATCGGAGCCCAGTGCTGACATCATTGGGGTATCTCATGTTCCCGACTCACTTCTAGCACTGCACTAACTCTGTTCCAATACCCCTCTTCCAACTTGTCATTAAGTGAATGCTCACCAGCCTTGGCTGCCACTGAGGCATCTAGATTCAACTTGCGAGGCAGATATTCATCTTGGGTACATCATCAGGGTCACCTAACAATAAAAGTAACATAGTTAGGAGCTGGGAATGCACGGGACTATTCCCTATATCAATCCACCACCACCCCTACCCAAAGCTATGCTGTATACCTGGAAGAGAAGACGAGAGCAGAGAAAGATAGCATCCCAAAAGATTTTCACAAAATTCAACTAGTGCCGCCGAGGGCGAGGGGAGGCTTTCATTCTCCAGTGTTTTGCCATTGTCTCTTCTGCAGGAAGTCCCAGGTGCCACAACTGTACACACGTGTCTCAAAGTTCAACACACAGACCTAATCCCACCAGAGCCTTCCCCCCACAACCTCAAACTTCCAGGATAAACAGGGATTCTGCTCCTCAGTCCCCCATGATGTCAAAGGCATGGGGGGCACTGTCATCGTCATTGCAATCCGCGCCCAGTGCTAACATCATTGGAGGAACCCTGTGGCCACAGCACTCCCACCTACACACAGCAATGCTCTCCTGGCTTACCATGCACCCCAATCTCCAATGGAAGGAAATTTGGCTCATATAAATACAGGACTTGCCAGACCTTGCATGGAACACCCAACAAATGCACCAGCACACTAGAGGGGGAGATGGTGTTCCACTCTTTACTATCTAACTGAAATGCCCAGAAAACCTTCTACAGTAGCTCAGGATTTCCCAGGGCAACAGTATGAAATTTGGCAGGGCAACACTTACCCAGTACCACAAGTTCATCGGGTCACTGGAGGCCCAAGATGGATGCTCCATTTTAAGCAGGAGATAGACAAAAAGTATCGCTGTAGGAAGGGAAAGCTGGTTAGTAAAATATGCCACTAGAGGCACTCTTCCAGAATCCTGCCTGACAGAACACTACATTCCTCTTATACCAGTCCCTATATACACCCTTGTCTGCCAGTTTCAGTCAAAATCCCTTTTCTACCCCCCACAAATTCCCCCGTTAACTACCACGTAGCCAGGATTTTTGTTAGGGGGAGCAGAACCTCAGTTAGCCATGTCTTTTTATTGATTTGGGGGAGACAGCTGCCCCTCCCTGCCCCCCTCGGCTACGCCCATGCCAACTACACTACGGCCCTTAACTAAACCCTTTTACAAAGCTATTCTCCCTTACACTGCTGAGCCTCATCAACCCGCCTTTGACTTTACACACTCAGCACCTTTATACAAGTCTTTAGCATCCTCACCTTACCGCAACCCCTTCCCTCTTTACTTTCCAGTTTATTCCCCACACAAGCCCTACATGCCCTTTCCACTATCGGTCCCTCTCTACCTATCTGCACCCTAACGCCGCCTCTGCAACTCCACCATCCAGCTCTTATTCTAAACCTCTTCCTCTCCCCACAACAGAGAGCCTAGCAGCAGAAGCGGGAGGGGGTATGGAGAAACCAATAAGGAATAAGCAACCCAGTTATTCGGCCCGTTGCCCGCCCGCTCGCCTGCCCGCTCGCCTTTGTATCTCGCGGTACCTGCGAACTCCTGCACGCCGCCATTTGAAACAGGAAGAAGGTTGGCCGCACGTGGCCCCTTTATACTCCCGCCTCGCCCCGCCCACACCTTCGGAGTCCGAACGCGTCAACCTTTGCGCGCGGCCGCCGTCCCGCGCGTGCGCATAGCTGATGAAATGGAACGCGGGCCTCGCCCCTCCTCTCTCGTAAGGGGAGGCAGAGCAAGGTGGCGGGATGTTCTGCTGGTGGTTTTTGCGGGATTGCTTAATGGCGGGAGTTTCTGCATAGAGAAGCAACTTTGGTTGGTAGCCAAGGAGTCGAGGCTTCAAATGTCTGTTTAGCCCTGAAGCTCACCGAGCTCCCTTCGGCCAGTCAAAGTGTCTCACCTTCCTCACAGGGTTGTTGCGGCTATAAAATGGGGAGGAGATCCACTTTGAGGTTTTATTTTCTTTAATACAACCAAGCGGTCATCGGCGTGGGGCAGCTGCCCCACCCACCCCAGATCATGTAAAACAATAGAAATACTTAATAACTGATCAGTCACGTCGATTCTGCTCCCCCCCCCAAAACAAAACAATCCTGGCTACGCCCATGCAAGCGGTATATATACGTTTTAGTAAATGAAAACAGTGCACTTCACCTTGAGCTCCAAAGAATAGGTGAGATAAAAATACGAAAATAAATAAGTGCTGCTCCTGCTGCTGCTGATGATGAAAGAGCAGTGGGTAATCTCAGTAGTTTTAAACCCTGGATTTAATGGTATTAATGTGAACACCCCCACTCTTTCACATGGCCATATGCATTGCGAAGCATGCAATTTTGGGATACAGTGGTACCTCGGGTTACATACGCTTCAGGTTACAGACTCTGCTAACCCAGAAATAGTGCTTCAGGTTAAGAACTTTGTTTCAGGATGAGAACAGAAATTGTGCTCCGGTGGTGCAGCAGCAGGGGGAGGCCCCATTAGCTAAAGTGGTGCTTCAGGTTAAGAACAGTTTCAGGTTAAGTACGGACCTCCGGAACGAATTAAATACTTAACCTGAGGTACCACTGCAGTTCAATCGGTAGAGTGTGAGACTTAATCTCAGGATCCTGGGTTTGAGCCACACCTTGGACAAAAGATTCCTGCATTGCAGGGGGTTGGACTAGATGACCCTCGTGATCCCTCCCAACTCTGATTCTAAGATGTCTTTTGCCACCATTCCATGATTTGCAAGACTTTTGCATTGCTATGTTACAGCAAAATACAAAGAGTTTTAAAAAGTGATACTCTGAACATGTGCAATTTCAGTCTGTAATTTTTCTTAAAGCATAGCACTGTCCTGACTACCATAGCCACTTCTGTTGCTATTCTGAATACCAGTTCCTGGAAAGGTAGGAGGGAAGAGTGCTCTTGTGCTCAGGTCCTGCTGGTGGGCTTTCCATACGCATCTCACTGGCCACTCTGAGAACAGGATGCGGGGCTAGATGGACCACTGACCTGACCCAGCAGGCTCTCCTTAAGTTCAGATTTATTGAGCCCTGGTGACATGAGGAGCCTGTGGAAGAGGTGAGATTCAAATCAAGACTCAAGTTGAAATCTCCATCTGCAGTACCAGAATTGGGTCTTCCCTTGCCCTTTTGTCTCAGGTTTTGCTTCCTCTCCTTCCTCCTGAATGTAACATTATTTCCTGACTGCATCTTTGACGTCTTCTTAATCTTCTACAATGGAAGTGAAGATGGTTCCTGGTTTCTTTCGGTTCCATATTTGCAATTCTGGAAGATGCAGGCAAGATTATTGTAAATGGGTGGGAACTGAACATCTATGCACTCCAAAATAAGTCGTCTTGGGCACAACCCGGATCATACATCCATGCTAAGGGGAGAAGGATGTATGATTTGGATCAGCTGTATGACAAGACAAGCAACAACAGAAAGAATTTTTATTTACACCATTCAATTTGCAAATAAAAATTCTCTTTATTATCTATGGAACCACCCTGGGGCGAGATGGGAATTACAGTATTGGAAAGATGATACATAACTGTATTAGTTAAAACTACAGTAACAACAGTGATATATGGAATTTGCTGGCACAATATATGGAGATGACTATTCACTTAGTTGGCTTGACGCTGAAAACTAAGCTAGTGCAATATGAACATAGTGTCCAGATCACAAGAAGGAATCCCTCCACTGTGTGGGGAGCGGGAGGCCCTAGGCTTCAGCCAACTTAGCCTATACATAAATCCAGCACTGCCTAAGTTCCACTCAGAGTAGATGCAATGAGGTGAGTAAACTTAACTAAAAAAGGTAAAGGACTCCTGACAGTTAAGTCCAGTCGTGAACGACTCTGGGGTTACGGCACTCATCTCACTTTACTGGCCAAGGGAGCCAACGTTTGTCCGCAGGCAGTTTTTCCAGGTCATGTGGCCAGCATGACTAAGCCACTTCTGGTGAAACCAGAGCAGTGCACGGAAACGCCGTTTACCTTCCCACCGGAGCAGTACCCATTTATCTACTTGCACAGGTGTGCTTTCGAACTGCTATGTTGGCAGGAGCTGGGACTGAGCAACGGGAGCTCACCCCATCGCAGGGATTCCGATCGGCAAGCCCTAGGCTCAGTGGTTTAGACCACAGCACCACCCGCATCCCTAAAGTTAACTAAACCGTCTTAATTAGCACCACTGGGTCTACTCTGAGTAGGACTAGTGTTGACTACAACCAAGGGTTGCCATATTTCAAAAAGTGAAATATATTTTCGAGCTATTTCTGAGTACATGGACTGCCATACGTCTGGATTTTCCAGGACATTTTTTTTTTGCTAATTTTCCAGATATGTTGAGACATGTGGCAACTCTACTACAACCAAATGTTACTAGCATTTAGCACTTCTTGTAGGAATTACTGAGGTGTAATGGTGCTGGTTCCTCTTTTGTTCCAGGGAGGAATGTATGAATTTCCACATCTTTAGCAATGTGTTGGAGGAGGCTTCCCATTGCGGCTGCAAACATTTGGCAGGTGGCTTGAGAGAAACTCTCTTTCCATCTTGAATGCCAACCACAGTACCAAGTAGAACGTGCCCAGCCGCAGACTGCCAGCTCATCATAGAGCCGTGTACGGGAAAATGATACTATTTTCTATAAATCTTGGAGGATAACAACCACAACGTGACCCTCCCACCAGATATATCCAGGTTCCAGAACGTCTAGTGCCATGAGGTCTGTATGACCCCATTTTATCTTAGCTGGAAGTAAAACAAATGTGTTTTACCTGTCACAACCCTTTGACTCCCTTCTCTCTGCTATATCTGGGTCACTGGAAAACTCATGGCCCTTTTAATGTTGCCCACTTCCTGAGAATTCCTGGTATAGCATCCAAAAAAAGAAAGTTCCAGTCATTTTCTTCGTAGTCTTTGAGCAAGCCCATCCTCTGGGTGGTTCATGCCCTCAAAATCGCAGCTGAAACCAGATATGGCCCCGAAATAGACAGTTTGTTAATTCCTGCCCTCAGAGGCTGAGCCAAGAGATGGGTGTGGGAGTTGGATGGGGGCGATATTTATAGGATGCGTCTAAGAGAAGAAGCAGAACGAAGGCAAAGTGGCATCCAACTCTTCCCCAGTTTTTCTCCAGAAGGACAGAGTGGGGCTACCCCCCTCACTTCTGTTTGTTTCGTTGTAGTGACCTCCAACAGCCGGGGTGGGTTCTTGTGATAGTCACACTGTTTTATCTACAGCGGTCAGGTGACAACAATGCACAGGGAGGGCTAGACTTCTGTGAGGCTATCTTGCCAATGCACAGAATACAACAACTTATACAGCATTTGGAATCTCGGGAAGCTAAGCTTTCATTTGTACAAAAACAGTAAGTGCCTAGTCCTTATGACTGTGGAGAAAAAAAGGGTAAGTTGTTTTATATTAATGACAGCCTGTGGTAAGTTGATGAAACACCCAAAGACATTGGAACTGGCTGCTCCTGTTCCCCCGTTTTTTTATACACCTCTTGCTCTCTGCTCCTAATGTTCCAGATGTCCCCATTTTCCTCCTTCAGTTGCAGTTAGGTAATTTTAGATTCCAGACTTGGCATGGTGCTATGCCCTCCCCCTCCCCTTACTTAAGCTGGTGATGGGTATTACTTCAAAATGAGGTAAGCCAGGTCTGCTAATTGTTCTGCTAAGTGGGACTTCTACCCAAAAGCCCTGAGTGTACCCCGCCCCCCCCCCCAGAGAGAAAACATTCTGAAGTCCAACACACATATACACACACACACACTTCAGATACTACAACCGGGTTATGTTTGCAAAGAAAATATTTTTTGCTACTTTTGCTTACTGCCTTAATTTATTCCCGTTGCACCAATCAGTGATTTGGATTGTAGGCAGGGATGGGTGAACATGCCCATTTTGGTTTCTCTCTGTTTCTCATTCTTCCAATCTTAAATTCAGTTCTCTACATTTCCACAACTCTCTGTGATTCTTTTCTGGGTGAAAAGTCCTATGGAAAATTCATCAGCATGTTAGTACAAGTTTATCTTAATATACACATGCTTGTATGCAATTTTCCTCTAATATAGACACTTTTGCACAGCAGTTTCCCCTCAGATAATGTGCCTTTGCACATTATTTTCACTAATGTGTGTATTTATTTGCATGCTTTACCCAGGTATATACATTTTTGTGCAAATGACTGGAGAACTACATTGCAAAATTTGGAGAAGTGCAGATTTTGAAGGATGGTTTGCATTTTGTGAATTCAGCAAACCTAGACAAATCCCCCTGCCATTCCTAGTTGTAGAATTTGTAGGTTTTTCCCGCCTTACAGTATTTGGGGCCATAGAACTTTTGATTCATTTGCTACCTGAAAATGTAGCATGTACCGTACGGAGATCTTAACTTCTGAGATCCTTTGGCAAAGGTCTGTTGATGAGAAACATCCCCCCACAACCACCACCTTAGTAAAACATTTAGAATCTGCTGCCCATATGTATGCTATGTCGTCCTCCTGGATTAGAAAAGCCACTCTCCCCTTAGGTTTTGGAAAAGACCCAGGGGTGCAGCTGTGGCAGCTGTCGGGGCGTGGAGTTGCCAGGAATGTGCTGGGACAGCACGTAGGAAACAACTTTCTGCCTGCCCGGGACACTACTGTGCGGGGAAGACTGCTCTATGAGCTTACCTACGGCAGTACCCCCAACGCTGTGGGACTATGAGATACGTTTGAGTTAGAAGCGATGGCTTAGCAGCAAAGGGTTAACCCGAACATGTGCCTCAGAAGTTCTCCCCCTCTTCCCCTCTGAAGTTTGACATTCCCCAGCCAGGAATTTTTCCAGGCCTAAATCCATCTTCCACCAGCAACGACCCCCTTTCCAGATCTGGGTTCTTGCGGACTGGAGGCGGCGGCATGAAAGAAAAAGCAGGAGAGAAGGAGAAAGGGGGAAAGGGTGAGTTAATCAAACTGGTGTGTGCGAATGGCAAAGGAGCAGCCACTGAGGTGGGATGGATGCAAGTGAAAGAAAGAACCGAGTGCGAAATGGGCAAACAGGGAATTAACTTGATGGAGAGAAGAAAGTGGGAGAAAGGCTGAGGGGAATCTGGAAGGAGTGAATGAGCGTAAAATGATATGTGTGCTTTGTGGAGAGAACCGATGCAGGCTGCTAGATAGAGCACTGGGTTCAAATCATTCCTTGTCATCAAGGCACTAGTTCTCAGTGTCCATTTTTGTCATTGGGAAAAAGAGAAATAGTCACAAATCAGCCTCATGTCATTTTTTTGTTAGCATTAATGAGGTAAAGAAGGCAAGCTTGCTTGGACCTCAAATCTATCATGAGCACAAGCATTTGTCTGTGCAGCCATAATATACTATGGGAAAAAGAATAAATTTGGTTTTAAAAAGTACAGCAGCTGTAACTGATACTTAGGAAGATCCTCTGAGTGTTTGAAATAAAGGAATGGCAAACCTTATGCAGGATTAAAACACTGTTTGGATGAAGAGTTAATAGGCATTATACGATTGTTTATGATTTAAATCATATTTTCACGAGCTGGGAGAAGGTGGCACGCGCTAGTTTATCTGGAGCAATTGTGGACGTGTGTCTTTGCTGGATCATGCATACTTTTTTGAGACAAATCCCAGAGCGGTAGCTATGTGAGCACTGCTGCAGCTGAAACAAAAAGAGCCTCGTGGCACTTTGAAGACTGACAGATTTATTGTTGCGGCATAAGCCGCAATTAAATTGGTTAGTCTGTAAGGCACCACAAGGGTATTTTGTTTGTACTTATTTGGTGGTACATTCCCACTAAACTCGGCTGCACTTACTTCTGAGTAAGCGCATGCAGAACTGAGGCACGGGGATGATAATGAAATAAGAAAATATGTCTTTGGGCATGGGAGGATGGATAGAGCAAAAGTAAGGAAGAAGAATGGAGATTAGGTTAGATATTAGTAGGGAATAAGAGTGTTTGGAGATGGATGAATAAACAGTAAGATGAGGTGGCTGAGATGGAGAGTGTTAGCTAGAGGGAGGTGCTATGAATTAGTGAGTGTGGCAGGCACGGATGGAGAACTAGTAAGCAAGGGAATGTGAGAGAGACAGCAACAGAGGGGAGAGTGGCACAGCTAAGTCCTCCCCTGGCACACTCCCCAATTTACTCTCCTCTCCCCTCCACCATCCCACTCGCTGCCGAGCTGCCTGGACACCATCTGTTGCTTTGGGACAGAGAGAGTGGACAGGGAGAGAGGCAGGATGGGGGCCCCTCCCCAGGGTAAGTTCCCTTTATTCCCAATAGGAAGCAGGATTGCTCCGTGGGTGTTTGGGGAGGAAAAATGAAGAGGGGAGGGGACATAAAAATTAAGTTGGCGGGTGCCATGGGGTGAGCAGAACTACAAGGAAAGGCAGCGGGTGTTCTAGAGATTATTCCAAGCGGGAGAGAAATGGCGTTATGGGAATGCCATAGGTGAGGGTCCCATGAGAATTCATATACATCCCTAAGATACGTATGCAATCAGCTCCCTAGGAATTGTTCCCAGTCTGTCAAAAACAGGCCTGTTTTGCAGGAGAGAACCAACTGGGGGTTTTTTTTGGGGGGGGGACAGTAGACCTCGTTTAAAGAGTATATAAAAACTGAGTATCTGCAGCTGCAGACCCAATGGACAGCTGTAGGATTATAGCATTTATTACATTGTATTTATTGAATGTTTTATCTCCAGCCCTTTCTTCCAGGGAGCTCAGGTACATCCTCACAGCACCCCGTGAGGTAGGTTAGGCCGAGAGATAGCACAGCATAGATACTTGTGGCGGATATTGTGCAGGTGGGGTCTGGCGCTTGTGATACTATGAGCTATAGTTCTGGTAGCAGGGTGAGGCTTGTGGATTTCATTAACACACACATACACCTCAGTCCTTTTGCAAAAGTTGACATTTGGGGATATATATGAGGCCTAGATAATTTGTTGGATCCATTTGTGGAGGGAGGTCCTGGTGGGGCCAAGAGTGAGGGTGCAACGAGAGATAATCTCTGGGGTTCTCAAGGACCGTGTAAGGTACAAAAAAAAAAAAAAAAAACTAAAAAGGTGTTTGGGACTTCTTTGCACAAAATGTGTAGTTTTCAAGAAGACAGCTATAAAATGTTTGTGGTGGTTTGGAGAAACTCAAATCTGTGGGGTGTTGGTCATTGTTTAATAGCTCTATGCAGTTTGGCTTAGTAGGGGCTTGTTTGTTTGTTTGTTTGTTTACTTACTTACTATTTATTAAATCTGTATACTGCCCTTTATCCAAAGATCACAGGGCGGTTCACAACACAGAGATTATAACATTGGAGGAGGTGGATGCTTGTTTTTTGGGGGGCGGGGACAGTGGCTGTGGAGAACGTTTGAGATGTAGCAGGTGCCTGGAAGGCAGCTATTTGGAAAGCTGTTAATTTTTTTGGCAGGGGGTTTGCAAGGGGAACAACTGAACATTAGTTATGTGACTCAGGCCCATCAAAACCAATGGAACGAGTTAGCCGTGACTAACTTGAGCTGGACTGGATCAGGCACATGAAAAGCACCCTGGACCGTTCGGTCGTCCCTGTTGGGATGCCAGCTATCCCCCAATTTGATCATTCAGGCGTTCGGAACAATCTGAGGAAAAATGGGTGGGCGGACACTGATTTAGGAAACCTGGCCTGTACTGATATGGCGGCCCCTGCAGACTGCCCGCCCACCCCAACCCTCCTGTGGGGAAGGAACGAGACAGCCACAATCTGGCAGTTTTGCCCATTTTTCGGCTTTCTTTCCCATTCTTCTCTTTCTTGGATGGAAACACAAGCCAGCGAAGCCAGCGGAGGAGGGCCTGTTTCCTTACAACATACCCCAAGCCGTCCTCCTCAAGCCCGCTCCCGCCAACTCCAGCTGGGCCTTCCTCCTATCCTCCTCTATATTTTTCCTGGGCTTTCTTTCGGCATGTGGAAAAACCAGCTGGAGCCAAGATGAAATGAAATCGCAGAGCTGGATCCCAGTGCTGGGAGGGGAAGAAAAGTTTAGTGTATTAGAGGCCATGGGGAAGGGAGGACGGAAGAAGTGTATTCCGCCCCCCACTTGCCCTCCCACCAGCTCGATAAGGGGGCCTGAGGTAGGAATACGTTCAGCAAGACAAAACTCTGAAGATAAAGGATTCTTCAGAGCTGTTGTGCTTAAGATGGAGACTATCCAGTAATGTCTAGTACTTACAAATATGCCAATTCCACCCTGCACCTTGAACAGCTGCATTGCAGCATGGTAGCAGTTCAACAGATGCAGACTTTCTTGGCATGGAAATGCATTGATGGGGAAGACTGCACCTGCTGACAACACTCAATCATTTAGGGTGGTAAAAACAGAAAGGATGTCTCTAAAATGGATGAATGGGAAATTCAGTGGCATGTGCAGTTCAGTATAAGTAACTGTAAAGTGATGTGCACTGGGCTGGGGGCTGGGAATCCACCTATACACTTCTGGGATCAGAGTTGGAAGTCATGGATCAGGACAAGTTTCTTAGGGTCATAGAGAATAATTCAATGAAAAAATGTTGGGTGCTTCCAGATTGTCACTGTTTTTTTCGGCAGGAGTTGGTCCAATACTGCCAAATTCAGGTTGTATAACAACAACAACTACTTAGTTGGGGGACCTCGTGCAACAAACCTGCTTCCCAAGAACAATGGACTTTTTGCAATATGGAAAGTGATGAGAAAATTTATTGAGAATGGGGGGGGGGGGGGACAACAGTTGCTTGACACCAGCTCCCTCCAAACCAATCAGAATGAATGTTCAATAAATAGCCAAAATTAGGATGAATGTCCAGTAAACAGATAATCTGGAAACAGCTTGTACCAAGGTGCAGCAGGCAGCTGTGAAAAAGGCATCTTCCATGCTGGGAAATAATTAAAAAGGGACTGAATACTGCCTATATCGTAATGCCTCTATACAAGTCTATAGAACAGCCACACTTTAAATACTGGGTGCTTCCACAACAACCTGTTTGTTGAGAATTCACTCAGATTTGTTTGCAGGGAGGCTAGACAACGTTGTGTCGAAGCAAGCATCATCCCACCCTTTGTGTGGGGCCGGGGAAGCATGTTTCTTGCACAAGGCTTCCCACCAGTCAACTATAACTACGCAATCTGAATTTGCCAGTATGTGATTGAAATCCCACTTGAAAATTGCAGCAGTCCGTAAGTGCCCACTGCATACAGTTCTGATTGCTGCCCATTGAAAAGGATATTGAGCAATTTAGAAAGCGTCACAAAGAGGCCAGCAAAACTCCCCTGTGAGGAGGGGTGAGAACATTTGCTCTTCTTTAGCTTACAAAATAGGCAAATAAAGAGGAGCATGGTAGACGTTACTGAGTTATAAAATTGCGTATAAGTTTTTCTTTTGTAATACTATAACGCAGGATCATCCAATGGCTGAATGGTGAGAGATTCAGGAGAGACAAAATGAAGGATTTATTCACACCCAGTGCAAGGCTGGACGGAGGGATTTGTTATTACAAGATTTGGTGATGACCACCTTTGGATTTAAAGCAATTAGAGAAGCTCGTGGAGGATAAAACTATTAATGGCTACTAGACATAATGGCCATAAGAACATTAGAGCCTGTGGGATCAGGCAACTGGCCCATCTAGTCCAGCATCCTGTTCTCACAGTGGCCACCCAGATGCCTGTGGGAAAACATCAAACAGGACCCGACCACAAGAGCCCTCTCCCCTCCTCCTGTGGTTTCCAGCAACTGAGATTCAGAAGCATTACTGCCTATGACTGTGGAGGCAGAGCATGTGCCTCTGAATGAATATACAGGGGATCTCTGAATGAATGCCAGTTGCTGGAGAACAACAACAGGAGAGTGCTGCTGCGCTCCTGGCCTGCTTGTGGGAGTGAGATCTGCCTGTGGGTCCAATCCAGCAGGGCTCTTACGCCCTTATGCACAGTGCAGGGGACTGGGAAGCAGGTTCAGCTGCACTTGGACTGAGGGGGAAGGAGGCAGTCTATGATAGCCTCTCTCAACTTTTGCATACCTCTTTTTTTAAAGTCATATTGGGGGCAAAAGAGCCTTCTGGTTGAAACCAATGCTGCAGTTGCCACAGAGCAGTTCTTTAAACCACTCAGCTACAGCAGCACAGGAATCAGACACGTCAACCTCAGGATCATAGATACTAGGAGGGCTGCAAGAGGAGCTTTAGCTGGGTGGAGCAACTCACACTTTACAAGCACTGGGTCCCCAGTTTGAACCCAAGGTACAACTGAACAAGTCAAGAAGAGCATAGCACAGACCTATTGCTCGGTGCTTGAATGGGCCTACCAGCTCTTTTGGCCCACCCCTTCTCCCAACAACTCATGTGAACAAACCACCCGCCAACCCACCCTGCTACTGTTAGCCCAACCCTGCTGGGGAGCATCTGAGTTGGACTCCTCATCCTTCCCTCATCACTGGGCCTCCCTTGCTGTTGACTGATGGCCTCATACACCCATCCCACTTGGGCACCCTGAGAGGCCTGCCCCACCGTGGCCAAGGAGCCCAAGTGAGCCAAGAGTGGAGGGCCAGAAGTCCAGCAAGTTCCCTGTTCAGCTCCTTAGAGCCCCACAGAGAGGTCAGCTGATGTCCCATGTGACAGGTACCTGCTTGGTTTCTAGGCAGGGCGATGCTTGCCATGGGCTTAAGTTCCCATGTGTGTTTTAGAGATGGGCTGTTTCAGCAAAGTACTCGTTTTCTTCTTCTTCAAAGCAGCTAAAGGCGGCAGTGGAGAGCACAAAAAAATTAGCAGAACATTGCTCCAGATCTGCCCTCTGGTATTGTGTGACACACCTAGTTGTGTCTAGTGTCAAAAATTGAGATGGCGCCTTGGGTCAGAGAGCAGGTTTCAGTACTCCCATCTGTCTCCTAGAAAATATCAGCAGCTCCTAAGTTTTGCCAGGTCTTGCACCCCTGATTAGTATTTGTGATAAGCCTCCATATTAAAAGCCAATGTTTGTGATTGGAGGGCAGGCAAGATCACTTTCAAACTTTTTGGGGGAGGGTGCAGTTCTCTAAACATAGCACCTCATGGATTTGCTCCTCTGAGGCCGCCTCTCCCTTACAAATCTATGCCTCAAACAATGTGGCGCCCGGGCTGCCTTCCTCTGCAATCTGCCATTTATTCTCCTGCCTGCGGTCCCAGCTAACTGCAAACACATGTCCGTCCGTTCCCCCCTCAACCATCTGCAGCCTCTCCATCCTACACCCCCCTCCTTTGAAATTGCTTTTCCATTCGCAGTTAAAGACAAAAGTGCCGTCAGCGAATCAGTCCTTCCCCCCTTCTTCTTCAAGGGATGCATTCCAAAATCCCTTGGCAGGCTATTTGGGAACTGTGTGTGTGTGTGTGTGTGTGTGTGTGTGTGTGTGTGTGTGTAGAGGGAGGGACACACAACAGGCAGCCAAGCAAAGCCACACACACAAAACCCAACAGTGTCCTTTGGGAACAATAGGGAAATTGGAATTGTAGCAGCAAGGTTAGCTGCTACTCCTCAGCTAGCATTTTGCCTCTCATTTTACAGAGAGAAAATGAAGGCCCTTGGTTTTCCCTTTAAATTGTCCAAAAGGGTGCAGTTAGGAGCTTTTTGTGCTGAGCTCCCCTCACACTCAATCCGTAGATCTGCTGCCCCTTCCCACTTTGTTGCTTACCGGGCAGCTGTGCATGCAGCAAAGCACAAGGCCACTGGCCACCCACCAGCAAATCTGCCCTTCTACATTAGCATGTGCAAATGTGATGCAAATTTGAATCAGGCGCCTGTGCACACTGCCACCGTGTTCAAACAGATCAAGAGAGCCCAAAGGAGCTTTCTGTGCAAACAGCTTCCTCCCCTCTACCAATAAGTCAAGAAGGTCTGTTTCCTCTCCCCCACCCCCGCCCCGGAATAGATGGCACTTAAAAGACTTGGCACAGGCAAATTACACAAATCTGCATCAGATTTGAACATGCTCTATATGTATAAGTGTATATTTATGTATGTATAAGTGCAGATTCGCCTATTAAGGCTGCATACACAGTAACCCATCTGAAGCAAGAAAACATCTTTAAAAAAACAACAAACCATCTTGAATCATGCATGCTCATCCTCAACATGCTGCTTTCAGTCTAGATTGATTCTAGAACTTGTTGTCTACAAGGGTGAGTCTGCTTGCTTGACCCACATTTGAAATTCCTTTTCTTGATTAGGTTACCCATGCCTTTTCCTCCCTGCACATGCCTCAGGCGAATGGTGAAGGATGTGGTGGATGCAATCTCTGTATAATTCCACCCACAACATCATTGGGTCTCATTGCCAGGACCACTTACATCTGTTTTCATATGGACACACTGCAGGGCAATGCAGAATCAAGCTGCAGTGAGCATTTGTTTTCAGAATGAAGCCGGTTCCTCAAAAAGTGCTACTTTTCAGGACCAAAACAAAAACCCCCACAATAGATCTTGACTGTGCATTTACTGTGCAGAAAAAAACAAGTACTTGTTTCCCACTGATTCTAGAAAAAAATATTGTGATTCTTGAATAACATATTGTGTGCACACAACCGAAAGATGGAGGTCAGCCGACAGTCCTGTGCTTTGCTGTAGGCTCATCTGCCCTGTGAGCAACAAAGTGGGAAGAGGGCAGTGTGCTGGCCATGACTTAAGTTCACTGCATTGTTAATTTCCTATTTGATACATGCTAATTCAGCAACTCAATACTGCTCAGAAAGGCAGAAACCGGAGATGCTCTGCTATGCCTATACACAAATACTGGGATTAGGATGCTAATATATTTAACGGGCAAATTCTTGCGGAGGGATGATGCTGAAAAGGGGTTACAGAAGACTGAGGAGTTGTTTTTTGTTGTGGCCATGTATGTGATTTTCATTGCTTGGATTAGAACTAGTTTGGTTTTGGAAGAAACCAAATCAGCCGTTCTTATTTAAGGCAAGGCTGTAGTCACCCTTCCCCGCTAGGTGGGGCTGCCACATTTCTTGGAAGGGGCCTCAAAGTCATGAATGGAAAATCAATCAGTAATTCCTTCCTAAGCAACGTGAACTTCTACAATCCCCGTGCCAAGCTGTAGAGTTTGCCTGCTTCTTAACATCGTCAAATTCTTAGCATCAGCTAAGCTGCAAAAAAGAAGGGGGAGGGTAATGTTTACGTCCCAAAGCCTTTATGATGAACGCTGTGCTTTCCTTAATAGTAATTTCCTTAAGGGATCCCATATCCCCTGCCACGAGCACAGTCATAATAGCTAAAGGGAATCTCCACCCCCCAATGGCAAAAGCTTGGAAATGATGGTTGTGATCTTCTGGAATAACACATCCTGAGTCAGGACAGGGAATCATAGGTGGGCAGGTCATGTGGGTGGAATTTGGACTATTACCACTGGCAGGGTGGAGGTGGTGGCACCATCTGCTGCTGATTTAAATGTGTTTTTAACACATCACATGAAGCTGCCTTATACTGAGTCAGGCCACTGGCTGCCCAGGATCACAGATAGTGGCCTTTTCCTGCCACCTGTTCTTTTTACCTGGAGATTGAACCTGGGACCTGCTGCACGCGGCGCTTATGCTATGCTCTTCTATTACAGGTACTAATACTGCACAGCTTGAAGCAATAGGGTGAATAAAAACTGACTTCTCTTGGAATAAAAATTGTCCAGACCCATAAATATGATTCACAGAACCCTCTTCAAGTGAGGTACTACACCCCACTGGCCACAGCCTGGCTACAAGTCCTAAGGTGTATCATTGACCGAGGTAAAGAGTGGGGAACCTGTGGCCCCTGCAGATGTTTCTGGGACTGCAACTCCCACCATCCCTGATCATTGTCCATGTTGGCTGGAGTTGATGGAAGTTGGGATTCCAAAAACATTGTGGGGGCACAGGTTAACCACACCTGCCCTTGGCAAAAATGGGTGTAGCTGTCCTCCTCAGGGAAAGGATTATGTTCCATTCGCAATAGTTTTCCTTATTGCTGGTACTTCCACCTTGTTTTATACCTGAATGAAGTGAAGGAAGCAGGGTGCAGTTTAGAAATTCCCAAGTAAATGTGCCTAGCCTCAGGGCAGCAGGTTCAAACTCCATTTTATTCCTGTAGTTATGATGCTGCTGTGATTTAAAATGTGAAACTGCACATGCACAGAGTAAAAAAAACCAAGGTGGGCAAACTGCTCCTCAGTAATACATAAGCAGTCATAAAGCATGGGATGGTGGTGTTAATTGAGTGCTTTGCAAATGAAGTAACGCAGATGGCTGTCTAAAGCAGGGTATTAAGTCCAGGGTCTAATATTTCCCAGCTGCCTCAGTGCCTCAATCCTCAGAATCACCAGTGGAAAGGATCATATTTCAGTCAGTGGGATCCATAGTCTAAGGATCTCCCCCAACTATGGTTGCATATGCACCATACTTTTAAAGCCAACCCACCCCAAGAATTCTGGGAAGTGTCGTTTACCCCTCACAGTGCTACAGTTCTCAGCACCCTTAACCAATTACAGTTCCCAGGATTCTTGGGGGAATGCGCTTTAAATGTATGGTATGTACAGTATGTACACAGCCTATGTCATAGTTGCAGCCTGTTCCATAAAATTCCCTGACAGATACTGAGAACTGAGCATGTCCCACCCTGATTGCTGTTCTTGGTCACGCTCAAATGTGACAAAGAGACAGAAGCCAGGAAGTGGGGTTTCATCCATATGATGTTATTTATTTGATGCTTTTGGCTGTACACCTTGACCTATGACTCCTTTTTCCTCTACAGGTGACACCATGTCTGTGATATACAGTGAGGTGGCTGCTGATGAGCCTACAACTAGCAGCTTCTGGATGGTGAGTGGATGAAAACAGGGGGTAGGGTCACATAGTTGGGAGAGGAAGGAGATTTCATGGGCATAATGGAGGCAGATTTCTCAAAGAGGTTCATTTGGACTAAGTCAACAGAGTCAAGATTGTATGGGTGTTCATTCATTGGTTTCATTTATACTTGCCTGGCCCAAGGATTTTCTGTTACCCGAAACCAGCTCTACCTTAGACTGGGTGGGCCACTGTCTCTCTATTCCTAGTCTAGTGGTCTAGAGCAGAATTAAGGCTCACTTTTTTTTTTAGGACAAGAGATAAGGTTTGGTTAGCTAAATTAGGAAAGTAAGAAGCTGCCTTATACAGTGCCAAGCCTTTGGTCCATCTGGGGATTATTGGGTTGTCTTTGTTTTTATGTTAGTATCTATTTTTTGTTTTTTATATTGTAATTTTATGTTGCGAACTGCCCTGAGATCTACAGTTATAGGGCAGTATACAAATTTAATAAACAACAACAATTCAGTATTGTCTACACTGATACATTGACTGGCAGCAGTTCTTTAGGAGTTCAAGCAAGAGCTTTTCCCAGACCTAACCGCTGCTGGGATTGAACATGGGATTTTTGGCATGGAAAGTGTCACTGAATCATGGCCCTTCCCCAAGTCCTTAGGTACAGAAGTCCTTGTGACTCTGATAAATGTGTAGGTTTGAGGATGCACCATACCCAATTCATGCTGTGATTGCTCCCTCCCTATCAGTCTCTCTCCCTTCTGCTCTCCTGCAGCCCAATCACTATCACAGCACAGTAAAGCGCTTGGATGATGGCTATCGCGTCTGCGACCAGATTGTGGCCTGTTTCCAGGATCGGGCAAAGATTGAGCGCAGCTATGCCTTGCAGATGGAGGAGTGGACTCGCAAGTGGCGCCCCCTTGTGGATGCAAGTGAGTTGTTAGGCATTACACATTATTTAAGAGGAGAACCGTGTTGCAAAATTTAAAGCAGTGCAACTTTCAAAGGACAGCTGTGTTTTTCTTTGTGTATTGTTTTGGGCAACAAGAATTAATGCAAACCATACCAAATTTCTAGTTGAGGTTCCTGCACCAGATGACCTTCAGAATCCCTTCCAATTCTACAATTCTATGGTTCTACTTGCACTCCCAAAAGAAACAGGACAGTTGCATGATTTTTAGATGCTCAGGATTGATAGGGATCTGCTGGTTTTGTGGGCTGGCTATCCTCAGGGGCAAACTATGAAATCTGGGCATCATCTCTCCCTCCCTGCAGGTCCAGTGTACGGCTCCTTGCTCCGGGCCTGGCAAGCCTTCCTGGGGGCTTCGGAGCGGCTGAGCCGCTTGCACATGGATATGCAAAGGGCTCTGGTCTCTGAGGATGCCGGGCGCATCCGGGGTTGGCAACACGACTCCTATCACCGCAAGCTTTTTGGGGGCTTCAAGGAGGCCTGTGAGCTGGAAAGCGGCTTCCAGCGGGCACAGAAACCCTGGACCAAGAAGCTCAAGAAGGTAGGGGAGACTTGGCCCCCTGGATCTCATGGACTGGTTGGGCGCAGAGGAATGGTGGGAGGAACCAGTTGGGGAACCACCAAGAGAAGAAGGCTCAGAGCCCAGGGAGTGGTGGTGAGATGATGATGAGTGGTCTGAGGGGGAAGAGGAGGTGTTGGAAGCTGAAGAGGAACAGGACTTAGTGAGCTGGGAGAGTCTGTGGCAGAGAGAAGCCCAAAATTAGAGGCGGAAGCTGAAGTTGGCGAGTAGGAGGAGGGTGACCAAAAGGCAGAGATGAGTGAAGGCTGGTGAAGAAGCCAAGGTGTCTCCCCCTCCTGCTGTGACCAGCTCCCTTCCCCACTTGTCTCCCAGAACCAGAAGAGGCATGAAGGGGGTGGAAGAGAAATTGGCCGCATGCAGATGCAGTCTCTGATTGCGTTGTGCTGGGGAGGAGGAGACATAGACAGCTTTTGTCTCGACAACTGATTTCATGGAGTAAGACCTACAAGGGAATGAGCTGCTTTGCTCATTAGGCCTGATGCTCAGCCAAGTCTGTGAAGAGAGTATTTTGATAATAAAGAGTTCACTCTAACTTTAACTGTGTTATTTACTTGCTGGCTCACTCTGTGACACGGAAAAAGAGGAGAAAAAGAGGACCCTAATGGGGTGAAGGAGTTAAGGGAAAGGAGCTGGGGCTTCTGGGTTCCCCAAAAGGAGAAGAGGCCCCAAAGGGTTAAGGCTGGCCCGGGAGTACCAAATATAGAAGATGAGAGGTTAGCACCACCTGCTTACATGGAGAGTTTGGGGCATATTTGGGTCATATCCCCTACCAAGGGTGCCCAGCCCATATTTTGAGAACCTAGGGTATAGGGGGATTGGGAACCAAGGCAATTGGGTTTTCTATGGAAGGAATGGTGTGCCCTGGCCTTCCCCACCCAGTGCTTTCCACAAGTTGTTGGACTACAACTCCCATCATGCCTGACTATATATAGGCCATGCTGGTTAGGACTGATGAGAGTTGTAGTCCAACAACATGTGGAAAGAGCACCAGCTTGGGGAATGCTGATATATCTCGACACACTTTGACAGTCCACTCACTATTATTTTTCTCTCCTCTCTCCTGCCTACCCTTGACTGGCCCATCCAGGTCGAGAAGACCAAGTCTTTATACCACAAGGCCTGTCGCAAAGAACACATTGCAGCCCTACGGGAGAACGCAGTCAAAGCCGCACCGGGTTCTGAGGTGCCCCAAGAACGACAGCGGGCCTTGAGGGAGGAACACCAGCGTTGCAGCCAAGAGGCCAACAAGGTGGGAATCTTCCCCACTTTCTTTATGGGCCCAAAGGCTAATAAATATGGGTCAGTGGAACTGCCAGGCACACTGGACACACTTGCTGCTACGTTGCCTGGGGCTTGGTTATAAGCAGAGTCGTGAGTCTTTCTGACGTTTGGAGTGTTTGTGGGCATCAGTCACAAAATGGCTGCCGTGGCATAGCACAAAATGGTGGCCATATCTAAAAGAACAGAAAGAGAGACGGGACCACAAAATGATACAGACCTGCCTTCTCTTTGCCCCCTCCTCTATTCAGAACAGAAAGGATGGTGAGTGTCCAGTCCTGACATCTAATGAAATGGGGGCATCTTTATGTGTTCAACGTAGGATTGGTCAGTGCAAACAGGAACTGAGCAGGAAGAGCAAAGGTTCTGTCATGCATTGTGAATTTTTGAGGGGCTATTTACTGAGACCTGTTTGTGGGTGCCATAAGAGGTCTGACTGGCACACTGGCACCCATGGTTGCTGCATCCCCCCCCCCCCGTTGTATCTACCTGTTAGTCCTAGCAGCTTCTGTTTCCCTGGGTCTATCCATCTTATTATCTCATAGAATTGCCATTTGACCAGAAAAAATAATAATCAGCCTACCCTGTTCTTCTGCCTTTGATAGAAGAAACTCTGCATAAACCATTAGGTGAAAGTTTTTCAGTGTACGGAGATGATCATGATCGCATGCTAATATCTGTAGAACAAGCTGCTGTAAGACACACAGAAGCTGGTAAAAAAGGGAAGAAGTTGGCAACCTTATTTCCTTATGATACTACTGTGCACTTGCATTTTTCAAAAAGAAAAAAGGAAAGCACATAGAAGCCAGTGTGTCAACACCCACAGGAATGTGATGCTTTGTGTTGTGTTTTTCTTAGATGATGCTTTTTATTGACATGAGTAGTGCCTTTGAAAAATGTGTCACCTAGCACGGGACTGCCATCAGCCACAGAGGGATTATTTGGGAAGGGATGCTAAGAGCCAGTCCACTAGGCTATAACAGAGGGAGAGATGGGGCTGCCAGGCCCCTCCATTAGCTCTGATGAAAGTCCACCACCTCTTTGCCTCACTGTTTTCCTTGAGCATGGTGCTTATCTATGTCTGTATACTACTAACCACAAAAGCTATGCTCTACTTTCACTGTTGGAGCCAGTGTGGGACTCTGATTGCTGGTATGCCCAAGTGGGGAGTGTGTTACACCCAGCATCCTATACTGGCTTCTCTGAGAAGCAGATGTTGCGTTAGATGGGCATTTGTCTTTGAAGGACAGGCCTTTAGCCTGTATTTTCTGCCTCCATGCTTCTTGGAAGCGGGGGGAGGGGGGAGGCAGCTCATATCCCAGAGAGAGAGGGGGAGGGACTGTTAGGCACATGCCTCTTTTTGACCCTTGACCCCTTACAACAGGTGCGCGAGCGCTATGAGAAGGCCCTGCAAGAGCTCGATCGCTGCAGCCCACGCTACATGGAGGAAATGGAGTCCGTTTTTGAGCAGGGGCAGGCGCAGGAGCAGAGACGCATCGCCTTCCTCAAGGGGGCCTTCCTCGCCCTCCATCGACGCCTCGATGTCACTGCTGACCCCAGGTGTGGGAGAGGGCAGAGGCACCAGGTTGCCCCCAAGGTTGAGGCCCAGCGTGCAGCACATGTGTGACAATGGAGGCTGAGCACTCGGGAGGAGCCAACTTCCGGACCTGCGATGCGTGATGTGCATTGCACGAAGGGCTGCCTCAAGATCAGGGCCCTCTGGCCCCTTTAAAACAAATATTGAGGGGGCCGAGGTGCCTTCAGCCCCCTAGAGTTGGCACGCCTGGGGGAGGGTTAACTGAGGCCTAAGTGACACTTTTCAAAGCAGCACACAGAACGGTCACCTGAGAGTCATCATAGAATCATAGAATCATAGAGTTGGAAGAGACCAGAAGGGCCATCGAGTCCAACCCCCTGCCAAGCAGGAAACACCATCAGAGCACTCCTGACATATGGTTGTCAAGCCTCTGCTTAAAGACCTCTAAAGAAGGAGACTCCACCACACTCCTTGGCAGCAAATTCCACTGTCGAACAGCTCTTACTGTCAGGAAGTTCTTCCTAATGTTTAGGTGGAATCTTCTTTATTGTAGTTTGGATCCATTGCTCTGTGTCCACTTCTCTGGAGCAGCAGAAAACAACCTTTCTCCCTCCTCTATGTGACATCCTTTTATATATTTGAACATGGCTATCATATCACCCCTTAACCTCCTCTTCTCCAGGCTAAACATGCCCAGCTCCCTTAGCCGTTCCTCATAAGGCATCATTTCCAGGCCTTTGACCATTTTGGTTGCCCTCCTCTGGACACGTTCCAGTTTGTCAGTGTCCTTCTTGAACTGTGGTGCCCAGAACTGGACACAGTACTCCAGGTGAGGTCTGACCAGAGCAGAATACAGTGGCACTATTACTTCCCTTGATCTAGATGCTATACTCCTATTGATGCAGCCCAGAATTGCATTGGCTTTTTAGCTGCCGCGTCACACTGTTGGCTCATGTCAAGTTTGTGGTCAACCAAGACTCCTAGATCCTTTTCACATGTACTGCTCTCAAGCCAGGTGTCACCCATCTTGTATTTTGCCTCTCATTTTTTTTGCCCAAGTGCAATACTTTACATTTCTCCGTGTTAAAATTCATCTTGTTTGTTTTTGCCCAGTTCTCTAATCTGTTAAGGTCGTTTTGAAGTGTGATCCTGTCCTCTGGGGTGTTAGCCACCCCTCCCAGTTTGGTGTCATCTGCAAATTTGATCAGGATGCCCTTGAGTCCATCATCCAAGTCGTTGATAAAGATGTTGAATAAGACCGGGCCCAAGACCGAACCCCTGTGGCACCCCACTAGTCACTCTTCTCCAGGATGAAGAGGAACCATTGATGAGCACCCTTTGAGTTCGGTCAGTCAGCCAGTTACAAATCCACTGAGTGGTAGCATAGTCAAGACCGCATTTTACCAGCTTCTTTACAAGAATATCATGGGGCACCTTGTCAAATGCCTTGCTGAAATCAAGGTAGGCTACATCCACTGCGTTCCCTTCATCTACCAGGCTTGTAATTCTGTCAAAAACGAGATCAGGTTAGTCTGACATGACTTATTTTTCAGAAATCCATGCTGACTATTGGTGATCACAGCATTCCTTTCTAGGTGCTCACAGACTGTTTGCTTAATGATCTGCTCCAGAATCTTCCCTGGTATTGATGTCAGACTGACTGGGTGGTAATTATTTGGGTCTTCTCTTTTCCCCTTTTTGAAAATAGGGACAACATTTGCCCTCCTCCAGTCTGCCGGGACTTCGCCTGTTCTCCAGGAATTCTCAAAGATGACTGCCAGTGGTTCTGAGATCACATCTGCCAGTTCTTTTAATACTCTTGGATGCAGTTCATCTGGCCCTGGAGACTTGAATACATCTAAACTAGCCAAGTATTCTTGTACTATCTCCTTAGTTATTCTGGGCTGTGTTTCCTTTGCTGAATCATTTGCTCCAAATTCTTCAGGTCGGGCATTGTTTTCTTTATCGGAGAAGACTGAGGCAAAGAAGGCATTGAGGAGTTCAGCCCTTTCTGTGTCCCCTGTTTGCATTTCACCATCTTCTCCTCTGAGTGACCCCACTGTTTCTTTGTTCTTCCTTTTGCTACGAACATACCCATAAAAGCCCTTTTTGTTGCTTTTAACCTCTCTAGCAAGCCTGAGTTCATTCTGTGCTTTAGCTTTTCTGACTTTGTGTCTACACGTGCTGGCTATTTGTTTGAATTCCTCTTTGGTGGTTTCCCCCTTTTCCATTTTTGTACACATCCTTTTTAATCTTAACTCAGTTAAAAGTTCTTTAGATAGCCACCCTGGCTTCTTTAGGCACCTTCCATGTTTCCGTCTCATTGGTATTGCCTGACGTTGTGCTTTTAGTATCTCCCTCTTAACAAACTCCCAGCCATCATGAACTCCCTTTCCTTTTAGTATTACTGTCCATGGGATCTCACCCAGCACTTCCCTAAGTTTTATGAAGTCGGCTTTCTTAAAGTCAAGAAATTGAGTCCTAGTATGCTTGGCTGCTCCTTTCCGCTGTTTAGTAAACTTCAGAAGAGCATGATCACTTGCGCCTAATGATCCTTCCACTTCTACCCCACTAACCAGGTCATCAACATTGGTTAGGACCAGATCTAAAATGGCTGTTCCTCTTGTTGCTTCTCCCACTTTCTGGACAATGAAGTTGTCTGCAAGGCCAGTGAGGAATCTGTTTGACCTTATGCTCTTGGCTGAGTTTGACATCCAACAAATATCCGGGTAATTGAAGTCCCCCATTACTACTATCTCCCTTCCTTTTGCATGCTTGGCCATCTGTTCCAGGAAGGCATCATCTATGTCCTCCGTTTGGCTTGGGGATCTATAGTAAACTCCCACAATGAGGTCACTGTTATTCTTCTCTCCCTTAATTTTGACCCAAATGCTCTCACTTTGGCTTTGAGGTTCTAAATCTTGGATCTCTTCACAGGTATACACATCCCTGACATATAACACCACTCCTCCTCCTTTCTTGTCTGGTCTGTTTCTCTGAAATAGATTGTATCCCCCCATTATTACATTCCAATCGTGGGACTTATCCCACCAGGTTTCAGTGATGCCTATTATGTCATATTTAGTTTGCTGTACCAAGAGCTCAAGCTCATCTTGTTTATTTCCCATGCTTTGCGCATTAGTGTACAGACATTGAAGTCCATTAATCATTCCCCGTGTCTCTTATTTAAGGATTTTTTCCTCCCACCACTAGGTCTGCGTGCTGTTTGCTCCATTTGGTCTATGACATTTGGATGATCATCTTCATCAATTGATAGACTCCTACCTTCAGGAGCACTGTCTCCCTCCCCCACATTAGTCAGTTTAAAGCCCTCCTGATGAGGTTTCTGAGATTTTGGGCAAAAACATTTCTCCCAACCGTTGTGAGGTGCAGCCCATCGCTTGCCAGAAGTCCATCTTCAAGAAACTGCAGTCCGTGATCTAAGAATCCAAACCGTTCCTGTTTACACCATTTGCGAAGCCAGCTGTTCACTTCCACTATTTTTCCCTCTCTCCCTGGGCCACGTCGTTCAGCTGGGAGGACAGATGAGATGACAGTCATTTCTGATGGGATCCATTGAAACAAGATTCTGGGCTTAGTGGACCCGTGGCCTTATGCAGCATAGCTTTTAAAATGTTCATGCTCCTAATATCACCAGAAGCAGCTTTTCCTGGTTGGGGAGGGGGCAGAGATTGCAGAGGCACCTTTGACCATTAGAGGGAGTCTCAGAGCTTCCTGTGTGTGCTTGAGTGGTATCCAGAGGTATATTTCCAATTCAGAGAGCTCATTTCCAAGGAAATCTTGCATTTCAGATGAGATCTTATGGTGGTTTGTGTTCCCCAAATCAGAAGACTTCTCCCAGTGTCACGCATCACGCTAAGTGGAAAGGCAGAGTGAAGAAAGCATTGTAGATTGGATGGTGTGTGTGTGTGTTTTGGGGGGAGAGTTGTATGCCACCTGACATCCCTTCGTGATGATTTCCCTCCTTTCCTTTAGCATCCAAGCTGTTTATACTGATTTGCATCAAGCCATCGAGGACATAAATGACCAGGATGACCTGAAATGGTGGCGTAATCGACACGGACCGGGGATGCCTATGAACTGGCCACAGTTCGAGGTAGGGACCTCTCCCTTCCTTAATGGTGAGATAAGGGCGCTCTGCATATTCTCAGAAGCCCTTCCATCTCTAGGCAGCATTTAGGCACAGGGAGAAACTGCCCCAGATTATATCTGATGCAAGTTCAAGCCCATAACAGTCTCTAGAAAAACTTGTTCTGCTTCTTGCCTGATTCTAAATTTAGCCTTCTTCAGTTCTCTGGGTGCTCCTTTCCGCACAGAACAAAAAGCTCTTTTTTGTCCTCAGGCCCCTTGGGCTGACAGTTTACTTGTGAGCAGTTAGAATGCCTTTGAACATTCAACATGACATTACAACAATTCAGCCAGTGGCCAGGGAGGCATCTCAGACTTATTAGCAGCAACCACCAACCTGTATTTCGCTTCAGGTTTTGTCCCTCTTTTGACAGATGAACAAAACTCTTTGAGTTGAGAGGGGAAGGTGGGCTATGTGATTGTTTATATTTAACATCCCATTCTTACTTCTTATGAATACAGGGTCTGTACCATAAAGCAATGTCCACACTGGGATTAGGGGCGAAGTGGGAAACTGAGGAAAAATTAAAAACAGGACTTAGATTTAAGGCTCAGATTGTAAGTCCTTACCTCAGAATCTAGCTTTAAAAAGAAAATATGAGCTCTATGATTCACCTCTGTTTCAAGGTTAACTATGAGCTTTTTTTATAACGCACATCATATGACTTCCTGAGCTTTAGTTTCACATGGTGAGCAATGCAAACACTGCCTTTGGTCCGGCAAAATGTCCCCCCCCCCATCTTTCTGCAGGTTTTTGTACAGCTTAGCTAATGGTTCCTACCACTTGAGTTCAGCTCTCAGCAAATGAAGCTTCCTAACGCTTTTCTCTTCCCTCTCCTCATCCCCTGCCATTCAGGCGTGGAGCCCTGACCAGGAGCGGCCACAGGTGAAAGTCCAGAAAGTCCAAAAAGCCAAAGAACCAGAGAAAGCCACACTCCGCAGCATCACCCCCTCCCAGAGCAGGTGAGTCATCCCCGCTCCCCATCACAAGAAGTAAGGGAGGAAGCAGCTGGAAACTGAGGCTGAGTATACACCGTACATTCAAAGCACATTCCCCTGCCGCAAAGCATCCTGGGATCTATAGTTCATCAAGAGTAGTAGGAATTGGAGCTCTGTGAGGGGTAAGCAGCAGTTCCCAGGATTCTTTGCAGTGGTGGGAATGTGCCCAAAATGTGCTTTAAATATATGGTGTGTGTCCACCCATGCAATTCACCCTATTCACAGGCAGTGAATTTGGGGGGCACTTTGTATGTGTGCTTTAGTACCCCTCGTTTAATACAACTTTACTAAAGGATGGCTTTATGGACTGTCTGGATAGCCCCTCTAGAAACAACCAGACACAGCAGCTCCACCTTAATGTTGTTTGGCTCCAACTCCCATCAGCCGCAGCTAGCACAGCCAACAGTCAGGGATGGTGGGAACTCTAGTCCAGCAAAATCTGAGAGGCCGCCTGGTCTCCATCCACGACTTGGTGAGTCATAGGGAGGGATATTAATCCATAAAGAGGGATATTATGCACAGTGGTGTAACACTGTAATGGGCACTGGAAACAAGTCCTGGGACTGAATGAGTCCTAGTACAGATTTAGTCTTTCTTTGGCTGCGTATGTGCACATTACCAGCTTAAAATGCAGCTAGGCTGTTCTTTTTCTCCATTCCGATCAAAGTTGGTTTGGAGGGAAAGACCTCAAAGCACAGCATTTCATTAGAAATGGCAGCACAAATATGGGTTGTGGCTAATGTCATCATGTGTACACTACTTTCCAAACCGCTGGATGCAGAATAAACAGGAGTGTGCACACTGCCTCAAAGTTAGTGGCTGTGGACAAAGGGTTTCTTGGAAGACCAGGATTCCTTTGGCTGCAGGGCACACTTGTCTGCCTGGCCCTGAAACATGCTTGGATGACTGGTCCTTTAGAGCATCTCATAATCTGTCCATGCAGAAGGCATTTTTATTTATTTTTTGAGTGCACAAAGCTTAAATTGATCTGATACGAGAATGTAAACTGAGGTCAGATGGAAGGCATTTGCTTTTTTAAAACAACAACAACAACAACAACAACACAGCTCTCTTCCATGTGCTGTTCCATGTTAACATCACTCTCCTGTTGGCACAAATAACCAGAAGACCAAAGCAGAAGAGGGCTGCCAGAATGATCACATTCCTTCCACGAGGAAAGCTTACAGCATCCGGGGCTCTTTAGTTCAGACAAAAAGAGAGCAAGTGAGGGAAACATGACAGAGATGTATAAAATGATTCAAGGTGTGGAGAAAGTAGACAGAGGGGGAAAATTCTTTTCCTCACAATTCTAGCACCAGGAATCATCCAATGAAGTTGAGCGTTGGAGATTCAGGGCAAACAAGAGGAAGCACTCCTTCTGCACACAACGCAGAGTTAAAACGATGGAGTTCACTTCCACAAAATGCAGTGATGGCCAGCAACCCGGCTGGCTTTAAAAGGGATTAAGACCAATTCATGGAAGATGTGGCTGTCAAGGGCTACTAGCCATGATGGCTGCATCCTGCCTCTGAATACCAGTCGCTAAGGTGCCCAAGTGCTGTTGTGCTCAGGACCTGCTTGTGGGTTTCCCCAAGACGTTTAGCGCTTTCCTTTTATTTCATTACTCTGATCTAAATAGTGCCACCCCCCAAAAAAAACTGTTGTTAGGCCCTCTGGAGAAAAATACAGGCAGGGCTTTTTTGCTCTTTAGGGACTAATGGCGTTAAGGGGGTGAAAATGGCATTGAGTGAAACTCCTGCCCAGCACCACCATCCCAATCAAAATTGGAGCTTCTGGAAGTAAAAATGAAAACATCCAGGAGAGAATTTGATCATGATCTCTTGTGTCACGTGCTGTTTGGTCCAGAGAGAGACTCAAAAGTGTTCTCTTTAAAGCAGGGGTAGGCAACCTAAGGCCCGTGGGCTGGATGCCGCCCAATCGCCTTCTAAATCCGCCCCGCAGACGGTCCGGGAATCAGTGTATTTTTTACATGAGTAGAATGTGTGCTTTTATTTAAAATTCCTCTTTGGATTATTTGTGGGGCATGGGAATTCGTTCATTTTTTTTTTTTTTCCAAAATATAGTCTGGCCCACCACATGGTCTGAGGGATGGTGGACCAGCCCACGGCTGAAAAAGGTTGCTGACCCCTGCTTTAAAGCATTGTGTATAGAAGCTACCAGCAACTGTTATATTAGCTTGCCATATCCTGGACCATCACTAGAGTGAGAAGTGATGCTTGGCGTTGATAATGTATTATAAAATTGTAGCATTGATTTTAGGGATGGAGGATAAATTATTATTATTACTATTATACTGTCTGACGTTTTACTGTGGCTTTATAATTTGTTGGAAGCCGCTCAGGGTGGCTGGGGCAACCCAGTCAGACGGGCAGCATATAAATAAATTATCATCACCATTATTATTATTATTATTATTATTTGCATTTTAAAGTGCACCAACTTAATTTCTCTCTCCCAAACTTATATGTGGATCAGATCAGTGTCTTCAGTTCTTCTCCAAGTTTTGAGAAGAAACAGGCTGATCTGTCCTTCTCTAGTTGCTATTAAACATTTCTACTATTTCTCTTGCCCCACTTTTCCAAACAGTGAGAAGTTACAGGGCCACATCACTCACCCAGATTTTGCTTCCTTTATAGTTTTGTGGGGCTTACAGCAATTTGCAATATTTGCATTCAGTTACAAATGCACAGGTGGAGAAATGCATAAAGTGTTTTTTTTAATAAAAAAATTCAAGACTTCTTGAGCTCTGCTCTACTCCTACTTTCTTCCTGCCCTGGGCGGCCCTGCCCTTTGCCTGCCCCTCAGAGCCATCGCGTCACACAGGGCTAGGCTTTGGTGGCGGACACTCCTCCTTCTTGCCTGCTCTCCACCAGCTGCTGCGAGCTACCCAAAGGAGGAGGCCAGCAGCCGCAAAAGCCATAGAGACGCAACAGGATGTTCCCTTGCTGCCACCGTCACTTGGGACAAGCTCCCAATCATCCTCCTTCCCAAGCTCGGTGGTGGCAGCACTGGCAGGGGAAATAGGGACATTCTGGGATCAAATCAGAAGCCAGGATGGCTTTTGTAATTCCTGGGGACTGTCCCTGGAAAATCGGGAGACTTGGAGGGTATGGTATTTCCCCAGATACCAGGGCAGCAATCTCAGCCTAGTGAAAGGCAGGAAAGGCCATAGCTTGCCATAGAGATACAAGATGACTGGAAGGTTTCTTTAATCTTCCCTGGAGATATGCCTTGAAGCAGCAAGAGGAATCGCCCCTGACCCGGAGCTTCAGGAAACCTCAGGAGAAAGAGCCAGGCAGGCAAATGCATCCTTTGAGAGGGAAGCTTATCTGTTTGTGGCTGTTTATTGCCTTTTGGGAACTGTTTACTGATTTGCGGGGAAATTGTTCTGTTGACTTTCTTCAGTCAGGGTTTTGGATGTTTAAGGTACACTAGAAATGCAACTCCGCAAGGGATCGTGTAACTGTTGACAATTGTGTGGGTGGGTGTTATGGAGACAGTGATGAAGAAGGGTTGGTGACGATGCTGAAGTGAATGTCAAGTGAATAGCTCCCTGTAATGATGTCGCAAATCAGAACTCAAATCTCTTCATTTAACCCTGCCCGTGATGCTGCCAAGATACAGGGACTGGTAAGAGACGAAGAATCTATCTTCAAAACTGTTTTCCTTCTCAGAACCCACTCAGACTTCAATTTCAACACAATGTTAGCACCACACTTCCTTGAGAATTCATCTACTTTCTCGTTATTTATCTATCCATTGCTAAATTTATTCCCACAGCTCAAGGTACCATACACCGATTTTCCTCTCCACATTTTATTCTTACAACAGCCTTGTGAGGTAGGTTAGCCTGAGAGACAATGATTGGCCCAAGCTCACTCAGTGACCTGCATGACTGAGTGGGGATTTGAACCCTATATTTAAACATGGCATTTATCTCCCGCGCTTTGTTAGCCAAAAAAAACCCTCTCCCAGAGTGGCAAAAATAATGATAATAAAAATTTAAAAAATCAGTGTCAAAACAGTCCCTACCCTCAGGCTTACAATCTAATCAGACATCAGACATATGGAAAATGGTATTGTAGAGTTGGAAGAAGATTCAGAAGAGGGCAAGCAAAATGGCTGTGGGAGTGGAGCAACTCCTCCAGGAGGAAAGGTTACAGCATTCGGGACTTTTTTTTAGTTTCGAGGGAAGGTGATTAAGAAATGAATCATAGAATCATAGAGTTGGAAGAGACCACAAGGGCCATCGAGTCCAACCCCCTGCCAAGCAGGAAACACCATCAGAGCACTCCTGACATATGGTTGTCAAGCCTCTGCTTAAAGACCTCCAAAGAAGGAGACTCCACCACACTCCTTGGCAGCAAATTCCACTGTCGAACAGCTCTTACTGTCAGGAAGTTCTTCCTAATGTTTAGGTGGAATCTTCTTTCTTGTAGTTTGGATCCATTGTTCCGTGTCCGCTTCTCTGGAGCAGCAGAAAACAACCTTTCTCCCTCCTCTATGTGACATCCTTTTATATATTTGAACATGGCTATCATATCACCCCTTAACCTCCTCTTCTCCAGGCTAAACATGCCCAGCTCCCTTAGCCGTTCCTCATAAGGCATCGTTTCCAGGCCTTTGACCATTTTGGTTGCCCTCCTCTGGACACGTTCCAGTTTGTCAGTGGCCTTCTTGAACTGTGGTGCCCAGAACTGGCATGATAGACGTTTATAAAATTATGAATGGCGTGGAGAAGGTTAATCTCCCTCTCTCGTAACACAAGAACTCCTAGACATCCAATGGAGCTGAAAGTTGGAAGATTCAAACAAATAAGCAAATAAAAGAAAGTGCTTCTTCACACAGCACATAGACAAACTATGGAACTCACTCCCACAGGGGCCAGTGGCAGCCATCAACTTGGATGGCTTTAAAAGCGGATTAGACAAATCCATGAAGGCTGTCTCTGTGTTCTACCTCCACAGTCAGAGACAGTAATGCTTCTGAGCACCAGTTTCTGGAAACCGCAGAAGAGGAGAGTGTCCTTGTGCTCAGCTCCTACTTGTGGGTTTCCTACTGCTATCTTCTTGGCCTCTGTGAAAACAGGATGCTGGACTAGATAGGCCCTTGGCCTGATCCAGCGGCACTCTTCTTTTTTTTTCTTAAAACGGAATATGAGAGAGGAAAGAAAGCAAACTCAAGCACAAGTTCTTAACGTTACGTTTCTTATAATGCAGTTAAGAGCAGCATCTCCTTGTTGATGTCAATGGTGTTTCTGAGTGTCTCTTGCTCATGATAAAGCATAGTCCCTCCATAGAAGCAATTCTTCCTCTCAGATCAGATCCAGGAATACAGTCTTCAGTCTTTATAGCCAGTGCTTTCTTCCCCAAGAAAAATAGGTGCCGGTGCTCACCATGAAGTTGTTACAGTAAGTGCCACACTTTTTAACAACAACAACAAAAGAGGTGCCAGTACTGCATACTCTTGAGTACCCCCTGAAGAAAAGAAAAAAAGCACTGCTTATAGCAGTTAGAATCCTTCATTGCTGGTGTCAATGGTGGTGGTTCAGTCCTGATCCTAGTCCAACACTCCAAGCCCTATGCAGACAAAGATGCTTTCTCAATCCAAACTGTTTACCTTAGGAATTTGTCTTGGCAAATTCCAAAGGTGATGAGTATCACTGGTTAAGCAAACAGATTGGAGTTCTGACTAATGTTGTAAGAGTTGCATTAGAGAAAGAGATATATTCACTTAAGACATTCACCACCAGTCATCAAACATTCTTTCTTGCCTTCCCCTAAATACACACCCACAGAATCTGAACAGTTTCAATCACTTGCAAAGTTACTTTTCTAGCAAATCCAGAACTCCTGCTGCACAAATGGCATCAGAACAATCACCCCCAAATCAGCACCCCCCCCCCAAAAAAACCAGTTAACAGTTCTAAGGCACAGGATCACCAAATCATGCATTTTTCTCTCTCCTGCGATTTTTTGAAGTTACAAATCTAGGGTGATTTCTGCTGCTGCACAGATTCAAGGGATGTCTCCAGGAAGATCAAACAAAATGTCAAGATTGACCGATTGATTGTATTTAGAGACAGCCCTTCAAAAACATCACAATTAAAATAAGCACAATGTGCAAATTAAAAACCAAAGAAACACAAAAACAGCCAAAGTCAATATAACAAAACACCAGTGCAGCGGCAACACAGGAGGAGGGCAGACATCAACTCAGCCTTAAGTATGGGAAAAGAGATGTGTCTGCTTGTCCAGTCATTGAAAAGCATGCAGTAATGGCATAAGACACACCTCAGAGGTAAGGCCATTCCACAACCTAGAGGCCACCACAGAGAAGATGCCAAAGAGCCCCATGTCCTGTCCTCTTCTTCGAGGATATAAATGTAGCAGTAGATCATAAGCAAAATAGGGGCTTGCCTATAGTTCCACTCACACTCTCACCCCTTCCCACAGTGCAAAGCCAGCACCCCCACCAGTGTCGGGACAGCGGGTTCGTGCTGTGTATGACTACACCGGCCAAGAGGCAGATGAGCTGAGCTTCAAGGCAGGTGAGTGTCATCTTCTCCCAACTTCTCTGCCTCGTTTCATCCTTCAAAGGCAGCTTTACAAAAACATAGGGAGCTGCCTTATATTGAGTCAGACCATTGTTCCATCTAGCTCAATATTGTCTACAATGGCTGGAAGCTGCTTTTCCAGAGTTTCACAGAGGGAGTCTTTCCCAGTCCTACAAGATGCTGGGGATTGAACCTAGGACATGCAAAGGAGCAGCTCAGCCTTTGAGCTATGGCTTAGGACAAAGAGAAAATGGGTATAATCCTGTCCTGACTTTTGATGGTGGTCTGGACCCAAGCGCCAATTTTGCAGAGTCTGGGTGTCTCCCTCTACCTGTCCTCCTCATCAATATCTGTACATGCTCCTCACTTTCCCAAACAGTGAGAAGTTTCAGGGGTTGCACTCACCTGGGTTTGGCTTTCTTTGAGGGAAGTGAGCCCTGGAGATTGATAGTGCTTTTGTAATATTTGCTTTATTTGCAGATATACAATTTGAGCATAAGTGAGGGCAAGAAGCATACACATTCCTGCCACCAAAGCAGATCTCTTACCCTGCATCCGATTTCTAGAGAGAGAGGGAAAGGGGCACCCTTGCATTCCTAGGTGCTTCCAGGTAGCCTGGGACAAGCTCTCAGCCTTGGGTGCCTCCAGACCATCACTATTTATGTGGGAGGGATTCAAGTGCATGCCAGAACGTTAGCCTTGTGCATTTAAAGCATTGTCTCCCTGAAGGAATGAATCCACTTTCCGCTTCCTGTTAGGAAAGTGATGGGGAAACATACTGAAAAATGTGTAATAAACAAATGAGTCATGAGATGGCATGCAAATACCCCTCAAGCAAATCAGGATGAATGTTTATTGTCATATAGCTGCCTCGTAAACAAATCTGTGACAAAATGTTCAGTGAAGACCGGAAGCAGTCTAACCTCTCTGTAATCTTTGTGCAGACAAATCAGAAAGAATGCTTACTAAATAGGTCATCTGGAGTAGCCCTCTCTGTCCCAAAGCTGCCTGTTTTGCTCTTTCAGAAACACACATGCATAAGCGCGCACATGCACCTTGCTTCAGAGCCTCCCCGGAGTGGGAGCATCCCCTTCACTCAAGAGAGATCTTTGGATATTTCTTACCCATTAGCCCCCATTGAGAAAACATCAGCCAGCCACCCTTGGCCATTAACAAGCCATTACCAACCAGAAGCCATAGCACCATGTCCCAAAACACTGCCTGCCACCCATGGTGATTGCTGCTGACAGCTCAGCCTTGGACCTCGCTTGTCGACTCTGCCCATTATTGTGGCTCCTCCCCTTTTCCAGTATCCGTAATAATTTCTGAGGTTTCCGCTGTCTCTTTCTTTCCTGTTTCAGGAGAGCTGCTTACCAAGCTGGAAGATGAGGACGAACAGGGCTGGTGCAAGGGGGTGACCGACAGTGGACGTGTGGGGCTGTACCCTGCCAACTACGTGGAGCCCATACAGGGCTAACTCGATGGGTTAGGGGGTGGGGGGAGGGAATCATGCACCCATACACCAATATTAGGGCTATGTTTATTCTGCACTTCTGAGATCGCACCATGTTGCCAGCCCAAAGTGGTGCAAAATTCAGCTTCCTTAGAGACTGCTTTATTTTTAATAATCATACAACTTTCAGTCCACATGGATGCAAAACTTTCAGTCCATACAGATGCCCTGAAAAGACGCATGAGTGATGCTGGTGAAATCTCAGAAGCCGGGTGGGCTGGTAGGTGGGGCTGCATGGAACTTTGAGTGGGGTGGGGCTTCTGAGGTCTACACAGCTTCCTGCCCCTCCCTCTAGCTAGTTATAATATTATGCAAAATAAGCCCATTGATGCTCCATCTGAATAATCAATTCAGGGGAGGACAGCATTTGACTTTGGGTGGGTGGGGTAGCCCTGCCAATAGGTAAGGATATGGAAACCACCTGGAATAAAATGTGGGGAACAAATTCCTTAAAACAAACGCAAAGCACACACCCATAACCAGACACACACGTCCGGTCTGAATGGCACACCATGCACAACTCGTGCACAACACCTACACAAGCTGCAGATACCACCACTCCCTCTCCTTGCGTCAGTGACACACACATGCCAAAGAAATCAAGGTGCCTCTGAGCTCTCCTTGGGATGGTGGCGCCAGAGAGCACTTTGCCCCCAAGGGTTTGACAACACTTCTGGAAATCCCGTGATGGACTGAAAATCAGAATAAGAAAGGCGTCTTAGAGTCTCTTGAGGAAGTGCTTTTTGGGGATCTTGAGATGATTATCAAACAAAACAGCCACATAATGAGTCACGAAGGGCAGAGGGAGAGAACCACGTAACATAGGGTTGCTGATTTTAAAAAATCCCACGTGGACTCTGCAGAAGTGGCTTCAGCCATACAGTATATTATACTGAGCGTTACTACACTGGCCTTGCCTTCACCTGCCTAGATTCCTGTTTGTTTGTTTGTTTGTTTGTTTGTTTGTTTGTTTAGGGGGGGCATGAAAGAAGCAACCAGACTAGAAGCCGTTATCTCTGACTCCACCCAAAGAAGCATAACAAAGAGGGGTGTGTGAAATATGATGAGCTTATGAGAGTGAATGTTTTAAAAATATGTTTTAGCTCATCTGGAGGTTCTGGAAAATAAAAGAAATAAGCATGGTGGCAATCTCTGTGCCTTTTCATTTGTAATGTTGTTTAAAGTAACTTGAAGGCCCCTTCTTCAAATGGAGGCATGAGATGGGGGCTCTGGAGGGTGGCTCTACTTTGCTAGGAGCTGATCAATCCAGGTGGGCAAGAGCAGCCATGACCTGGAGGGACAATTGGTGGCAGCTGTGTTGCAGGAGCCAGCCACAGCCACAGGGGAGGTTGGGGGCCTGACAGGCAGATTATGAGAGGTGCATTATTTGCTGTCCCTCCCAATCCACCACCTGAGCCATGGATCATGCTAGGGGTGGCTCTGGTGGGCAGTGCCTGATGAAATCGCAGAAACCGGTTTGTGTGTGATTGTTCTCCCTCCACCACCTAATTTCCCCGCTGTCATCTATGTGCATGCTGTTATTTTGATTTATAATAACCCAGCTTTCTGAGCGGTTGGAATCCGGTGCCAAAATCCAAGCCAACTTCCAGAATGTGTGGTTGGCAGATCAGAAGCTGTGCTGTATCCCATATTCAGCTGCCATCTCAGCTCTGCCCACATCAAGTAAAACTTAAGCAAATGACTGCCTTATGCATTTCGGTATAAATAGCTATCGGAAAGTGTAGTTTTCTGGTGCAGGGGATTATAACAGGAAGGTTATCCATTTTAGGAAGAATTCCACTCATAAAATACAAGTCAGAGAAACACAATCCGAATGTTCCTTCCTCAAACATGCACAACCTGCTTGACTTTTTGGGAGAATGACGCTGCTTGGTGAAATCCATCCTCAAATGAGCCGCAGAACTGCTGTCTCTTGTGGCTAAAAGACAACACTATCTTCATTATCGATTTGGTTTTATTGCCAGGCTTATTTCAGTGCTTCAAGGGGAGATAACCAGGGCTTAATGTGATGCCAGAGCTAATAAAGCCTACCTCAAAGTTCCATATGGCTCATGGGAGCAGGCTTTCATTACTATTGATAAAAATGTTACATAGCAAATGTCTTTCTGCACATGCTTAGAGGCATTGTTATTTCCATGAACCAACATGAAAACACACCTTTGGGACTCAGTGATGGTGAGCCTTGGTGCAAAATAAAACCTGAGGGAAAACATTTCCTAACTCATGAACACAGCTGTGTGTGTGTGTGTGTGTGTGTGTGTGTGAGAGAGAGAGAGAGAGAGAGAGAGAGAGAGAGATCACTATTATTCCCATTTTACATACAAGGGAAATGAAAGCTGAGAGACAATAAGTTGCTCGGGCAGAGATGGCATGACCCGATTTGGCATCTGAGATAGAAAATTCCAAAGGTAAAAACAATGATAAACTAAATAACTGACAATGTGTTTCGCTTTAATGGCACCCTAAGCTCTGCCACCAGAAGATCTGCCGCTGTCACACCCCAAGCATGACTCAGTAAATGCATGGATGGACTTTGTTGTCTGAGGCCACAGTGCTGAGTTTTATAAATGGTTCAGAGCAGAGCTTTCCAAATTGTGTGTCATGACACATTAGTGTGTCGTCTGTAGTGTGTAGGTGTGTCGTGCGAACACCCTGCGCTTCTCCCGGGGCTGGAAAGGAATTAGTTTACCCTCCGGTTTGCTAGTAAAGCCGAATTACTTTGTCACAAAATGATGCATCTCTAAAAAGTGTGTCACCAACATGAAAAGTTTCGAAAGCTCTCGTTTAGAGAGAGAAAACATGGGGAAGGGCGAGGGTGGCCGTTGAGGTGAGGTTTCAGAGACATTGGCAGAGGAAGGTTGCCATGTGGCTAGAACCTCTTCTGGCCTGTGGAGATTTTTTAAAAAAAGATTCAGACAGCTGCCTGTTCATCCAATGAAAAAGTCATTACTTCTGAGGCAGTCCTGGTTCTGGCCTGCTTAGCAAAGCAGTGCTATGGCAGTAAGTGCAGCTGTCACAGCGCTGCTCCATTAAGTTGGCAGGTAAGGTCTGCACTGCAATCCTTTCATTCCAACCTGATCAATTCTGCTTTTTCAGGACTGCTCTTATGAATCACACCATAATTTCTGGTTTGTCTTTAAGGGCAGGTCGTGACACTTCAGCCTGAGCTCAGGTGCTTGCCCCCAACTCTAAAAGGATGATTGCATGGACTTGGACACCTTTTGGCTGCTTCTCCTCAGTCTGAGGCAAATCAGAGGGGAATGTTGGGGCTGATGTGTGTTTTTTAAAGTTTTCCAAATCCATGACCAAGGGGGAAAAGGGGAATTTCCAAGCTCTGCCCCACTGAGACCAAATGATGGGGTATATAATTAATGAGAACCACAAGGAAGATGTCCACAACTGCCCTGCCTGTTTGATGACTTTGGGGGCTATTTTGTTGCTCTACCTTATGAAGAGCTGAACCACTGGGGATGCCAGCCAATCATCAACAGAAGCCCACAAACTACCCACGAGGTGACTTCTCCCACACAGCGAATCAGATTCTGAACCCTAGAAATCCAACATTCCTCCTCCTTCAGGTGAAACCCTCATCCCAGGTGCTCTTAGCCAATCAGAACAATTTGTCTCCATGAGTGCATGGAATAATTGCAGGATGAACCTATTGGAACCACGAACCCCAATAATTGCAGGAAATAACTGCCTTCTTAACCAATCAGGATCTACAGCTAGCATTCCTGAGACCAATGGGCGAGGCACTCACTGTGCTGCTACCCAGCCGGTCCAGATATACATCTAGTCCACCCCTGAGACAAGTAAACCAGGTGCCTCCAAGACAGAAGGAAACACCGCTGGAGGTTGCAAAAGGACCAGTTGAAGATGGGAGGCCGGTTCTGTGTCATGCTGCTGCTGCTGGCGGTTGGGGCTCAAGGGATGATGAGGTGAGAGAAAGCGAGATGTTTCTTAAGCTCCATGGTAGGAGAGGTTAGTGGGGTATTCCAGTAGCTAGGATTCCTATGTGGAGCGACAGTTTTGAGTGGGTCAGGGACACTAGACCTCCAGGAGATGACGGGACAACACAGCTTAATTTGAAGCATCAGCTGGTGCAATGGGTAGCTTGAGTTTCCTGAAAGAGGTGTACAGTCTAGTGGAAGGCAAAGAGACAGCTCAGTTTTAGTAGACCATAGGGAGCTGTGGTATACTGAGGGCTTATCTGCACTTACTCTTTTCCCACTGCTTCCCCCCATGGGAATCTTTAGGGTGCAATCAGAGCAAATGGCAATTTGGGTTTTCCCCGGATTGCCATTTGTTCTGATTTATCACTAAAGAGTGGGCTCTCCCTTGGAAAGGAGTAGGGCAGGAGGAAAGCTGCTCAGACCTGCACTTTCTAGGCACAGCACTAGCGGAAGTGTGGACGAGCCCTGGGTCAGACAATTGGTCCACCCGGCTCAGTATTGTGTTCACTGCCTGGCAGTCGCTATCCGGAGTTTCAGAGCACCTCTCCCAGCACAGCCTGGAGATGCCAGGAATTGAACCTGGGACCTTCTGCATGCAAAGCAGGTGCTCTACCACAGAACTACAGCTCTTCTTCTTCTTGCATGGGGATGTTCCAGGTTCAGTTCCTGGCACCTCCAGTTAGGTCTGGGAATGTCCTCAGCATAGGCACCAACTCCTAGAGGCTTAGGTCCCTTCAGCCCCCACAATAAAATATTTGATACCAGAGTTGATGGGCATTGCTACCTTTCCTTCTTTTCCATGTTCGGACTTCCCGACAAGCCCTGTAAACAAACTTATAAAAAGGTTGCTCGATGGCAAGAGAGCTGGGATTGGGCAAAAACCTCCTACATTGTTCCTTGCGATTGGAGTAGAGAGAGAGAGAGAGCAAACTGGGCAGGTTTACGGAGTTCTATTACAACAAGTGAGGAAGCAGTTCCCAGTTGATTATCATTTCTAAAAATTAAACTAGGAGCACCTAATTCAGATGACTTGGAGGGTAAAGCTCCACACCCATTGTTGTTGCTGTTGTTGAATGAATGAATGAATGTTGATTATCACAGCTAAACAGCCAGCATAGGTTGCTGTTGTTGTTAATTCACCCTTTACCCCAAGGTCCCAGGGCAGGTTACAACAATCAAAATATTTAAAAGCAATTTAAGACAACTTACTGTTGCAGAAATAAGGTGGGTCCTAAAAAAATATGCCCAAGCAGGCAGCCAACCCTCGTTGATTTTAGGCAGGAGGGAGGGGGAGGAGGCAACAAGGTGCATAGAAATTTGGGGATTTTGAAGAGTTAGATTCAAGTCCCTTTTAGCTTTAATAATTCAGAGCAGCCAAGGAACAATCACCAGTCACCCTCACAGAGCTATTTGGGGGATAAAAAGGGGGTAGGGGAATAAACCTTCACCAGCACTAGGTACCTCTGCTGCTAGGATTGGAGGCAGGGTTTATCTGGCACACACATCCCAAATATTTTATTCAAGTTGGCATCCCTGGTTCCCAGCCTGGAGAGCCTCTGCCAGTCAGTACCCAGCTAGATGGACCAATGGCCTGGCTTAGTATCAGTCAGATTCCTATGTTCTTGTGCAAGAGAAGAGCGACTCCTATGGTTTTCCACTACAAACTGGGAAGGGAGAAGGGACTAGTGGTTAGAATGGAAGATTAGAAATCTCTTGGGATTGCAAACCAGCGGGTTGAAGCAGAGGGCGATGGGCCCTTGAGAGGTGATGAGGGAGAAAGAAGGCAGGTTGTTTTGTGAAAGGAGGAAGACCTTGTGAAATGCAGCAGCAACATTAAGAGCCAGGCTTAGAACTCCAGGATTCTCAGGAATAAAGGTTTGGATTAAATGATAGTGGCAGGCAAGGTTATGCTGAAAACAAGGTTCCCACACCCTTTTTTCCCTCCTGAAGACTGCTGTGCTGAATTACAGGCAAAAATTGAACAGGAGAAGCTTTCCTCATGCTCCAGCTCCATACCTGGGGAAACGTTGCCTTTTGAACTTGTGTCTGTCCCTAGCAAGACAAGGGATAGTGGAGGGTCCAGTCCAGGAGAGGACTGGATTAGTGCAGGACTTCCCATGATGTTGGTTTTCTAAGGGTGCCTCCAGACTGCCAGTATTTTGCTGGAGGGATTCAGGCACATAAGAAGTAAATTAAAGGCTCTGCAGAATGAATGCTGATTGCCATATAAGCGCCCTGTAAACAAATTAGAATGAATGCTCAATAAAAACAGGAGGCAGTCTTAAACCCCCTCATAAGCATTGTGCAAACAAACCAGAGAGCAAGCCAAATAAATAGGTCACTGGAGGATCCCCTAGCGTTGCCAGTCTGAGTGAGGTTGCCAAGTGACATGCTCCTCTGCCTTTAACAGTAGGTTGATGTGTGGAAACCAGCCACTGAAGCTTTTTCTGGGTACAGAGCTAAATGTTATTGCTTGCGAGCGTCTGCCTGTCAAACTGAAATTTTAAATCCCACCTTTCCTTCAAGGAGCTCAAGGTGACACACATCATTCTGCCCTGCCCCACCCATTTTGTCCCCATGACAACCTTGCAAGGTGGGTTAGGCTGACCAAGAGTTTCATGGCTGACTGGGAATAAGAACCCTGGTCATGCAGGTGGTCCTAAGTCCAGCACTCTAACCACTGCACCACGCTGTCAAAGGCGCAGGAGCAACAGAGGCGGGTTATACTACAAACAGAAAAGTTGGCACCCCTCTTACCAAAACCGAGGCACAAGCACATTGTTTTCTGAGTGGGGAGTTTCAGGTTATCAGTTTGACAGTGGGAGTCGCATGCGCCTTTGACAGCGTGGTTCAGTGGTTAGAGTGCTGGACCTAGCACGCACTTCCTGTCTGCGCAAGGTGCTCGGCCTCAGTGCTCAGCGCTCCGTTCTGCTGAGCCAACATCCTTCCGCCTCCCAGCCCATGTAGGAATACATTAGCCAAAGAGCAAAACAAAACACCTGAGAGCAGCCCTCGTTAAGAAGGCCCCTGTAATTATGACACCGATACTTGGCCATCACCCAGCTGTAGGTAGGAGGGATGGGCAAGGGAGATAATTACAGATATGCTGCGCTGCTCATCAACAGGCAGGGCAGGACATGTGCGCTGGCGCTGGGGTGGTGTGAGGCCAGCCCTTCACCTGGGGTTGGAATCAGAGCTGGCAGGAGGCAGCCCCTGGAGAAAATGCGCTTCCCTGCCTCTTCCATAACCACATGGCAGGGATCAGCTCCCTCTTTTGCATAGGGCTCAGATGACTACCTGGAACCCAGTGGGTGGGGAGTTTTCCCTGGCAAGAAAATGGGATTATCCCGGAAGAACTTGGTGGGCGTTATGCTCTGCATGACTCTTACCTGCCCTGTCCTGAACGCAGAGATCTGGCAGCATTTTATTTGTCTTCTAGTTTTTTTGAAGACAGACATATATACAGAGTGTGTGTGTGTGTGTGTGTGTGTGTGTGTGTGTGTGTAAAATAGAACTTTATTGAGGTTGATAATGAGCCAGAAAAATTTTCGCCAACTTCTGGCAGTCACAGAAATAGGATTCTACAGTACTACATTCTGCTCTGTGTGCTTTTGGAAGAGCAGGGTTTATTATTATTATTATTATTATTATTATTATTATCATTATCATTTGCAGTAGTGTGGCTAGGAAAAAAAGGGGACAATTTTACATGCCCTACCAGTTTCTGGCTCAGTACTGCTGTCATCCCTTGGACACTCTCTCCCTTCTAAAATAACCCAGGGCCATTCTTAAATGCGGGAATGCAGAACTTGTGACCCTCCCAGTGTTGCTGAACCAGGCCATATCCCACATTGTTCACTTAAAGCACTCTTACGCCACTTGAACAGTCATGGCTCCCCCTCCCCCCAATAATATCGGAAACTGTTAAGGGTGCTGGGAGTCATAGCTCTGCGAGAGGGTCTCCTAACCACTTTCTGCACCCTTAACAAACTACACTTCCCAGAATTATTTGGAGAAAGCTGTAAAACAGTGTAAGAGTGCTTGAGACATGTGGTATGGACAGCCCTCCTTGCATGTGCTGGCTGGGGCTGATGGTAGCTGGAGTCCAACAGGGCTGTTATATGTTCTTAAAGGACTCAGAGCACAGGGCCAGGACACAAGTTTGCACAAAAGTTGCAAACACCCCCCTCCTTTCCCAAACAATTAATTCCATTCCTTTCCCAAATAACCAGGGCATCCTAGACCTGGGCCCTATAGCTAGTGTCTGAATTCTGTTTTTGTTTGTTTGGCCAAGTGCTTCTTCACCACCAACTACCTACCACAGGAAATGGGGGGGGGGGAGGACAGACGGACCTGTGTGGCTCTCCAAATGTTGCTGGACTAAAATTCCCATCAGCCTCAGCTCCTCCCGGTGACCTTCATATTCAGCATTTATATTCAGCATTCATCCAGATTTGCCAGCACAAAGCTTACATGGTGGTTAGACATGGGGCATTTCCAGGCCACCTGTTTATTGAGCATTCATCCTGATTTGCTTGCAGATGACATTGGCTGATTAATGATGATTCATTACCATTTGTTTATGGTGAGGTTAGATGACATTGCATCAAAGCAATTGTTATCCCACACTTTTCCTGTGGGGGCGGGGCGAGGGGGAAATAGTTATAGATCACCAGTGTAGGGTAATTCATGAAATACTTGACCAGATCCCTAGATCCAAAGCTCAGGGCTAAACATACTCTCCAGCAAGAGAAAGCCCCCGGCAGTATTTAAAAAGGAACAAAAGCAAGCAATAGTGTAGCGTGGGGGTTTACAGTGTTAAACCTTTTAATATCCCATTAAGTCCACATTTCTACCCCTCTTAGAGTTGATCAGACCACACACCTTAGTAAGTTTTAAAATGCTTTACCTACAACATTCCAAAGGTCAAGTTCATGCATCTATCCATGCAGCAGCAAGTGAACACAGGCAGGAATCTTGGGGTACAAAATATAGTGAAATAGCTCTAAGCATGCGGTCTGAGCTTGTAGCGAGCAAGCTCAAGCACAACCTATCTCAAAGAGTTCACATTGTTTGCTCTTTTACCATGTGAGGGGGATGACCTAGCAGCTGAATCTAGCAATTCTGTGGTCTTAACCCCTTCATGCATTAACTAGCCCTATGATTGCTAGTTATATTTGACTGTACTTTCCCACATTTCCCTGTCACTTTCATTATGGCAAAAAGTTGGATATTTTGGGGGAGCGGGTTTGTTGTGCAAGACCTCCCAATCAACTATAACTGGGCATTCAGAATTTGCCAGTATGTGACTGAATCCCACCAGAACATAGCAACAATCTGGAAGCATCCCATGTCAAAACTTGCTTGAGTAGTTCTGATTTCACCAGGCAATTATACAACATTGAATATTCATCCTGCATTCGTCTTGATTTGCTAGCAGGGTTTTTATATGTCTTCCCATTATTCATTTGTCATTTCCACGTGTTTCAATACATGTTCACATCACTTTTCTAAACCAAAACCAAAATGGATTTGTTGCACTAGAGCAATAGAGCGCTTTAATCCACTTTACTTGTGCAAATCTCAGATGCCTCCAGGTGGTTGGTATTTTGCAAAAGTGATTCAAGTGCATACTGGAACATTATGCAGGAAAATGATCCCATAATTAAATCTATAAGCCTCCCTCCTCAACTAACTCCTTCAGATTTTAGCCCCTATAGTCTTCTAAAAACAATAATTAGGGTCTAAGACAAAAAAGTAAGGGGGAAAAGGTCCCTCTCCTCCTGTAATTTGAGGACTTAGCTCCTGTACTTCACTGCAACAAAGCCTTAAGTTTGTGTAACTGAGGTCACAACCATACCATGCATTTAATCCACTCTTACACTATGGAGTCATGGAGAACCTTGGGAACTGTAGTTTGTTAAGGGTACTGGGCATTCTAGGTCTGGGAGGGTCAGCACTCTTAACAGTTTCCAGGATTCTTCACGGAAGCCATAACAGTGCTTGAAAGGTAGGGTTATTCTGGCACCTGAAAATCCCACAAGCACGAATCTGAGGGCCCTGGCAGTACCAATACAATATTTAAATAATAGTAGTAAACAAAACACTTGGTTTCCCTTTCATGGCACCTAAAACCTGCTGCCTGAGGCAGCCACCTCACTGTCTAACGCAGGGGTCAGCAACCTTTTTCAGATGTGGGCCAGTCCACCTTCCCTCAGACCATGTGGTGGGCTGGACTATATTTTGGGGGTGGAAATGAATGTTCCCTCAGACCTTGTGGTGGGCCGGACTATATTTTGGGGAAAAAATATGAACGAATTCTTATGCCCCACAAATAACCCAGAGATGCATTTAAAATAAAAGCACACATTCTACTCATGTAAAAACACCAGGCAGGCCCCACAAATAACCCAGAGATGCATTTAAAATTAAAGGACACATTCTACTCCTGTAAAAACACGCTGATTCCCGGACTGTCTGCGGGCCAGATTGAGAAGGCGATTAGGCCGCATCCGACCCATGGGCCTTAGGTTGCCTACCCCTGGTCTAACGAAAGGGCAGGTCCTCATAATGCATTCCTCCTGACAACTCTCCTCTGCTTATTTTCCTCTCCTTGGCAGGATCCCATTGCAGAAGTTCCCCTCAGTCCGAAGCCGGTTTGGCCGCTCAGGCCTCCCCATCGCTGACTTGTTAAGACGAGGAAGAGTCAGGTCTGGGTCACCCTCGGAAGAAGGTTCTGTCGCCCGCCAACGCCTGCACAACTACATGGATGTAAGTGCCCACAAGTGGCAGATGGTGCCCATTGGGACAGGAAGGGTGGAAGGCAGGGAGCCCAACAGGAGGCAGAGGCAAAGCCCCTGACAGGCACCAATTAATTCTAGTTTTATCCCCATTCTCCTCTCTGCTGATTTCTGAGGGGGAGGAAGCTGATGGGCCGTGCCCCCTGACCCCCCAAATGGTAGGGGTAGGCTGAGCTTCTGGGGGGGGGGGCAATGTCCCATTTGCTCTAGTGGAAAAACCCCCAGTAGTGCCCACTCACCTTCCCTAGGGTATGAACAGAAACTAGGACTGATGGCACCTTGTACAGCCCCCCTGTCAAACCGGGCACCAGTCCTGGGAAATGGGAGGCCATTTTGGGAATTCTGTGTTGACCCCTTCCTTCCCCATTCTACCCTAGGCACAATACTATGGACAGGTCTGCATTGGAACCCCAGAACAGTGCTTCAATGTTGTCTTTGATACTGGTTCGTCCAATTTGTGGGTGCCCTCCTCCAAATGTTGCCTGTTTCACCTGGCATGCTGTAAGTTTATTTTTTCTTCTTATTGGCTTTCCTCACAAAAGTGACCCCAAGCAAACCCACAAGAGCAACAAAACACTAAAACCAAGTATAAGAAACAGCTGATAAAAACCTGAAAACACAACTATACAACATTCTTGTTGCCTTGTAGCTCAGTTGGTAGAGCATGAGACTCTTAAATCTCAGGCTCATGGCATCAAGCCCTACGTCGGGCAAAAGATTCCTGCATTGCATAGAGGGGCTAGGTGACCCTCGTGGTCCCTTCCAACTCTATGATTCTATATAAAAGACGGGTCTTACAGATCCCACCCTACTGTAAAGGCCACAATTGTCTGAAACCCTTCAAACTAAGAGCTAAAACCCTGGTTACAAATGAATTGGCACCTAAAAATAGATAAAGATGGCACCAGGCAGGCCTCCCTGGGGAGAGAATTCCACAAATGGTGATCTGCCACTGAAATGGCCCATTCTTGGGGAATGAGGTGGTAGCAGTGGATCTAAGCACTACAATGGAAGCTTGGTTCTGGAACTTAATCCATTCCAGAAGTCCGTTCGACTCCCGAAACCATTCGAAAACCGAGGCGTAGCTTCCGATTGGCTGCAGGAGCTTCCTGCACTCAAGCGGAAGCTGTGTCAGATGCTTGGCTTCTGAAAAACGTTTGAAAACCAGAACACTTCTGCGTTTTTGGTGTTCGGGAGCCGATTTGTTCATCAACTAAGCTGTTCAAGAACCGAGGTACCACTGTACTCTAGTTGTTTCTATGGCTTACTATTACTGGTTTTTTATTTTATGAGAACCAGTGGAGTAAACCATACAGCCCCTTGTGCTGCAGTTCCCAAGCACCAACCATAGTTAACTATTCCTAACCATAGTTCATAATTTCCTATGAATGAAAATGGCTCCTGTTTTGCTCCTCCTGTAACACGAGCAACAGTGGCAAACCATTGGTGCTTGGCTTTGTTTTCTGTTCAAACTAGGATTTATGGTTTGTTTTGCTATCCCTTCTGCTAGCAAAGGAGCAAAGAGGGAGCATCTTCGCAATCAAGGTTCACCGTGATGTGCGAATGCAGCTACTACAATGCTATTTTTATCAAAAGAAAACATGTTGCCGTCTTGCCAAGATGTCTCTCCCCCCCCATTACTCACTTCCAATCCGTTTTATAAAAATATCAAATATTGGGAAAATATTGCTTAAACAGAAGAGTTTTACAGTGCTGTAACACTATAACGCTAATTTTAAAACAATGAAAAGCTGTCATTACACACATTTTCTTTCTAATTAAACACTTTCCATATGCACTTCTGATCAAAAACAAACTTTTAAAAATATATATATTTCTTGGGTAGCAATGCACAATCACACTTACATAAATGAGCTTTCAGAGCTAAATTAATCAGCGATATAAGTACTGTACCTATTTATATATAGCTTGAAATCACTCAGGCGAACTGAATCTTCTCTTTATTCATGCACAGCTGCTCTGTCACAATGCCCACTAGTGGTGGGGATGTAGCATAGCAGCATAAACACACAGAAAACGATACTGTACCCGTGGTAGTGTGGAAAGTCAGTTACAATTCTCGTCGCTTCCGGGAGAAGAGTAATGGCTTATTCATGCTTAGGGCATCAGTCTGGAAGAGGGATGGGGGAGAAATCTGATTCAGTTCGCATTTGAAGCCAAATCGGTCAAATCTGCCCTTTCTGAAACAATATGAGAACTGAAACAGAGCCATCCTTTCAAAATTTCCATTTCTCCAAATGTTGTGATGCAAATCTCCCACCAAACAGTGTTTACAAAAAACATATGATAGGGGGAAATGTGTGTGTGTACACACACACACACACACACACACACACACACACACAAAACATATTCAGGTGCATTATATTTGGAAAAATGCTTACAGAAATGTGCACATGAATCAATACCACGTACAAATAGGTGGTTATTTAGGAGACCTTTGCACTAAAATGCTGAATTATTTTCATGTGGATGTTTTGTTTTTCTAAACATTTCAAATGGCTGCAGAAATGTATAGAATTGAATTTAAGACTGGAAGAATGGGAAATTGAAAGAAGTACTCTGGAAGCAGCCTGGAATAAACGCTGTCCTGAGTGTCTTACACCAAATGACGGTTCCCTAAATAAATAAACAGAAAAATACTAGGGTCAGGGATAGTAATAGGTTCCTGGGCCAAATCTAGCCTCCCAAGAGATGCCAACCAGCCCCCTGTTGTGGATGACTTGAGAAGCTGGTTCCACCTGAGACAAGAGAACTTGCTGGCAGTAAGGGGTGTGGGTAAAGTTGGTGCTAGGCTACGCTTCACCCTCTCCTCAAAGTGTTGCCGTTACCAGTGTTCTAGAGCAGGAGTGAGGAAGTGGATGTGGCCACTGGCCCACCCTCCACTGGCTATTTTTGGCCAGAGGGCTGGGCCGGCCAGCTGCCAGTCACCTGACATCATACCATGTCAAGCAATTCTGCTTCGAAGAAAGAATCAGGAGTGCACTAATCTTCCTTGGCACTCCTGGGTTGAATTCAAACTTCTGCTGCACTGGCTCGCCCCTTGTAAGCCACAGCTCAAATTCAAGCCAAAGATTCCTGCCAAAAGCAGGGCTTGCATTTGGGCTTTCAGCAGGAACCTTGGCAGCTGCAGATTGAATTTGGCTCCTGGGTGGAAGTGATTCCAGTGAGGCTTGGCATTTGGTGCCCACTTTAAAAGGTGCCCAACCCCACTTGCAGATGAACCACCACAGCATCATAACCCTAAGGCTCCCTGTCGTTCCTTTGCAACCCTGGCTTTGCTTACCTCACACCTGACACCACATGATGTCAGGTGGAGGCTTGGGGAATAACAGACTGGCAGGCCACACAAGTATCCCTAGTTGGCCTCACTTGACCTGAGATTCCCCATCCTTGCTGTGCAGCCTTAGGGAGGAAGGCCTTTATACTCTTCTTGATCTCAAGAAAAGATCGTGCAATTGTTGAATGGTAACAGGACAGTGTCACCTGTAAGGTAGCTGCTGCTAAGGAAACCATAAGCTTTGATGATGATGGTAATAACAACAATATTTTTAATAAAATGTTCCTGGGAGCTAGAAGCACTAGAGTTGAAACCAACCCCTATCCTGCCACCACACAGACAGCTGCTTTCTCTCTCCTCAGGGGTACACAGTCACTACCGGGGCTTTTTCTCCTTGACTCACAAGGCCAACAAAGCCAAATTTGCCATTCACTATGGAAGCGGGAGTCTCAAAGGATTCTTGAGCGAGGATGTTCTGAGGGTGAGTACAGGGGGCTCAGATGCCTGGGTTCTTCTCCAAGAGGCAGAATAAGCTTAACCAGTGGGGGAGGGAAGGTTTCTGTACGATTTACCTTCAGAACGTGACTTCAGTGCCAGGTCAGCCCTGGAAGTTATCATGGGGAGGGGATAGAGGATGGGGGAAAGCACCCAAGCATGCAGGGTGTCTTTTCCTTCACACCGAATCACCAGCATCGGCCCACAAGTTCACACACCTCTGTGATAGCTTCTAAGAGAGAGAGGGAGTTGTGCCTGGGAAATTTGCACTCCTTTTTATTAAATGGTGGAGACCATGGCCCTTTGGTTGTGAAAGTGATGAAGAGACTAATGTTTTAAAATGTTATATACGTATATGAAGGTTCCAGCTGTTGTGTTGTTGTTGTTGTTGTTGTTTGCCAGGGACAGTTCTGGCCCTGTTCTGGCCCCTGATCCCAGTAAACCACTGCTTCTATTTTTGCCTTTTTACTATTGTGAATGACATTTTGAAAAAACACAAAAACCCACACAGCCTTTATCCTTTACCCCTGAATAACTGTGAGGCTGACACAACCAACTAGGTTTTCATAGCGTTCTTGAAAAGCTCACACACCTTCTGTGTGGTAAGTGCATTTTTGTGTGCCAGCAATGCCTCTTGAGTACCACGGGCATAACTGGGCTTCCGCCAAATCCTGTAGCCCTTCAGCTTTCCATAACTCTGGTACAGGGATTGCACCCTAAATCTCTGAGTGAGGCTGAAGGCATTTTGACTTTGCTGCGCATACATGTAAACAAAGGCTTAAGAACTGGTTGTCTGTGGCCTACCGGGTGGAGTGGCCAGCTGCCAGGCCCCTTCACTACCTACTAAACATGCATCACTGTAAATGCAAGGGAACTTGGGAAGCTGCCTTATGCTGAGTCAGACCCAGAGGCACAACCTTGCGCCCGAGGTTGAGGGCACCCAACACGTGGGACGTCATGTGTGTGTGATGCACGATGAACGCATGACGTCACATCGTCAGGGGGAGACGAAGTGTGGAGCCAAGCGCAGCCTGGCTTCAGTGGCCAGTGGCTCCTCCTCTCTTGTGCTCAGGAGAAGCCTTCCTCCACCCCCTCAACACTGAGGGGGCCTGGACCCTTGCCAACATATACCGAGGAGGACTCCCTGGCCCTATAGAGTTGGTGCACCTGGTCACACCATTGGCCCACCTAGCTCATTATTATCTATGCTGACTGATAGTGGCTCTCTAGGGCTAATCTCAGATAATCTCAGGCCTACCTGGAGATGCCAGGGATCAAACCTGCATGCAATGCAGATGCTGTACCACCAAGCCATGGCTTTCTGAAGGCAGCCCTGTTTAGGGAAGTTTTTAATGTTTGAAGTTTTGTTCTATTTTTAATGTTCTGTTGAAAGCCGCCCAGAGTGATAGGCAGGGTAGAAATAAATTATTATTATTATTATTATTATTATTATTATTACTATTACTATGCCCAGGACATCTTGGGCATCCAAGCCAGCCCGCTGAGGGCTGCTCATGACCAATGGGCTTTAGCTGATTCATTACTGAGGATGAGTCTGAAGTGTTTGTGTTTACCTTTGGAAAGCATGAGAAAAGTGAGATAGGCTTTCCTTCCAGTGTAACCTCTGACAGCTTCTGTTTGTTAAACTGTAAATTGTCTAAGGCTTACTACTCCAACATCCTCCAGAAGGCACTTTGAGAGATGTTTTGAAAATAGGCAAACTTATTTAAATTATATTGATGGATTACAAAGTTACATGACTAATCAACTACAAATCTTGCAGTGGCTATGAGCCTTAATTAAAATTATTCAGACATTCATCATGGCAATATATATATATATATATATATATATATATGGCATCATTACATGAACGTAGCACTTTGCGATATTGCCTAAGCAAATCCTAAGAGCAGAGCATATTTCAAGATAGTTACCTCTGCATTTGGAGAGAGGAACTGTGGTTTGCTTAAACTATGTTTCGGAACATGCCAACATCTGAAACTGCAGTTTGATCCTGGCTTACCTTCACTATAGTTTACCAGATTATAATTTCTGATCTCTTCCTCTGGTTCATGAAAGAGAAGGAGGGGGAGCACACAACCCAATGGCTTGCCATGATTCATTCACATAGTGGGAAACTACTGTCTCCTGTTACATCTCAACCCAGCTACAGCAGAATCCCAGTTTCTCTTCTACTAGAAAGTAAGCACTGGATCTGAAGGAAGAAAGACAGGTGACACCACACAGGTATTCAGGGACAGAGCTCTAGGCTTAAAGATGCAGCAAGAGGATGCTAAAGCCTTGGTCCTTCAAAACTGAGCGTTGTAGTGGGTATCAGGTTTTTCTAATTCAGAGATATGTGAGTATCTGGTCGATGGAGCAGAAGACATGATGCTTACCTTCTCTCTCCTCAGATTGGCAACTTAAGCATTCAGAACCAGACATTTGCCGAGGCTACAGATCTGCCAGGTTTGGTTTTTGTAGCTGCAAAGTTTGATGGCATCATGGGGCTGGGGTATCCCAGCATCTCAGTCAACAATATCACCCCACCCTTTGATAACATGATGAAGAATAAGCTGCTTAAGAAGAACGTATTCTCCTTCCACCTCTGCAAGTAGGAATCCTTCATGTTACCTCCTCCTTTCTCTCATCTCAGTCTTACCCTTCCCAAGTCCCAATGCATCCCTTTAGAGATGCATCCAATGTTAGCCACAATCAGAGTAGACTCGTTGGAATTAATTGGCATGACTAATGTAGCTGTTAACGAAGCTCTGGCATAATAGGATCATACCATCGAGTCCCAATTAATCTTGCTGCCCTATTCTGGACCAACTGAAGTTTCCAAACCATCTCCAAGGGCAAAAATTTACAATGCATGAGAAACTATTTGCTTTTCCTTCTCAGCTGCTGTTTGCATTGACTCAATCTTTCCTACACTGAACATGCCCTCAAAAATATGCTCACATGTCATTGGATGTTAGGATTAGGCACACTCCATTCTCAATAGAAGAGAAGAACAAAGAGCTTCTCTTAGCAAGCACAGTGGTGTCCAATGTTGGTGCCTTTTCCACATTGATGGGGGGTGGGGAACATGCCTGCTCCTTTTTGCTCTTCTAAATGTGGCCACCATTTTGTCTTACTTGACACACCCCATGGCAGCCATTTTGTGACTGGCACTGAATTATCAGAATTCCAAATGCATCCACTGGCCCGAAAAGGTTGGCAACCTCTGGCCTAAGTAAGCTATTAAGAGGTACTTTGAGCCGATGAGTCATCTTGTTGCAGCAGGGTAGCTCTGGGTGACATCTTTTTATGCAGGAATCTGGGCTGTCAGTTTTCCAGTTGGCATAACATTCTTATTTTCAGTGACTCACAAAGACTGGTTTAGGATTCTGAAATGCCTCTGTGTATACAATACAATTAAAGAGAATGTTGATTGCCAGGTGGAGTTCAGTACATCCTGCCATGTATATACAGTATTCTGGGTGGATACCATCACACATTATAGGTACATGAGTGGGATGATGCGGATATTTTCTGTTCATTCTCGGTTGTTCCTCATCTAATGGCAGGTGGTTCCATCACTCTGGTGTTTCATGTAACGTGACAGCTTTACTGGGTCTGCTTCTTTTTGGTGACAGAGTACTGGAAAATAACATTGTTTTGGTAGTGTCCTTGCTGTTGAACAATTGTTGAGCTCAAAAGGTCCCAAGTTCAATTGCTAGCATTTCCAGGCAGAGCTCTTGTCTGAAATTTTGGGTAGCTGCTCCCGGTTCCTAGAGACAATACTGAGCATGTTTAGCCTTTGCTCTGACTCAGTATGGCAGCTTCCTATGTACCGTATTTACAGCTATACAGGTTCAGTAGGTGATGAACAATCATGCCAGGTGGCTACTCTACCCGGAGGCCATGGTCAATCATTCCTAGCCCCAAAGCAGTGTCTGCCCATACCATCAAGTTCTTAAACAGCTATTTCTGCCAGCCAAGAGCCTCTCAGAAACCTTTCTCAGTCAGCACTAAAGCGCAAGCCACAATTTGTTCAGATTCAAACTGTCCCTTTGAGACCCCACCCGGTGATGGATGTGACATGTTAGAGGAGCATGGAGCAGCCATTGCTCATCAGAGTCCATTATCCACGAGGCAGGGTTGCCAACTGACCAGGGGCTGGGATGGCCTGACCTGCTCCTGTACCCTTTAACAGAAATTCAACATGCAGAAATTGGCAGGTGAAGCTTATCAAAGGAACAAGATTAAAAGAACATCATGGATTTGAGTGACCGTTTGCAATTCCAAGTGTTCCCTTTGAACCACTCTGAGAACTGTAGCTGCAGGAAGGGAACAGGGGTCTCCTGGCAATCCTCAGCTCCCAGAATTCCTTGGGGGAAGCCATGACCGTTTCAGGTGGTATCATAGTGCTTTAAAGGTATGAATGTGGACTTAGGTTGCCCAGAGGCAATCTATACATTTATGCCAATGTTTATTCAACCACTTAGAGGTGTGAGGGTCCCTCCCCAGCCCTGTTAGGTGGCTCACAAGTTTTGTTAAGTAAATAAAATATCCTTTCCTCTTGCTTGCCTGCTCCACACACATACCCATTGTTGCTCCTCAGAAGAAGAGCTTTTTGACCCTTCTGATTCTTCTCCTAGCACTGACAGCGGCTATGAAAACAACGGTGGCGAAGTGGTTTTCGGAGATATCAACCACGATGCCTATGAAGGGAAGCTCCACTACATCCCAGTGTCACGCAAGGCTTACTGGCAGATCAAGATAGACAAGTGAGTGCCGCCATTTATTTCCTGATCTGTTTCTGGGATAGATTTATGTACCGCTTAGTCATTCACATTTCCAAGATGGCGCACATAAAAACAAAACAATTAAAAGCCGCCATAGAACTGAACGCTACCTCAGAACACATGCTGGAATAAGAAAGTCTTTTGTTGCGTGGGAAGACTGAGACTAAGAAGGAAGAAGCGGACAGGCAATGCTGCCGCCACCTGCACTGGCAAGTGAAGGCTGGGTGAGGGCAGACTGAGGTTGCTGGGTAAAGTGCCACTCTTGCCCCAGTGGACCAGCCTCTGCTCTGCATTATTGAATGTCCAATTTTATAACTGGGTTTCCTCGCAAGGTCAATTTAGCATGTGAAAGTGGATCAATTTTATTTTTATTAGACATTATATTCCATTTCTTTCTAACCGACTTAATTGTTTCAAGGGTCTCCCGCATTTTCAAATATTTTGATCCTAATATTGTCCAACCCACCAAAGATGATGTATACGTATATTCTAAAGTTGCCCAGGTTGGATAGTTAACACCAGATATAGGTTTCCAGGCTTTGGCACATTGCAATTAATAAGCACGATGGTATACCAAATCCGAATTTGGATTTATTTATTTTTGGCAGAAATATTCTTGGAGTTGCTGAACTCCAAAGACATTTCCTAAACAAACAAACAAAATATTTTTTAGAAATATGTTCCAGATATATAAACTGGAAGTCCTCTCAGAATATAAATTCTTGCACGAAGGCAAGAGTTGAAGGTTTTTTTCTACCCACTTTTGATTGTAGCCACACAAACACACTCCCCGCCCCCCATGCCATGCCTGCTGCTGGCAATATGGATTCCAGAAGACAAATAAACCAGAAATCAACTCCTGCTTTATTTAAAACAACCAGTGTTTAAAAATTCAAACAACAAACCATTAATTTTTAAAAAATATTGACATCCTGAATATGCAGTGAACAAAACACTTTTGCTGATGGTACTTGGGTGTAGACCTAGAGAATAGCACTTCAAGTCATCAGTGAATAATAGTTATAATTGTCAAACATATTTCAACCTTACAGCCTTCCTCGGTGGCATCGGTGTCTAAAATGGCAGATTTAGCTGCTTGGGAGTTTGAGAAGATAATTCAGGCTTGCATCCATCCAAATTAATGTCCTAACAGTAAATATATAATTGCATTTCCATTACTCAGCATGATTGCAATACCCCCCACCTGAAAAAGATGTTCTAAGCAAGGCCACATATCTCTATTTGCCATCTATGAGAAATGTTTGTGTTTAAAGAATAAATGTGAAGCCTAATGCAGGAAACACTCTACCCTCTGGCCTCTTGGGTACAGCAGTCCTTTCCTCTCAGTGATGCCAAGTTGCAGTTATCCTGGTGGAGTTTTCCGCCAGACCATCTGGGGAGTTCTGCTGGCGTGGCTTCATCTCTGCCAGTGGAGATACACAGCCTTTGCCAACCTGGTGCCTGGCAGATGTTTTGGACTACAACTCCCATCAGCCAGTGCTGGTTGGAGCTGATGGGAGTTGTAGTCCTAAACTTTTTGCAGGCACCAATTGGGGAAGGCTGCCTTAAGGATGCTGGGCTGGTGTAATTCAGATATAGGATTTTGCCCTAAACCTGAATCTCAGTCTGGCTTTTCCAGACAACCACTTTACAGAGCAGTGTTCTAATTAAGGATATGTTCACATTAGGGACTTGCGATGCAATGAGGTCATTTTCCCGCCCATGGCATTTCAAGTTGCATTAGCATGGTGTTGTTCACATCAGAGAGCAGGTGGGGATGTCTTCACCGGATGTACATGGCCTTTTTGGTTTCCCCTGACGAGGTCAAAGCCACCATGGTGCAGCTATTAGAATGTCAGGCTAAGATCTCAGTGACCAGGGTTCGAATCCCCACTTTAGTCATGAAGCTCATTGGATGGCTTTGGACCAGCCAGTCACTATCTCACAGCCTAGCCTGCCTTGCAGAGTTGCTGCAGTGGTAACATGTGTGCGTGAAGGGGAATCATCTGTACTGCCTGAGCTACCTGGAGGGAAGGTGGACTAGAAATGTAGCAATATAAAGATTTGGTACTCTCACCATAGTAGAGTATGAAATCTAGCAACCATTATAAACCCATTTCCAGAGCCTCAGCTATAAACCATGAGTTTTGAGTGCTTGTGTAACACCGGACTGGAGTTCCATATGCTACCAACATTACAGATGGTCCCGGTTTGTTTTTTTTAAGATATTCAATAGGTTGTTTGTTTTGCAAGAACAGCACTAACCACAAGAGGACAGTGCTGCTGCATTTTCAACCAACTTTCCGATATACAGTACTTTACTTGCTGCTCCTGTTTCCTGAGGTTTCTGCTATTTTTGTACTTTGCGTGTTCTCTTGGATATTATTTCTGTTATTGTTGTGGGGGTTTTTTTATGGTAAGTTGCCCTGGAGGCAAAAAAGCTGAAAGATGGGAAATTAAATGTTTTCAATGAATAAATAAGAATAAAGATGTGCAGAGTGGAAGCGGAAAATTCCAATCAATCCACACAGCACCTTCTGGGAAAAGTCAATCGCTGGAAACCTGACATCAAGGACACTGCTAGGTCCAAAACAGACTTGGGACACAGGCCCATGACCCAGATTTTGCCGATGGGCAAATTAAAACTGTGGGTGGTTGAGGTCTTAGGTCACATCCATATCCTACATTTAAAGCACTCTTAGACCACTTTTAACAGTCATGAAGAACCTTGAGAACTGTAGTTTGTTAAGAGTGCTGGGAACTATAGCTGCGTGAGATCAGCTACAGTAGTTCCTAGGATGTTCCAGGCCTCTTAAAAGGTCTTTAACTGTAACAGTATAGAGAGAAACAGCCCATGCAATTTTTATGCAGGGGGCTCAGTGCAAAAAACAAAACAAAACCCAAGGGCTCAGGTCCCTAACAACACTTCCTGCCTGATATGCTAGTTTTCTTGGTGCGGAGGTTTATTTATTTAATTTGTGTGTGTAAAGAAGAAAGAGGAACAGCCCAGACACAGGTTCATCCACACCTTCTGCTGTTGATGAGAACTAGATCTTAAACTGCCAATCCCAAGCTCTTTCATCGGTGTGTATGAGTTTGGTGGTCAGAGTCCTCCTGCTCACTAGCTTCTGGTTGTCTGGCCACAGATGTGTCCTCTCAACTCTCATCAGGCCTCCAAAACACCGTGAATAAAGGCTGCCAACCACTTTCGTTTCCCCTCTGTGTAGGATAACTGTGGAGAAGCAATCCAAGAGTGAAAAATGTTGGCCGTGGAGGCTGTTTGACAAGGACAATTCAACGAAGTTGTGCAAGGACAGTTGCCAAGGCATTGTGGACACTGGCACTTCTCTTATCACAGGGTCTAGTGATGAAATCAAAGAGTTGCAGAAGGCCATTGGGGCTGAACATATCATGGGAGGACAGGTAAGGAAGAGGCAACGTGTCTTGGATCCTTTAATGACCCATCCAAAACAACAACAACAACAAAACCTCCATGCAGAGCCTTCCAAATTAACAAATCCACCCCTTGGTTCTGGTTTCATTGGCTTATTCTCTCTGCTGTCGATCTGTCGGTGTGATATCCCATCATACTCGAATGTGACCAGGAAGCAGAACTCAGGCTAGGGTTGTGCACTTGAAGGAGTGAGTTTATGCAGGACCATTTTCAGTGACCAGAGTCAGCAGAGGCGGGAAGCAGACTTTGTTTCTATTCCAATGGTATGCCCAACATTCTTTTGCTTTCTTCCATATGAATTGGAAATCTTACTACAATATTTTCACCTTAAAGTCCTGCACTTAAGAGGCCAGTTTTGCAGTGAGGCCAAAACCTGCCTTCCTTCCCCAACCCTGGGGCTCTTCCTGACCACCTGTTTTTTTTAATCATTCATCCTGATTTGCTTGCACAAAGCTTAGCATGGAGGTCAGACTATGCCTGGTGTTTGTTGAGTGTTCTTTCTTGTTTTTTTGCGGGGAGGTTATTTGACAAGGAACAGCATCAAACTGTGGGGTTCCCTCCTTTGCTCCACATCACTGACTGCCATTGGCAGGGAAGGTCGCCCTGTGATGATGCAACACACTGCATTTGGCTAAGGAGAGAAGATGCAATCCCAAGGATGCCATTTTCAGAGACAGCTCCTCATCTGCCGTGGAGTCTAGTACCTTCAACTTCTGGCAAAATGCGGTGGTGGGAGTGAGTGGAGTTTGGGGTAAATGCCCTAGCATAGAAGAGGTGTGTTAAGAGAAGAATGGCTGTCCAGTCTCTTCCCCTTCCCTTCCTCATGGCACTCTCCCTTTCCCCACCACAGTATGCAATAGATTGCAGTAAACTTCCTGAGCTACCAAACGTGACTTTTCATCTTGGTGGAAAGCCCTTCGCTCTGACACCAAAGGACTACGTTCTTCAGGTAAGAGAGGCCAACACAAGACCTTTGAGGAAATGGTGATGGCTTTAGCAGAGGGTTGGTTAAGATGATCCTTGGGATCCAATCAAACTTTACAATTCTGTGATTCTATGACTCTAAAGTGGTATGATGGTGCATTAAGTGTATAATGCAGATGGGGCCTTAGACCCTACGCAGTGACAGTCAGTCTGACTGGACAATACTGACCAAGTGAACCCATGGGTCAGGCTCAGTATAAGGCAGCTTCCTATATTCCTCAGAATTCCTGAGTGAGAGTGAGCCCACACCTTGTTCAGGAGTATAGGTGGGGGAGGAATTTGGTTAGCATTTTAATACACAACTCCCTAATTTGCACTTCTTGAAACAATATGCAGACCAAACACAGCTGTCTTTCAAAATCTGCAATTCTCCATCCAAATAATACATACATAAATGTCTACATTCGGGGAAAGTGAGCATAAAAATGCACATGTTCATGAAAATAACATTTTTTAAAAATGCATTACAAGCTAAATTGCTTGCAAAAATGTGTGTGTTGGGGAAATTTCCATGCAAAAATGAGAATAGCTGCACATTGCTGGGCATTGGACTAGATGATCCTCAGGGTCCCTTCCAAATCTACTATTCTACGATTCTATGAATATAGGGAGAAATTTCCACTAAATGCTAATGAATTTTCATGAGGATCTTTCTTTAAATAATGCAGAGGTGTGGGGAATTGAATTTAAGATAGAAAAATGGGGGAAAGGGGAAATATTCAAACTGACAATTACTCAGCGGAAAGGACTATAGTGGCATTGCCTAAAGTCTCTAGAAGCCTGTAAGCCTCCTGCGACGGCCTCTCATTGAACTGTGCTATTTCCCTCCCATCTTCACAGATAACCCAAGGAGGAGTGACTGTCTGCCTCAGCGGCTTCATGAGTCTTGACATCCCTAAGCCCACCGGACCACTCTGGATCCTGGGTGACGTTTTCCTCCGGCGCTTTTACTCAGTCTTTGACCGAGATAATGACCAAGTTGGCTTAGCTGTCTCCAAACAAACCATATGCGGTGCAACTACAGCTGCAGTAGCAGCTACACCGGCTCCACAGGGCACAACTCCAGCTGCAGCCACCACAACCACCGGATGTTAGCTGTCCAGTGTTCCAAGTGCTGAACTCAGGAACGCAGCAGGGTTGAGAAGTGGGGTGTGTGTAATTGCATAGCAGCAGGGGTGGGGTTCCACAGCATGGGATTTGCAGTCTCCCTATTTCTCAGAACAGCTTTTTTTTAAAAAAACAACAACACAAGTTTCTAATCCTCATGGTGGCAGAGGAAAAGATGATGCACCTTGGAAAGTCCCCTTTGAACTTCAAAAACATTGCTGTGTATATCAAGTGTGCAGGGCTTCTCCCACCGAGTTCTCCTCTTCCATCCTCCTCCCCAGCTTGCTGATCCTATGCATGTCTACTCAGAAGTAATTCCGGTGAGGTCAGAGGGACTTTCTTCCAAGGAAGTATGGCTGGGATTGCAGCTTTTAGAGTCCTGTTTGCTACAGCAAGCAGGACAGCCTCAGACAATGGGATCAACAAGCTGGTGGGGGATAATGCTTTCTTCATGTGACTTGATAGCTCACGGCTTGATGAGTCACCCTTGGATATTTAAGGTGATGTAACATTCTGAGCCCATAGCACAGGCTTTGTGCTTTGTGCTCAGAAGGTCCCAGATTCAGCCTCCGGCATGCCTAGCGAAAAAGAGATCTCGGTTATCAGGACTGTGTTACCAGATCTGCGAGTGCGTCTGTATGCATGCATGTGCAAACAAGTATCCTACATGTGTATTCACAGAAAATCTAATTTTGTGCAATTAGCAATGCTACCCTTGGGAACTGTACTGGAGACGATTGTGTGTGTGTGTGCGCGCGCACACACAAAATTGCTTTGCTTTCTTTAGCACCGATTTAGCCGTGACCAATAAGGATTCAGTATTAGTGTTCTTGCTCCTGAAATATTAACATTTGTAATATGAGTAGTGCAAATATTGCAATGCTGCAACTGTAATATTTATTCATAAAAGAATAAAGTCTGGAAGGAAATAACACAACGATATAAAAATGATTTTAAAAGCCACCATCGTTTCAGAAGCCTGAAATGCTGCTACAGAGACTTACAGGACAGAAAGGGTTAATAATGCTGGTGGAGGCTGATGGGAGATGTAGCCCAAAACATCTGGATGGCATCACCTTGGGGAAGGCTGCTCTTGTGGGTAATGCCTTCCTTTCTCCTTCATGAGAATGGTTCATAAGCCCTTGTGCATTTTGAAATTAATATGAAATGCTTATGCTTAGGATCAAAGCTCACCTAACATAGGAGGGTGCTTGGATTTGCTTTGCCAGGAGCAGCACTAGGGACTGATGAGGGGAGGGAGAGAGGCTTTCACTCTCTCACTGAGTACTGCAGCACTCCTCCCAGGCCCCCACTTGCTGTGGCATGCCAGCCTATCCTGGCCGCAACATCCATCAATATTTGCCCCCTGAATCTCAGCCATTCCATTATAAAGTTCCCATGCCTCGCTTCCACAGCTGCTGGGAATGTGTGGACCAGGCCCGTAAGTGGCTCATAGCACGATGGAGAGGATGATCCATGTGGAGTTGGTGGCAAGTCCTTCTGGACATTACAGAAGGACAAGCAGGGTGGCTTGTTTCTCCATGACATCAGTGTGCACTTCCCAAGGGGACTGATAACGTTCTTAAGAATTCTTGCAACTTTTAAGACTCTTGCCCTGACATAGCATCTCATGTCCCAAGCAAAGTCAGAGTTCTTCTAGCTAAGTTAGCCTACTAAGCTTTTGTGTTTGTTTCCTAATGTTTCTAGTTGTGTTCTTGTTCTGTTTCCCAGCCCCGCAAATAAACGCCCTTTGTTTAAGAAGTCCTGTTTTGCCTTGGATTACTGAAAAGTCCTGGCTGGCAACTGTGTGTGTCCGTGTCTAATCCACATAATGCTATACTATATTCAGACATACGCTCTTACAAGGGTGAATTGATATGCTCAGGGGCAGCCAAACTGCACAAACAACCTACACAGTAGCTTGGCGGAGGGGAGGGAGGTAACTGTTTTCCGGGACACCGATGAAGGGGGTGCAGCCATTCAGGAGGACAGCAGTACAATATTTAGGGCCAGCCCCTTGATCACGTGGCAGTTGCAGAAAGAAACATCATCTGGGTTGCCTTTTGCAAAGTGGCAGTGGCTGCCTGTTATTCCTTGCGCAAAGAAAAGCAGCTGAAAAGCCCCCAAAGGCACAGCGAGAGATGATGAGGTAAAGAGAGAGATTTTTAAAACCCTGCCAGTTGGACGCACGCGCATACCAGCATGTTAAACAGCCTCGTTTGTTCTGCGAGACCCTGTTTGATCACCGGAAAGCATCTCTTCGCTGCTGTCTTGTAATACCAGGTGGGTCCCTGCAGTGCCTGACAGCCGTACAAGACAGCTCTCCCCAGCGCTCCCAACAATTCACTCTGTGCACCAGACGCAGGGGCTCCCAAGTTTAATTAGAATAATTGACACTTGTTTTGGAAATTGGCTAAATAATAACTGCACAGCACGCCAAGCTTGAAAGGAGGAAGACTGACATCAATGATGGGGGCAGGGACCGTCCTTCGTATCACACAATTTTGTTTTTTGTTTTTGGTGGGGGGGAAGGGTGATGGGAGTGGCAAAAGGGGATTGGGGAGCAAAATATACTCTGAAAGTTCGAGCAAAGAATGTGAATTCAAAGGGTGCAGATGTTGTATAGCTGACAAGCAAAAGCCAGAGTGCTGGACTAGGAGCTGGGAGACCAGGGTTTATATCCCTGCTCAGCCATGAAGTCCACTGAGTGATATTGGGCCAGTCATTGTCTTTCTGCCTAACCTTCCAGAGAGGGTTGTTGTGAGAATAAAAGGGAGAGTGAGGAAAGTGTTTGCGCCACCTTGAGCTCCTTGCAGAAAAAGGTGGGCTATAAATGCAGTGATAAAATAAAATGTTTTTTGATTTCTAAAAAAGGGGAAGCTTAACAGAGTGGGGTTAGTTTTAATAATGAGGACAGGAGGTGGATATTGGAGCACATTCTAAATAGTGGAGCAGTTCCTTCCACTATACTCACAGTTGGCTCCTGTGGTCCCAAAACAAAATATTTAGATCTCTGAACACCCCAGCAAGGGGTATACCTATACTACACTATCTTTTATTTTGGTTTTATGCCACAGCTTCCTCCCCCCAAAAACCATTGGAACTGTGGCTTGGTGAGCATGCCAAGAATTTTCCAGTGCCACAGAACTACATTTCCCATGATTCCTGGCAGAGAGGGAATTGCTACTTAAAACTAATTTAAACCAGTATCATAGATATTGCAAATTTTTAAGGGAGTTTGCGACCACAAGGCATGGTGCTGACCTCTGGCTTAGAAGCCCTTATAGAAGGAGGATTGCCTGCATGGAGTAAAGATAAAGGTGTTTCTGAGTGTGTGAATAAACTAGCCTGCTGTACAAAGGCAGTTTTGCTCTGCCCAGTTTTGCCTCTTGCTCCACCATGGCCGGCATGTGGCACTTGGGAGGTTGCTCAGAAAGGAACTCAGTGTGGAAAAGGCTCCCCACCCTGAGGCTAAGAGATGCTGACTGGCCCGGCTTCAGCCAATGGCTTCATCATGATGGAGAAGCGATTTGAACCTATGTATCTCTGCCTCAAGTCTACACTGGCTTTCACCACCTCCAAACACTATTTTAGAGTGCAGGGGCATATATATTAATAATTCTTTATTCAGGAAGCTGTGTGAAATCAGGAACCAACTTCAGCACCATGTAGCACCATTTCCCTGTACAGTGCTGGTAAACTCTACAGCTCCCAGGTCTACAACCCCTGACACACTGGGTAAGATTCCCATTACTGTCTCTTCTGCATGCTCAGCAACAGAGGCGGAGCTGTTGTTATTTCAATAACAGTAGGAACACAGGAAATTGCCATATGCTGAAACAAGACCATTGGTCCATCCAGTGCTAACTACACAGATTGGCAGAACCTCTCCAGGGTTCCAGGCAGAATACTTTTTTCCTGCCCTTACTGAAGATGCCAGGAATTAGAATTGGGACCTTCTGCATGCAGGGCATGTTCTCTGCCCGAGAGCTGCAGCCATTTCCTGTAGTCTGTAGCTGTGGTCACAGAACATGACTAGTGGCCAGATATCTATGGCTCTTTAAAGACCCACAGATTACCACCCATCTGTCTCAGAGGCTTGGGTCAGATTGCAGTCATCTTTATCTCATTTTTATCCTCACAAAAGTGCCTGGATTATTGTTGTGGGATGGGGATGACAGCTGATCACAAACGGCAAGCCAATTTAGACTGTACATATCCTTGCGGTTCACTAATAAGGCAAAGCCACCCTATCAAATTATGCACCTGGCGTGTAGGAGAAGGTGCGCCATCTTGGCTAGAGTGTTGGACGAGGACGGCAGAGGCCCAGGTTCAAATCCTGACTCCGCCACGTATTTTTTTATTACATTAATATACCACCTTTTCCTCCAAGGAGCTCAAAGTGGGGCACTTGGTTCTCCGCTCTCCATCCATTTTATCCTCACAACAACCCTGTGAGGTAGGTCAGGCCAAGAGACAGTGACTGAAGAGACAGCCTGGAAGCTTGCTGGGTGGCCTTGGGCCAGTGACAATCTCTCTCTCTCTCAGCTTAAGCTACCTCGCAAGGTTGTTGTGAGTGAGAGCAAAATTGGGAGGGGGTGCTAAGCATCACCTCAAGCTCCTTAGAGGAGAGGAGGGGTATAAACTTAATAAACAAGCCCGTCCATACATTTCACCCTGAGATCTAAGACACCAAGGGTGGTTCCTCTTTGGAGGCTCCACCTTTCCCAGCCACAGCTCAGGGGGTGCCATGTCCTCTAAATATAGACTTATTTCGTGCCTCCCACACACTTGAGATTTCGCACATTCCAGGCTAAATTCAACTCTTCCCCACTGCAGCTAAATCCCATCACATCCCCTTCAGCTGACTCAGGAATACCCCTCCCAAACTCACCTCAGCCTCTGAGCCCCACTTTTCTTTAAGGTGGCTGTATTTATCTTTACCTGTCCTCCCCTCCCTCCACCAGCGTTGGAATTTCATACTGAGT